TTTAATAAAGTAAACTATTAATCTAGGGTAAACTATTAAACTATTTTACTAATCTAACTTCCTCCCTATTCTTATAAACTAGTTTCGAAATAATTAGATTATAATAGATACTATAATCCGCTTTAAGAGTATTAGATAAAAGTAGACGATTAGTAATTATTATATTATAATAGATATTAATAAAAATTATCTTAATCTTACCTTCCGAATTTTTAATTTAAATTAGCGCCTTATTATAACTAATTACTAATTAGATCTTATTATTAGTATTTATATAGCTATATAGCTCTTTACTAAGCTTATAAGTTAAGTATTTATAGAAGTTCTTATAATATCTAGTAATTATTTTAGAAGTACTATTATTAATTATCTAGTTATCCTCCGAAGAACGAGCTATATTAGTATAAGTAATACTAGCCTTACTTTTTTCTTTATATATAATTATATAATACTAAATATTACTATATAGCTTCTATCCCTCTATAGGTAGATCCTTTATTAAGTAAAAATATATCTTAATAAGATATCTAGTATATCTATAATAAGTATATTTAGAACTATTTATATATTATAGTTATTAATTACGCTACTATTCCGCTTATTTATTAATCGATTTATCCTTAGATAGTATATTCTTTATATCTTAATACTATTCCTTTTAATTATTTTAATTATCTTTATTATTATTATCCGATCTAGAGTTATATAAACTACCTCTATAACCTCTATTATTATAGCCTCGACCTCTTATTCTACCTCTATATTAATTATTATTATTATTATTTCGCGTAATATTAGTAGAAGCTTTTAGGTCGAACGATAACGAAATAGGAATATCGCGTACTTTAATTATTAATATCTTATATATATTACTAAAAACCTTCTTTATAATAGAATCTAGTATCTTATTCTTTAAAGTCTTATAAATAAATATAACCGATTTAAGTTTACCTTCTAATTATCGAAGTATTATAAATAATACTTTAAATAAGTAAGGTTTAATTTTATATATACTAAGCTAGTTATATTAGGTCTAGTAGATATTAATATAGTCTTTAGTAGAACTAAAGTATAATCTCTTTATCTCGTCGAATTTAATTACTTCCTATTTTATATTATTAATAATACTAATACTACGAATAATAGACTCGACTTTATATAGTATATAATTAGCGTAAATCGGGAAACTATTTATATATTCTTTAAGAGTTATAATAATCTTCTAATCTAAAAGACCTTTAATCTAACTACTAGAAATCTTTAACTAGTATCTCTATAGATTATAATTAAGATCGAATTCGGTAAGACGAGAAAGATTATAGTCGGCGATCTAATCGATTCGCGTTATACTTAATCTATTAATAATCTATCGTTTCTATCTTATTAAATTACTACTATTAAGAGCTAATTTAATATCTTTATTAAGCTTAATCTCTTTTACTTCCGGAAGATTAGTCCCCTATATATATATCCGTCTAATAGGATTACGTTATTACTATTATTAACTATTAGAAATAGGATTATATTACTAGCGAGAAGCGGGGAGAGAACGTAAGGAACCTTCTCCTCTATTATTATTATTATTATAGGAACTAGTTATTTTAATTATACGTTAAGTGTCTATCTTCGGTCTCGATTAAAAGAAATACGCGAAGCGGTACCGTCCGTCGTATCGATAAGGTAACTACGGAAAACGAAGCTTCCTAGATAATTAGAATAATAAAAATATTGACTTACGATAAGATCGTCAATAAAAATTAATAATAGGATCGATAGTCGAAAAGTAGAGATACGGAACGGGCCGAAAAACGCGTCCTATAAAATAAAAAATGAAAAACTCTAATTAGTTGAAAATTTCAACGAAAAGATGCTCGGAGTCGTACGAGCAAGGGCTTATAACCTATCAGATGGAATATAGGCTATGTAGGAATGAATGTTAACCTCAAAGGATTAGATTTGTAGACTCTGGAGAGGAAAAGAAAGGAAGAGAAGAAAACTAGCTACTGTCTAAACAATATCCTGAGTTCTATGGGTCAGGATCACCTGCGGCCCCATATGGCCGTCACGTGACTCCAACAATATATTCTTATAATACTACTCTAGTTTTATACTCTATAATCTTTTCTTTTAGGCTTTAAAAGGTTTTATTAGCGATATAAAAGCTTCCTACTATTAGTTCGGTAGTTTATTTAAGTAGATCCTAAGTTAATATTTCCTCTTATTCTTCTATAGGTAGAAATATTCCCGATTCGCTATCGGTTTAGATAGGATACTCTAGCGCCTCGGTATTATTACGCGAGCTACTATAGGTAGTTAGGGGAGCTATTATATCTTAGGTAGTTAAAGAAGAAGAATTAGAATTATAAGAATATACTATTTTAGATATAAGGCCTATTAACTAGGTAAGATACGTTAGCTTAGGAGGAGGAAATAAAGGTATATTAGGCTATATAAGCTAAGACTAATTCTTACTAGAATTCAGGGGTCCCGGGGGGACCTAAGATTAAAAGGAAATATACGTACTAAGGCTCGATACCGATTAGGTAACGAACCCCGTACGATTCACATACGTATCAGAAACTTCTATAAATATATATATCGCCCAAGTTCCTATTTCACCTTTGAAAGGACCTTTATCCTTTACACTAAGATAAGACGGATACGGATCGGTATCGGGGCTCGTATTAAAATTTCCCGGTCGTACCCTAACAAAAAAAAAGTCGAGATTTTAAGTTAACTTTTAACCCCCTTACTATACTCCGATCGGTCCTAAATTCGGCATACGGCCTAGTATAATATTAGAATAGAACTATATAAATTTTCAGACCAATCGGAGCACGGGAGTTTAGGGGTATCTAACCCCTATAGCCCTAAGCTTTTCTAGGATTTTAGGAGCTAATTAGAGCTATAGGCCTAGTAGGTATATAGCTTAGAATAGAGTTAGGATTAATCCTATCTAACTATAAAATATATATATTAGGGCTAAACTACTATAACCTTTATATATATATATATATCCCCGCTTATATAATCTAAGAATAATAATATATAATATAGAGTTTTAATAACTATAACTAATAATAACTTTATTAGGATTAATACTATATAACTAAGATATATATATTAGGATTAAAGTAGTATAACCTATATATATATATATTTTAAGTTGGATTATAAAGATATTTTATTTTTTTCGGATAAAACCGTAAATAACTCACTTTTTAGACTAGGCTTACGTAATCGATATAGTACATTTTATAGCCCTAGTTCCGCTCTATATTATAGTATTTTTTAGTATTTTATTAAATTTAATATATAGGGAGTAATATTAATAATTAATAAAATATATAATTATATTAAAGTAGCCGCTATTTATAATACGTACTGTAGTAAATATAAAATACCGTAATTAATATTTACTACTAGGCTACTAAGATAAGACCGATACGGATCCGTATTAGGGTCTATATTAAAAATTCCCGGTCGCACCCTAACAAAAAAAAAGTCGAGATTTCAACTTAACTTTTAACACCCTTACTATACTCCGATCGGTCCCAAATTTGGCATACAGCCTAGTATCATATCAGAATAGAAGTATATAAATTTTCAGACCCATCGGAGCACGGGAGTTCAGGTATTTCTGAACCCCAAATACCTGAACTTGCCCCACTCCCGAGCAGCCAACCACAGCCCTCTAAATCCACATACCTGGCAGGTATGTGGTTTGGAATAGAGTTAGGGGTTTTTGGGGTAAAATTGCGGCTTGATTCACTACCCCGGCTTACGGGGGGGTGTTGGATTCGAAGGCAAATATTGAGCTTTGAGAGTACCCGATCTGGACAAAAAGGCACCAAACCAGCTGCTGCGAAGCTATTTCTAATAGTCTCGGATTTTTGTGCCTCGATCCGAGCGTATGGGTATACCTCGAGGAAATCAAGTTTATCGATATGGTTGATCCCGAGGCGCATCTTCGTTTCAACAAGCCGACCGTACGAGCGCTTGGATACTGTAAAACAACCGATATCAAGAGCCTGTAAAAGATGGGACGAATACGCAGGCGTCACCTATTGATGGTTCGCATTTTGTCGCCGAGAGGTTTCGATTTTCCATGCTTCCAAAACAGCTCATCGATCATACTTTTGTATTTCTCGGCTTGCGAGGTGTTGCAAACTTCCCTTAAGTCCACTGATCAGTAAAGCCAGAATTCCGAGTTTATCTGAAGCATACCTACTATTCTCGAGCGTTGACTCATTGATCCAATGAAGAACTTTTTCTTGCGATTGTTTTGAGGCATTTTGCTCGTCGTGGTCCATGATTAGTGATGACCAACCTCATGAGTGAACTTTTCATAGACAAGAAGTAAATGAGCTTTTTGAACAGGGGATTTGTGTAAAGGCTAGTCGAATCATCGCCAAGTTGATCTACGGTGGTGAGATTTTATAGGCTTTCAGGGAAAAAAAATGATAGGTGGTCGTTGAGTCGTTGAACCATTTTCGATACGTCATAGAGTAGAGCTCTTTGTTACAAACCAAATACAAAATTTTGCTCCCAGGAGCCCCGAAACTTAATGTTTATCCTATGCCGGCATTTCATACCCGAGCAAACCTCCTTTACCTTATTGGCATAGGGACATGGGACAAAGACCTTCCATCTATAGATTGAAAACATCTTGATGTGGGGTGCTAGTAAGAGCGGGCAACACCAAGAAGCCTAGACTTGCCTGCTGCGGAGACCCATTAGTCCCAGTCTCGGAACCTACTATATAAATAGCTGCTGTAGCCTGCATATCACTTTGCGCAGTTGGATTCTAAACCACAACCCACTATGCTGAGTGCAGATTCGTATTTTGGTCGCTAGGTTTCGAGTAGGGACATTATGGCATTGCAAGCAGGGGTTTGGTAAAGAGCGCAGTTTTTATCATTTTCAAAGAGTAAATTCAAGAAAGCGAAGCTGACACAAATTTCGAGACGTAATTTAATCACTGCGATTGGCAGTTTGCTTCATTGCTCCGCCACAGCGGTATCTCCAGCCGTCTCCAAATCTTGCTCTGTGATTAAATGAGGGGCGGGGTAGTAGGAATTCTAAGATAGTTAGTCTTTATATCCAATGGTTAATACCTGACAGCATACTAGTTGTGACCCAAGAAAGTCCCAAAATCCTGATGGGTCCGCTGAAAGGATGAACACTTGACCCGTCTCCCGTAGTCGTATTCCCAAGCAGACGTCTGCTTCACACATCCTACTATATTCACGTGCTTTCTTTATCAAATTGGACTTGCGACGGCATTGCTTTTGTCGCATTAATTTTCTCTTCGAAGAGGACCGCTGCGAAGAATTTGTTGGCGCCATAATACGTCAGGATATGTGTTGTGGTGGCCTTAGGCCCCACATTGGTGCCTCAGGCATCAACCCCCAGGATTGTAGATATCTAGCAGTTTCTCTCCTTCCATAGCAATCAACTCTCCCTCTCTACTTTCCAGAGACTACCATCTGTAGTCTGTCCATCATAAACCTATCATCAGTAAGATTCTACATTATTCTTCAATAGTTACTAAACTAGGTACTAAAGTAGGTGCTAGATAGAGTAGGCGCTTAAAAAGGAGCATTAAGCTAACGCTTAGCACAGAGGCTAGGGAGGGGTCCGGGGAGCGCTAAAGCTCCCTGGTAGTCAAAAACTTCATTCCTGCCGCTTCTCCAAATCCTCATCTGAGAATGGAATCAGCTGTGGAGTGAGGTCTGGGGCTCTCTCGAACGTTTTGTCAAAAGGCCACATTGGACGGAGGATGCGATGATGCCCAAGGCGTTGTAGATCCTGGTCAACGCCCCCCAGGAGTCAACCCAAGCATCCACTCTGCCGCCATATCAAACAATTCTGGCTCAAGATAGCCAATTTTGACTATGACGATGTCTGTCGTACGCGGACTAAGAGCAAGACCGGTAAAATCACTCTCATGGTGATACGGCTTGCGTAATTTGGTGACGATGGTAAACACGCTTCCAACCTGTAAAACTGCTTCAATTTCAGCATCGCGATCCCCATACCGGATGGAATGAACGCGTCCAGTCATGGTGACGGGCCCAGCATGTAGATTGTCCACTTGTGCTCCAGCCGTGATCGTAACAATAGCACCGACACCAGCCTTAATTATAATGTCAATTGCCTGGGGTCCAGGAATACTAGCATAAATAACAGATGGACTGGAGTCTTTCCAAAACTCCGATCGCTTCAGTAATTGGTTTAATCCGAAGGTCACGTCGCCCGACCCACCAGCGGTAGGATTATCTCCTGAATCAGAGATAAAGAAGGGCCTATTCGAGGACGCCAGCGCCTTGTCGATGCATTCTGAGAAAGAGCCGGTCGGCGCAACAAAATGAAAGTCCGTACGGATACGCCAGAAGAAAGATGCAAGTCGTTCAGCTCCTCTGGCGATAGTAGCCTTATTCCACCCAGTGACCATTACCACAGCATGATTTCGTGGCTCGTCTGCCCACGCATAACCAACCCATATGGCTGCATCTAAGACATCATCCATTGATTCAATTTCGGGAACTAGCGAATATAGGCTTTTTGCCGGTTCGTTGCGAGTCGAGGTCTGCTCTCCCGGCAGCAAGATAGGAATTGAGACCCATGCTTTCAGGGGTTTATTCCCTCTCCAAGTATCGGGTCGCGATATCAAAACATTGACCAGATTGCGACATGCCCGTTCTTTTGTTTCCAGTTCATCCTCGTGAGGTGCCATGCGATAACAAGTGATCATGTCAGTCTGGTGGGCCAGCTCCCTGGACACATTTCCATGCAAATCCATGGATGCCGAGACCAAAACATCTGGGCCAATAACTGTTCGAATGCGTCGGAGAAGTTCTGACTCCACGTCTTCCATACCCTCAACACACATTGCGCCATGAATATCGTACCATAATCCGTCGATGGGGTTTGAAGCGACCATTTTTGCCAACCGCTCCAGGATTTCCCTGGAAAGTTGTTCGAAATCAGCTCGTACCACGACTCCACCCGGAAGGGCATGACCTATGAGTGCACCCTTCCAATCTGCGACATTTGCTAGTTGAGTGCCGTGATGCAGAAAAGCGTACTTCTCAATCACTTCCCTGCCACGGCGCGGGTGAAACGCCCCGCCGAGTGTTCGAGCGGGGGTAAAGGTCGAGGTCTCACAAGCAAGTCCTGCGATTGCGATAACTGGTCGTTGAGACATTCTTCTCGAAGGGTAGAAAAGTGGTGGAAAAAGTGCAATGATGCTAAGGGCGGAAAGATCAAGTAAGAGTGCAAGATGGTGAGGACGGAAAGATCAAGTAAGGTGGTTGCAGGATTCCCAGGTTTTGACATCCGATCTTTCGACTCGTTCTCCCCGCTCCGGTAAGAGCACCATTATGAAAAGTTTATCACATACCAATATTGACACATGTGGAACAGACAAGGGACCAATATATAAAGGTCTAGCCACCGCATACATAATAGGTATTTGGGCTCTATTCTAAGACCACCATCATGTGACTCGCCCATTGTCAGTCGCACCTACAAAAGCCCCTTCTTCCCACACCCATCCCCGTACTCCATACAAGCTAGCTACAAACCAGCCAATATAAGACCATGATCCCAGCTGTTCCACGAGGACCAATCCTAGAGATTGCTTGTTTCAATGAAGCATCAGCCATGATTGCTGCAGGAGCGGGAGCAGACCGTATCGAGTGAGTAGGCTTCTCCCGACATCCATGGATGCATTTGCAACGAATTTCTTATTTCTTTTCTTTTCTTTTTCTCTTTCCTTGTGAAGTGACCCTCCACTAATTCGCTCAAGGTTATGCAAAGACTACCATCTCGGTGGGCTATCGGCCGATAAAGATATTCTCGAAAAATTGAAATCGCAGCTCACACTACCGATCTACACGATGCTTCGCCCACACGCCGAAGGATTCTGTTACGAAGAATTTGACTTTGAGGTGATGAAGCAAACACTCAATTCTCTCAAGTCCTGTGGGGCTGACGGTTTCGTCTTCGGGATTTTGAATCGATCTTCACAAAAGCCTTGTGATCCGAATGTGCCGTGGGTCGATGTATCCCGTAACAAGCAGCTTGTCCAACTAGCTGACGGGCGCCCCTGCACATTTCATCGTGCTTTTGATGTCATTCCTGAATCTCATTGGGAGAACGCATTGTCCGATATCATGGAGTGTGGCTTTACATCGATTTTAACCAATGGTGGTGCTTCAGGAACACGGGCCATGGAATGCGTTGACAAGCTGAAAACTCTAGTACGTTATAGAATGAAACTTCAGAGCAACAGAGTTCCAGAAATCATTGTTGGAGGTGGTGTGAGGGCATCGAACATAGGCTTGCTTCACAACATTACCGGTGCCTCAGCCTTCCATTCAGCGGCTCTTTTAGTCACGGAAGAGGTGGCATCGGCAACTGAGGTGTTTAAAATGAAGGATGAGATAACGCGGGCGAAATAATAAATCTACTAATCTGTCGCACTCCTAGCCTCGGATGTAGAACATATATCCGACGACCATTATTCAACTAGTGTTATATACCACCTATCCGTTTCGTTGAGTTGATTCAATATGCCGTCCGGTCTTATATTATTACGGCTGGGCACTTCCGGGGTGTTTATATACTAGATACAGCCTTCCAGCAAACAATGGGGAACATCTTTTAATAGTCCTAAAAGATAAGAGGGGCCACTTTGGCTATACTGGGGACGGCAAGGTTCGAGATTGGCCAAAGCCTTCGTGTTTTGCAGCGAGACACAGCGGAGAGATTAATCAGTTCCGAGTTTTAGGAGTAGATTGATCATACATAATAGACTCATAGTTGTCAATAAAGCGATTAATTTATATAAATACGCGTGCTAAGGTTCATATCATTCACTCCTTGCTCTCCCGTTCTTCAACCAATTCAAAAGCTCGGAGGATATTAGGTGCTTGGTGGCCAATTAAAGGCAATGGGAATCTGTATCGACCGTTCGATGACTGAATAGAAAGCACAACGTCCTCTTTTATCGCCCAGTCGAACTGCTGGTGCTCCAGTGGCTCGAGTTGAACAGGTATTTGGAGTGTTGGCACCGGTTGGCATTTTCCTGCTGACCATCGCAAAGCCTGTTGAACCTCGACAACAAACGAGTACTTGGCGATCCGGATTTTGCCGCCACTACGGCGATGATGCTCCCAGCAATCCACCGCAACGAGGTCAATAATTCTAGACACATGCAATCCACTTTCTTCTAGCGTTTCGCGCACAAGGGAGTCGAGTAACGTTTTGTCGGTTTCCAGTTCACATGCGCCTCCGGGGCCCTCCCAGCAGCCAGGCATTGAGTCCGTCAGTGCGCGCTGGAGAAGAAGGATGCGCGGGGTGGGATCGGCATGAGAGAAAACGTATGCTCCAACACCAAACCCTTCAAATTCAGGTCGAGCGGCCACAAAGTCCGTGAGCGGGATGGTGAAGTATTCGAGATGCGGAGCCACGGTATAAGTCATCTTGGTTGGCGTGGATGGAACCTTTCAGTGTAGTGCAGATGTTGAAGTTTTATCTTCCCCGCTAGGCAGCGCCTGGGCGCTTATTTTTTTTTTTTTAGGGGCAGAAAAAGCAAAGGATTGTAATTATAAGATAAGATCTTACCAGTCCTCTAGAAAATTTAAATCTAATTCTAAAGTCCACAAGATATTGTTTATATATGTAAATTCGAGTTATGGATTTGTTTTTATTTCTCCCATGGTCTATATAATATGGGGTATCGCAAAAGGATTTAATAAAATGCGTAAGAATGGCAGATTTCAGTAGAGGGTCAGTTGAAGACAACAGTCTTGTGGCCGTTCAAGATCACACGGCGCTCTGTCACGTACTTGACAGCCGCGGCGAGTACATTGCTCTCCACATTGCTGCCAGCATGGGTCAGCTCCTTGGGGCTCATGCCGTGGTTGACCCGAACAACATTCTGTTCGATGATCGGGCCTTCATCCAGGTCACTGGTGACGAAGTGGGCAGTGGCACCGATGATTTTCACACCTCGGTCGTAGGCCTGGTGGTAGGGCTTGGCACCCTTGAAAGAGGGCAGGAAGCTATGGTGGATGTTGATAATGCGACCGGACATGGCTGTACACAGGGTTGGGGACAACACCTGCATATACCGAGCCAGCACAATCAAATCAACATTGTGTTGGCTCACCAATTCCAAAATCTGGGCCTCTTGCTGCGCCTTGGTATCCGGGGTGACGGGGAGATGGTGGAATGGGATATTATATGTGGCCGCGAGGGTAGCAAAGTCTGGGTGGTTGGAAACGATTAAAGGCACCTCAATGCTCAGCTGGCCGGTAGATTGGCGGAATAGCAGGTCGTTGAGGCAGTGGCCAATCTTGGAGACCATGATCAGCACGCGGGGCTTCTTCACAGTGGGGTTGATCTCGAATTTGAGGGAGAACGACTGAGCAGTGGGCTCGAATGCAGTGCGCAACATCTCGATTTCGGGACCATCATCTCCTCCACTTGCAATGGCAAATTGTGTCCGCATAAAGAAGCGCTCAGAGGCAGGATCACCGAATTGCGACGAATCGATAATATTGAGGTTGTTCTGCACAAGGAATGCAGTGACCGCGTGGACAATACCGGGGCGGTCGGGGCCGGAAAGGGTCAAAATGAAGCTAGATGCCATGATAAATGAGAGGACGGTGTTGAATCCGCTGGTATTCCTTCAAATGGCTAAGATGGAGAGGAATTGGCTTCTTTTTTTCTTTTTTCTTTTTTCTTTTTTTCTGTGAATCCCACCTGCCGGTTTCGGTGATGACTAATCTGCCAGCATTGTCCGCCTACGTTCCTTCCTTCTAACCTTCCAACCTTCTTCTTTTGTTTACTTCTCTTGATCTTTCTTCTATCACTTTGAACTCCTCCAGGGCTCTTCTCCTTTGATCTCTACTAATCATTATGACTTGAAATACAAACTGTTCTGTTCCAAAAAAAAAAAAAAAAAAGCATATCACCTCGATAGTCACACATAACAAGTCGCCGGGTTTTATTTTCTTAGTGTTTCTCCGGGGCCAGCCATTTACACCAAAATTATGCATCAATCTCACATGCCCAGGTGTCATGAGACTAATGGTTTGGTTGACAGGCCTGTACTCGGCATTGGTTCCATAATCCTCGTGATTAAACTAAATTACCTTCACTACGCTAATGCACACCAATTGAACTCCTACGAGCCAATGGGCGCAGCCCACGCAAATTACCGGCAATGGGGGTTTTAGCCTGCCCGTCTAGATCCTGCAGAATCTGGGGAAGTGACCACCTTGTCACGGATCTGAGGGATTTTCCTAATCTGGGTATGCTAACAAGTTTCGGCCTCTCTAAGTCGGGCTTCGTGGACAACATGGCGTTGTCCCTGGCTAATTTAGAGGCTGGCCATTTAGCCGCCAATGGCTTTCAGTTCAGTCTAGTTGTGTTGCCGGTGCCTAGTTGGACGTACCGAATAAAAAGTCCCTCTTACCAAGCGATGGGATGTTCCCAGCCATCTCGGTCACAGCCATCTCGGTGGCACCAAGACCCAGGCGCCCTCCTCCACAAAATGATTTGAGCTACTTCCGAGGTCCATCGCGGGGTCTAGGGAACACCCTCCGTGTCGCCGGAGTCTTTCTCGTCCTTCTCCATTGGGAACCATGACAGCTTATCCCTATACGGTCATACGGACCGTAGAGCCGTGACATGAAGCTTGGTATGGATCCTCTGAGAACCACCCTCTTTATTTCCCACTGGAATATAAAACAAACTCTGCATCCGTCTCAGTCTCAAGATTCCTCATCAATCTACCTAATAATTTCAGACATCAACTCGGTGCACATCAACACTAGACATCATGGCCTCCACTCTCTCCTTCAACGTCTACAAAAGTGCCCTGCTGTTGGCCGGCTTTCTTGGTATTGCGCAGGCACAGCAAGTTGGCACAAACACTGCTGAAGTTCACCCGTCCTTGGCCTGGCAAAAGTGCACCACTGGAGGCAGCTGCACTTCGCAAAACGGAAAGGTTGTCGTCGACGCCAACTGGCGTTGGGTTCACAAAACTAGCGGCTCCACCAATTGTTATACTGGCAATGAATGGGATACCACTATCTGCCCGGATGATGTTACCTGTGCCACCAATTGCGCCCTAGACGGTGCCGACTACTCGGGCACTTATGGTGTTACCGCCAGCGGAAGCTCTTTGCGGCTGAACTTCGTCACCCAGGCATCTCAGAAGAACATCGGCTCACGTCTCTACCTGATGGCGGATGACAGCAAGTACGAAAAGTTCCAGTTACTCAATCAGGAGTTCACCTTCGATGTCGATGTCTCGAACCTTCCCTGTGGCTTGAACGGTGCGCTGTACTTCGTTTCCATGGACGAAGATGGTGGCATGGCACGATACCCTGCCAACAAAGCTGGTGCTAAGTATGGTACCGGTTACTGTGATGCGCAATGTCCGCGTGATCTCAAGTTCATCAACGGCCAGGCCAACGTGGAAGGATGGGAGCCGTCTTCCAACGATGTCAACGCCGGTACTGGCAATTATGGCTCTTGCTGTGCTGAGATGGATATTTGGGAGGCCAACTCAATCTCCACTGCAGTCACGCCTCACCCTTGCGATGACCCAGCCCAGACTAGGTGTAAGGGAGATGCCTGTGGCGGCACATACAGCAGTGACCGCTATAGTGGTACTTGTGACCCTGATGGATGTGATTTCAACCCATATCGTATGGGCAACCAGTCTTTCTATGGCCCAAGCAAGATCGTCGATACCAAGTCCCCTTTCACTGTTGTGACTCAGTTTATCACCAGTGACGGTACATCCACCGGCACGCTCTCGGAAATCAAGCGATTCTATGTGCAGAATGGAAAGGTTATTCCCCAGTCTGTATCTACAATCAGCGCTGTTACTGGCAACTCTGTCACCGACTCCTTCTGCTCTGCTCAGAAGACTGCATTCGGCGACACGGACGTATTCACTCAACATGGGGGTATGGCAGGAATGGGGGCTGGTCTTGCCGATGGCATGGTTCTCGTGATGAGTCTCTGGGATGACCACGCGGCCAACATGCTGTGGCTCGACAGCACTTACCCAACCACTGCCTCTTCAACCACTCCTGGTGCTGCTCGTGGAAGCTGCGACATTTCCTCCGGTGAGCCTGCCGATGTTGAGGCTAACCATGCGAACGCCTATGTTATCTACTCAAACATCAAGGTCGGTCCTCTCGGTTCGACTTTCAGCTCGTCCGAACCAGGCTCCGGTACTACCACCACTTCCACAGCAACCACTTCCACTACTACCACTACTACCACGACTGGATCGAATACCGGCGCTGCTCACTATGCGCAGTGTGGTGGGATTAACTGGACTGGCGCAACCACTTGTGTCAGCCCGTACACCTGCCAGAAGCAGACTGATTACTACTCGCAGTGTCTATAGGCAATAGGCAACCCTAAGAGTCTAGTGGTGGAAACTGGAGAAAGGTGAATGGGAGACGATTGGATCAGTTTATCACGCTCTCTATTAGAATTGGCCTTTTGTCACCTTGCTTTTAGAACTTAGCTTCAAGTTGCTTTTAAATTGAAATCTTTGATTTATGCATCTTATTTCCTATTCTACGATCTCAATCCTATATCCTATTTTTTCTAAAATGTCCTCTCTTTTGTCCGTTCAATATCCGCTGGCCCCCTCGGATATAACCGTAACATTCCCATCCACTGCTTTCTACTTGTTTTCCACATACGGAATGTCAGTTATAAACTAAATTATGTTGCGAAATTGAACCTCCACTGGGCATTATTGGAAATAGGGATCATTTATCCGGCTGTCTTGAGTAACCGATGCCCGTTGCCCAGGTGCAAGACCCCAGTCAGAGTCAGCACTAGTGTCAGAATCAGAACAATTAAGCCGATAGCTCCTGCACGTAATACCCCACATTCCTAGACCCAGCTGATGCATGTGGCGCTACCTTGTTTACCTTGAAGAAATCATGCAGAAACCGGAGGATGCTCCGACTAGTCAAGCCACCTTGATTTCGCTTATACCTTGAGCGCCTCCCCTGGTTCCTTGAGCGCATGACGCTAAATGATATAGACTGCTGATTTTATGCGAAAGTTGGTACACATCACATCTACCGGGCCTGTAAGCCATTACTATTATTCTGTGAAGAATACCAGTATGTCGTCTATGTACAAACGAATAACTAGCAATTCATTAAGCGTGCTGATCATTGGGGATTCCATGCGAACTCCTCTTACTGCTGTTGTTCATTCCCTATTTAGTATCTAGCTTCTATCTATGCACAATCCTTATATGAACTGGCGCGCAAGTTCCCCAGTGGATAAGCCGGACGAACGGCCGGGTGATATTTTATATTGGTCGGATCAATTCAGGGTCTATACCCGCCGGCCAATAAATAACATTACCCCAGTTCCCTCTTGAACTTCCAAGCCGACGGGTCTGTCGGATGAAAAGGCCGGAAATGAGCTTGTGCAGTCTGACAAGCGTCAGGCTCTTGGCAATACATGCTTCCTGTTGGTAATAGAATCTCACATGTTCTTTTGCGGTGGATTGATCGCTCTTCATTCCCCAGATTCTAAGGCGCCTCTAGTGGCGTCCTCCTTCCCACGTAATGTCATCCCCGAGGTTCCATCCACCAAGGGATTGTGATGCCGTGCCGAATCTGGACCGGTTTTTCTCACATCTTGGCCATTTATTCTTCAAAAATTATTCTAGTTCGGGGGCGGTCCGTAAAAAGAAACCCAATCGAGGACTTGAAGATATTCCCCACAGGCTTAGCCTCTTCGTCAAAGCAACGCTTCGCAGTTTCACCTCTAGGTAAGGATCCATTCGCGATCAGGGGGCTGCTCCTTGCCATGATTGACCCTTGTAACTTGATATAAATCCTATTGTGACCCTCGATGCATCTACATTCCGTAGTACCCTTCAGAGCCTCGAATACGTACCCGACATGCGGTATAACTGTTTGCTTACCATAGCTGGTGCCACAGGCCTGGTGCTGGCGGCACCCAGCCCATCCCTATCTAAAAGGACATCTTCCTTTGTTTGTACGAAGTCTAACAATCTTGGTATAACCAGACATCTGACCAGGCCGTGGATAGGGTTCGGCGCAAACGAAGCTGGCGCAGAGTTTGGGAGTGGGAACATTCCAGGAGAACTGGGCACTGATTATATCTGGCCATCCACCTCGACCATTCACACTCTGCGGAGTGAAGGGATGAATATATTCCGCATTCCCTTCGCCATGGAGCGCTTGGTCCCGGGAACTCTGACGTCGAATGTGGATGCGACCTACCTAGCTTCATTGAAAAGTGTACCTATTTATAATGTATAGCCGTCCATGCATGAGACATTTTTGACACCAATTTTGCAACAGACTGTCAACTATATCACATCCAACGGTGGATATGCTGTTGTTGATCCTCACAACTTTGGTCGATAGTAAGTTCTCGGCTGGCACTTGTGGGGGATTCATCTGACTATATATACCTAGTTATGGCAACGTAATCACCTCTACTAGTGACTTCGCCGCCTTTTGGACAACGCTGGCATCGGAATTCGCGTCGAATGACAAGGTTATATTCGATACAAGTGAGATACACCGTTCCTCAATCCAAGCCATGGGCTAACTTTGTAGACAATGAATTCAATTCTGAAGACCAAACCCTCGTGCTAAACTTGAACCAAGCTGCTATCAATGCTATCCGAGCTGCAGGGGCGAAATCCCAGTATATTTTCGTGGAGGGCAACTCGTGGAGTGGCGCATGGACATGGACAACTGTCAATGACAATATGAAAGCCTTGACAGATCCACAGAACTTGATCATTTATGAGATGCACCAGTACCTTGACTCTGATGGTTCGGGAACATCAGAAACCTGTGTTAGCTCAACCATTGGGCAAGAACGAGTTGTGGCTGCCACACAGTGGCTGAAGGACAATGGCAAGAAGGCCTTCTTAGGAGAATTTGCTGGGGGTGCCAATTCTGTCTGTCAAAGTGCAGTGACAGGTATGCTCGATTACCTGCAAGCGAATAGCGATGTCTGGCTTGGCGCGTCCTGGTGGTCCGCTGGACCATGGTGGGGAGATTACATGTACAGCTTCGAGCCTCCCTCTGGTGTAGGCTACACTTACTACATGAGCCTTCTGAAGAATTATTTCCCCGGCTCGAGTGGCTCAGGTGGAACAACCACTGCAGGCACTACCATCATTCCCACAACAACCGTCGCAACTACTACCGAGACCACTACTACCACAACTGGATCAAGCATTACCGGCGCAGCTCACTATGCCCAATGTGGTGGGAAGAACTGGACTGGGTCAACCACCTGTGTCAGCCCTTACACTTGCCAAAAGCAGAGTGACTACTACTCACAGTGCCTGTAGGCGAAGCAGTGGGGTATGGGAAGATATAGGTCTCAAGGGTAGCTTAGTGGGTGTCTTATATTGCTCACAGTATCAAATTTTTGATTCATCATTTATTCATTATTCAAATTTTCCCTATTTACGTACTTGTAGATCTAGGTGGCTCTAACTTCAATGTTGTACAAATCGTTCGTCAAGAGTCTCCTCGTGTGTTCGTTCCTCGTAGCAATTTTTCACTTAAGTGTTATCTGCCGTATGAACTCGTTTGCTATTGCAGAGTAGCGACCAACTCATCCACAGTCTTCATCTCGCGAGCATTGTTCTCACCGACGTCTAGCGCAACCAAGAACCGACTCACACAGTTATAACCGGCGATGCCGGTGGTGAGCTCCACGATGTCGCGGTCATCATACCCGACCATCTTCAATTCAGCAAAAACATCATCTTGAACTCTGATGGTACGAGTCATTTGGTCGGTATAGCGTAGAACTGCGCGCTGCTGCGCGGTGAGTGCGCTATTCTCAAGCTCGGCAACATCCCCTCGGCGGTGGAAGGCAGTGTAAGAGCGGTCTGCAATTGATCGGGCTTGATTCCACCTTTCAGAGCTAGTGGAGCATGAGCATTCCACTCGTAAACAGCGTTATTGAGTACGGCAACACGGCAGACTGCCAACTCCATGACACCAGAGTCAACTAGAGTGCGCGACCGAATAGCTCCGATGAAGGAGTTCCAACCATCTGCGACAGGTGGACTATGGAGGAGAGACAAATCAAGTGGGATCAAAGGACGGGGGTTTCTGCGCTCCGCGATGCGGGCATAGATGTCGGCGGTGTCTGGGGATGCATCGACAGGTGGGGTGGAAGGGGCGTAGGGCAGACGCATGGTGCGTGTATGATTGATACCGATTGATTTGAAGGTATATTTGAGGATGATGGGTCTACGTTGAAACACGTACATCAGAGTCGGGGGTTTCAAAGTATTTTGGATCCTCCAAGCGTCGAGGGGTGGGATGGGAAATATCTTACCCGCCCATGTGGGGGAGTGTTTCTCCGGCATCTTCCTTCGGGGATGTCCATATACTCACCAGGTATTAAAGAAGCAAACCAAATAGCCAATATATCATATATCATAAATCATACATCAGACCAGATCCGATCAGATCAACTATCTACAATATCTACTAGAGTACAGGTTTACTTCTTGGTGCATAGATAGAAATATATATATTCAGACCACCAGCTAAACCAGCAACTTGGATGTTGAAATGTATCATGTTGATAAGCAATAGTAATATTAACATCTGATGAACTCAAGCTCAAGAGCAAATTGTGAAGTGGCCTAGGTATCTAGGTAACTAGTTAGTTAACTACTAGTAACTATATACATGGACGTTACCCCGGATTTACGGTAGAAGTCATGCAGCAGGAAAGCCACCACAGAACTTTTTTAGATTTTTTTCAAATTATATTCATATATCTATGTGAAATCAAATTAGAAAAAAAAAAAAAAAACAATATCACATTCGATTCCATTGAATGTCAAAAATGAAAGGTCGCCATTCCAAATCGGCATTGGAGTAAAACACACTTCCGCGGGGTGCCGCCTCTGGATGCCGATATCCTCCCCCACATGCAAATGACATTGAACTTTCATTCTATTCTCGTTGTCGACTATACATGATCCGTTCTGTTTTTTCACGGGCATCTGCCTCAACATCTCGGTCATTTTCTCATTCCTCAATCGCCAAGATGAAGCATCATTTGATGGTCGGTACCTGGACCGCCCCCGGGCGCATCTATACGGTGCAATTTGATGATGATGCCCTCACGCTAGAATTAGTAAAAAAGACCGAGATCCCAGAAGCGGAGCCCATCTCATGGATGACCTTCTCCCACGATAAGAAGGCGATATATGGCGCAGCTATGAAGAAGTGGAACAGTTTCGCCGTCAATAGTCCGACAGAGATCGTTCATCAAGTGTCGCACCCGGTTGCTGGTCACCGTATGTCCCCAAGGAGTCAATGAAATAACAGATCCAATTCCCCTCGCTAACCCTTCGCGATAGCTCTGGCTCCCAGCAGCGAGACCAATACTCGTGCTATTTTCGTGCTTGCCGCCCACAAGCCTCCTTACAATGTTTACGGTAACCCTTTCTACAACCACGCCGGTTATGGCAACGTGTTTTCCGTGAAACCCGACGGAAGTCTAGACAAAAATATCCAGAACTACGAATACGTTCCCAACACTGGTATCCACGGCATGGTGTTCGATCCCACAGAGACCTACTTGTACTCCGCCGATCTCACGGCCAACAAAATTTGGACGCACATCAAGGATCCCAAGACAGGCGAATTGGCACTGGTCGATTGCCTCGAGGCTCCTGATGCTGGCGACCACCCCCGCTGGGTCGAGATGCACCCAAGCGGCAAGTACCTATACGCGCTGATGGAGGCGGGCAATCGACTAGCAGTCTACGTGATCGACGAGCGTACCCACAAGCCAGTATTCACTCACATCACGTACCCATTACTTCCTTCCGGTGAGTTTCACGGCTCCTGGAACATATGCGACCGATGGCAATGGCAACTAACAATTAATCTTGGTAGGGCTTCCCCTACGCAACAAGTACCGCGGAGATGTCACCTTTTGCACCAAGGGTGGAGAATACCTTTTCGCCACTACTCGGTCAAACCATTTTGATGTGACCGGCTACATCACTGCGTTCAAGCTTGGCTCGCATGGCGAGATTGAACGTCAGCTCTTTATCAACCCCACCTCGACCAGTGGTGGTCATTCAAACGCCGTCAGCCCCTGTGACTTCAGTGATGAATGGCTCGCATTGTGTGACGATCAACTCGGATTTGTTGAGATGTACCGCTGGCGTGACGAGAAGCTGGCACGCGTTGCGCGTGTGGATATTCCCGAGCAAGGATTTGGGATGAATGCTATCTGGTATGATTGAACGAATTAAATTAGAGTAAACGATCGAAATGTACAGCAATTTCATATACAACATACTATATATACAAATATGATTGATAGAATGTAGTTACATGAAAAAAAGAAACGGAAATATCATCGGCAGTCAACTTCGGGTTCTGTCTTCACCCGGATGAGGGGCAATTCATAGAGTGCCGACTTCTTGTGTCTTTCTAATCTTTTCTTTCCTTTGTTTTATGTTTGTACTTCTTCTGAATGGTTCTCATCTTTAATTCTCCTCTCTAAGTTGAAATCCTATCCCTTACGTCCTCCTCAAGATGCCTACTCCTGGTCTTCTCTACGTGACAATGCAGCCCAAGGACTCGCTGCCAGACACCCAGTTTCACGACTGGTACAACACTGAACATGGACCTCTGCGTCTGCGATTGCCCTTCGTCACTAATGGCTTCCGCTTCCGTGCGACCGATGGAGAGAAGCCTGAATATGTGGCATTGTACGATATTACCGATATGGACGAGTTGACCCGCAAGACCTATTTGGATCTAAGAACCGACCTGATTAAAACCGAACGGGAGAAGAAGACTATGGCCCAGATTGATGTCGGCCGTTTACTTTACGATCTAGTGGATGAGCGCAGCAAACCCAACTTCCGCCCGTTAGAAGATCAAGCCGATACAGATGCCGAGACCCGGGGTAGTGTCCTCATCGCCGTCCGGGTTGCCACTCATCCCGACCCCGCCAAACAAGCTGACCTTGAAAAATGGTATCGCGAGGAACATTTTGAGATGCTCTCCCGTGTTCCTGGATGGCGCCGTAGTCGCCGTTTTGTCACTGCGGCGATCGATTCCGCCGCCCCGCGCGAATCGCTGGCTCTCCACGAGTATGCCCCCGTCAATGGCCTTGGCGGCGATGCACACAAGGCCGCCATGAATACCCCATGGGGAGCGCGTCTGATGAGCGAGGTGGTCACCTCCAAGAATCGTCGCGTATATGAGTGGTACTACACCTTCGGCCCTGCTCCCCGTGAGCTCACTTCCCTGGCGGCCTCGGATGTGGTGGGACCCTGGAACTCCAATGATGGACGTACTCGCACATTTCCCTCGGCCGCCCGTCCAGCTGTCGAGTCATTTATTACTACTTCTGATGGTGTTGACATCCCCTACCGTTTGGAGGGTAGCACCGACCCCTACGCGCCTGTCGTCGTTCTAAGCAATTCCATTCTGGTCAACTGGAACATCTGGGATCGTTTTGTTGACGCCTTCTTTGCTCACCAACGGAACCAGCGCTACCGTGTTGTGCGCTATTTGACTAGAGGCCGACGATCGCAGAGTGGTGAGCAGCCTGTCAACATCGATTTGTTGGCCTCTGATCTGGCGACGTTGCTGGAGGCTTTGCGTGTGCCCCCCAAGGCGGCTCATTTGATTGGTGTCAGCCTGGGTGGTGTGACCGTCTTGAACACTGCTCTCCTTCATCCGGAACGCGTCGGAGCTTTCATCGCATGCGACACCAACTCTTCCGCCCCCGAATCAAACCGTAAGGCATGGGGTGACCGTGTCGCCATCTGCGAGAAGGAAGGCTCTATCGATCCAGACACCAAGGAACCCATTGTCGGGGAAGAGTTGGCCGAGGTAACCACCCGTCGCTGGTTCGTGCCGGAATCATACCACACCCAGCCCGAGGTCCTCGCGCCAGTCAAGGAGGCTGTACGCACCAACAGCTTGAAGGGGTTCGCCCATAGCGTGCAGGCCCTCTGTGCCTACGATATCCGTGAGCGCATGGCTGCTGCCACTGTACCAGGTCTGTTCGTGGCCGGAGCCAATGACGGTGTCCTACCGCAGACAATGCAGAAAATGGCTTCGGATCTACGTGGGGGTGCCGATCTTAAGATCATCGACCGTGCCGGCCATCTGCCCATGGTGGAGCAACCTGTGGCATTCGCCGAAGTTGTGACTGAATTCCTCAACAAAATTGATGGTTGATTGCATTTCTATGGTACGTCCTCGGCGTACACAGGAATCATCACTTAACATTCACCCCAGTAAGATATAACCGTATCTTCTTTCCCTTTCAACTGTATAGAGTATTGTTCCGCGGATCAAATCGTGACTTCAGGTCCAGCAATGTGTATGTATGTACGGGCATAAACGTCAAGAGGATCTTCATTTCGGGACTTCCATTGTATAGTAAAAGCTGGTTGGCAAGTCTTAGGGTTAAATGACGAGGGAGCATATGCAGGATAGAACGTTTGAAGGTGATCGAAGGTGGTTTGGAAGTACTAGACTGAATGTTAGTAGTAGTTAGACTGAGAAGAAGGAGGTTGACAATCGTAACGAAGAAAAGGCGGACAATTCAGCAGACGAAGGCGGTGAAATTGACCTTGCGGGGGAAACAAGTCAACTGCACCTCTCCTTGACATGCAATTTTCTACAAGTTCTTGTTCCTCACTCTCTTTCACTATTTCTCTGGTTACTTAATTCTTTATTTCCCTTTACCATGCCTGAGAGCAAGATTCCTCAACCGGGTCCTGCCAAGCTTAAGCGCAATGCGGGCCCTGACGAGTGGCTGGAGGCAGCGAAGGATTGCAAGTATCTATCGGAGCCACATATGAAGCAGCTATGTGAAATCGTCAAGGAATACATGATGGAGGGCAAGTGTCTAGCCTGGACTCAATTTTAACTATTCTGACTTTGTTGACAGAATCAAATATCCAACCGGTATCCACACCTGTCACAGTTTGTGGTGACATCCACGGCCAATTCTACGATCTCTTGGAACTCTTTCGAGTTTCTGGGGGCATGCCTGATGGTACAGAACTGGATCCCCCGAAGACATCCCCCTCCGTGATTACCTCCGCCGATATCGAACCCCCCTCCAGCATCTCCGACCCTAAAATTCGCAAGAAGCTTCGCGGTCCCAATTTGAATTCCAATGACGAAGATTCGAGTTCCCGAAGCCGATCGTCCAGCGATACATCTGCAGATCTACAGCTTAACCGGAACTTTGTATTTCTGGGTGACTACGTGGACCGTGGATACTTCAGTCTAGAGACGTTAACGCTTTTGCTCTGTCTCAAAGCAAAGTGAGTGAACACACCCTCCCTGTGGACTTGGCTCATCGCTGACTTCAATATTCATAGATACCCCGATCGAGTCACCCTGGTTCGTGGTAATCACGAGTCGCGCCAAATTACTCAGGTATACGGCTTCTACGAAGAATGCTTCCAAAAATACGGCAGTGCTTCAGTATGGAAGGCATGTTGCCAGGTGTTTGATTTCATGACATTAGGAGCCATTATTGACGGCAAGGTGCTGTGTGTGCATGGCGGTCTGAGCCCTGAGATTCGCACGTTGGACCAAGTCCGCGTGGTAGCCCGCGCACAGGAGATTCCCCACGAAGGTGCCTTTTGTGATCTCGTGTGGTCTGACCCAGACGATGTGGAGACATGGGCAGTCAGTCCTCGAGGAGCAGGTGGGAATCTCATTTTTCTTTTTTCCTTTGGGAACACACATAGCTGACAATCTTCTCTAGGGTGGTTATTCGGAGACAGAGTGGCCGATGAGTTCTGTCATGTCAATGATCTCTCGTTGATTGCACGCGCTCATCAGCTGGTCAACGAGGGCTACAAATACCACTTCAACAACCAAAATGTCGTCACCGTGTGGAGTGCACCAAATTACTGCTACCGATGCGGGAATCTGGCCTCGGTCTGTGATATTGGAGAGGATCTCAAACCCTCTTTCAAGCTATTTAGTGCAGTCAGCGATGACCAGCGACATGTTCCAACTTCACGGCCAGGACGCAGCGAGTACTTTTTGTAAGATGTGATGCGAGTTCTACACCGGCGCTGGCGTTCGGTTTGGTATTTAGGTGGAAGGATGAGCATTATATAATGATTTAGACCAGACTTAATGATGCATACGCCTTGTGTTTGGATATGAGAAACCAAAAGGGGATCAACCAGATAATCGAGATCTGAATAGAGGGACCCCATTTCCCGCCGCTCTAAACACAGAAATTCAAGGTTGGTGATATGAGAAAACCGATTTAACAGAAGATTGGCTGCCGAGGCTCTTTTTTTTTTTTTTCTTCCAGGGTTGTTGTCCAAATCGTTTCCGGAACACATCCCGAAGTACAGAGTACCTTAGATCCCATCCCGGATCCCATCCCGGATCCCATCCCGGATTCACCATAAAAGGTCCCGACATGCCACTAACTACATTTGATCTCAGTCTATACATACACATTTGAAGAAGAAAAAAAAACAATGGAGCAAGTCGATGTTCTTATTTGCGGCAGCGGGTCTGCCGGTCTTTGCGCAGCCACCTGGCTCGCTAAGTATGGGGTGCGATGCAAGGTACTAGAACGGCGGAGTGGCCCCATGAAGATGGGTCAAGCCGATGGTGTACAATGTCGCACAGTGGAGATTTTTGAAAGCTTTGGAATTGGGGAAGAGCTTCTTCGTGAGGCTTACCACGTTTTAGAGGTCAACTTTTGGGCCGACAATGGCACAGGCGCCATCCAGCGGACAGGGCGCACGGCGGATACTCAACCAGGTCTATCACACCAACCTCACGTTATTCTGAACCAGGCGCGTATCAACGGACTTCTCATCGAACTGATGCAGAAATATAATGACCAACAAATCGACTATGGCTACAATGTGACCGATGTCAAAGTTGATAGCACCTCTACCGAGGATCACGATGCCTATCCGGTCAAAGTCACTGCAAAAAAGGACGGAAAGATACAAATGTTTACAGCAAAATATGCACTAGTAGGTGCTCACTTTTTCTTCTTACTTTTTCTTCAAGGTTTTTTTTTTTGAGACGCTTTCTGACCTAAACCCATCAGGCTTGTGATGGGGCACACAGCACTGTCCGTAAAGCCCTCGGGTACAAAATGATTGGAGATAGCAGCGACGCCGTCTGGGGTGTCATGGATATGGTGCCACGAACAAATTTCCCGGACATTCGCAAGAAGTCTACTATTCGCTCAAAATCAGGAAATGTGTTGATTATTCCCCGCGAAGGCGATAGCGACAACCTGACAAGGTTTTATATTGAACTTGCCCCAGGGACTAACCCGAAGGAGGTGACTCTTGAAAATCTACAGGCTCAAGCACAGAGCATCTTCCACCCTTATCAGGTACACTTTGCGGAAACGGTCTGGTGGTCGGCATATGCTATCGGTCAGCGTCATGCTGATTTCTTCCACAAGGAGAACCGGGTCTTCCTCGCTGGAGATGCTTGTCACACCCATTCCCCAAAAGCCGGCCAGGGTATGAATGTCAGCTTACAAGATGGCTACAACATTGGGTGGAAGCTCGGGGAGATTTTGACCGGTCTGGCCAGTCCCTCACTTCTGGAGACTTACGTCCTAGAACGTCAAAAGGTGGCTATCGATCTAATCAAGTTTGACCGTTATTTCTCTAAATTGTTTTCTTCGGGGGCCTCAACCTCACCTGCTGAGTTCCAAGAAGGCTTCGTCAAGTCTGGCAAATACACCGCAGGCTTAACAGCCAGGTATGAGGTCTCACCCATCACCTCTGCATTGGAATCGACCAACCTCGCCTCTAATGTAGACGTTGGTATGCGGCTTCCCAGCGCACAGGTCGTGAGATTATGTGACTCTAAACCTCTACATCTCATGAAGTCTCTCAAATCTGATGGTCGATGGCGCATCATGGCCTTCGTTGGTGACCTGACTGTACCAGAAAGCCACGCAAAGCTCAACAAGGTTTGTTTCGCCATTATAGACCTGTTGTCTGGGCCTAATCTAATGTATTATATATAGCTGGGAGAATACTTGAGCGCAGCCGACGGGCCCATCCACACATTTACCCCTAGGGATCAAGACATTGACAGCCTCATCGAGATCATCTTGATCGGACATGGAAAGCGTCATGGTATTGAGTTGGAGCAGATCCCCGAGTGCTTTTATCCAATGTCTGGAAAAAGTCAAACAAGAGGTGCAGATGCTCTAATATCCACTCATCCCACCATATCTCTAACCTAGAGTATTTTTTTAGATCTACACAAGATTTATTACGATGATGAGAGTTACAACAACGGACACGGCCATGCATACGAACATCTCGGCATTGACCCAGCACAAGGTGCTCTTATCATTGTTCGGCCAGATCAATGTAAGCCAGTACGTGGTTGTGAGATAACTACATATAACTAATGCTTTTGGACCGCTAGATGTGTCTGCCATTATAGGTCTAGGTGATTATCTTGAAATCGGCAAGTTCTTTGCTGGGTTCCTCAAACACCAAACGTACGTTGGTCACCACATGAGAAGGGAAAGACACGACAGCTAAATATATGTACAACAGGGGCACGGATTTCAGTTGTCGGGCCTCCTACCGAGTTGACAGCAGATTATGATAGGGTAGGGATCGATTCGCAAATGCATGGAGTTTGAATGACGATATTGTTAATAACTTAAAGAAGCTAGAGAGACCAGTGAACATAAATCGCATGAATCTAGAGAAATCAATTTCAGCGATATCTTTCTACTTACTTGTAAGTGCTTATGGTCAACGGCGGTGAATTTCCCTCGAAATCACGGTAATCATATGACTATAGAGATAGTTCTAGGGGTTACGAATAGATTTCATAGGTCTTATACCAGGTGTTAGTCCCGGCTCAAGAGAAGTACAGGTGAATGAGGCCCACCGAGAAACAAAAGCAGATTGACATGAATCGACAGCAGATATGCAGAGTTCAAGATATAAGATATTATTGATGGTACATATACAACACAGGCTTCACTGCGCATGAAAACGGTTTAGTAAGAGTTCGGCCAGATTGGCATATCGTCCCTGGCTCACGTCTTGTCGGGCCAGGATCTGCTCAGCGACATCATGCGCCCAAACGAACTCGGAATGAAAGTCACGCAATTCCCATAGACGCTCACGGAGCCATCTTTGATATGTCATATCATTAGTTTCAATCACTGCCATCAGCAGCGGGAAGTGTAAACGCCTAAGGAGCTTCGGATCAGACCAAAATTGTTTTTGACAGATATCAATGATTCCTGCTATGGCTTGTTGGTGAATGCCTAGGGGCAAAGCATCGACGCAGAGAAGCCGACGGTGGAGGAGAACCTGGCTGTAAAAGCTAGAAACGGCCACGTATATGGTATTGAGCGTACGTCGAGCGGAAACACTACCCGCAAATCTCGCGGTGATGAAAAGGTCGGAGAATTTCTAATTCACAATCAGTTAACCCTCCCCAAGAATCTGGAGTGTTATCTATACTGACTTCTCTGATGTTGAGGATCTCCCGGAAAAGGGGTTCTGCGGACTCGGCGGTACCAGCCGCGGATTCGATGAGGGCCTTCCAAGTTCGATGGCGTAGGCAGAATCCCGCATGCAACAGCTCTAGAGCTCTATAGTTTTCAATGTCGTCCAGAACTTCCTCGTCGGGATACTGCTCGCCCCAGAAGCATCGTCCCCAGAGACGAGCACAGCGATGAAGATGGTCCGGTTGTAAAGCGGGATTCCCAGACTGGGCCACATAATCGTTGAGAGACTCCGTAAGACCAATGGGACGACAGCTAGCGTCGATATATCTGTTGGTTCGTCAGTGGTGGTAATTCGTACAACGGCCGGGAAAAAAAAGACTCACAGTATCCACAACAAAAACTGCTCCGGAATAAACGAGCCCTTGACCTTGGCCATGGTCACGGGGCCACTGGTCGATGTATCGGATCCGGGAGGGAAGAACATATCATTCACATCTTTGATGCGGAATAGTTGCGGATGCGTTTCCAAAAGTGAGCGTACGCCCTGCAGGTGGAGTTGAAGCTGGTAGGTACCCCGTTAGTTGGTATGAACAAAAATAGTAAGAGCATTCTTACATGGCGCACTGAGTGTCCGAACTGCCACTCCCACGCTATCATCAAAAAAACAGTGGCGAAAACCGTCTCGACATCATCCAAGGAAACCTGGCGCGGCGTCTCGAGCAATTGCCTAAATTCTTTGACCGCTTGGCTGTAATGATACCGGCCATGGTCCTGAGAGCGCACAATCAGCCCATTGCGATGCATATCACATGCGCTTAATGCTAGTATCATCCGCATAATGACTCTATTGGATGCAGCCGGCCCTTCGTAAAGATGGCTGGTTTATTTGGGTGTCCAATTAGCCCGGCTCTTAGTAAACGGTAGGCTCATTTCACACATGAAAGTCTCACCATAAGCTGCTCCACTTCCATCTCTTCATATAGTAAAATACGAGTGAGGAAGAAGGGAAGTACTGGAAGTATTGCCGGTCAAGAGACGTGAGTGTCAACGAATTGGCGCACGCGACATTGACGTTCAAGGAAGGGTATATGGGTGTCGGAATTGGTGTCGGAATTGGTGCCGGGTTGAATGTGTCAAACGAAGGAGCGTCGGATTCCCAATAGTCCGGCGAGAGACTTGTAAAAAGGGCATCTGGTTGAAAACCGGCAAGGTCCTCCTCGGCTTTAGGCTGTTCGGAGGTTCCCGGTGCAGGTTCAAGATGTCGGATTTGCGTGCTTCGCCCACGCTTCACTGGGACACCCCATTCGCAATTGAGGCGGAGGGATGAACATCTTGAGCAAACTGGTTTCTCTTCGCCGCACTTGACCTTGCGACGACGGCAGGTACTACAACCTACCGAGAAGTGGGTTAGTCGGCCATGTGGGAAAGTAAAAGGAATATCCTACCACTCTTGGAACGTGGTCCATTGCGTCCAAACCCCTGCATGGACGGTGAACCAGCAGGGATCAACCTGTAGGCATGAGTAAAAAGATCAAAGAGAGCGCTGAATTGAAAGAACTAACAATTTTAATATTTCAGAAGGGTGTCGGGATAGTTAGCGGTCTCAGTGCCGAAGCCGATAAGATAACGCGGGGAAGGCTGAGTCATCATGACGTGCAGTAACAAAAGTACTACGAACAAAGTACTATAACTACATAACTATGTAACTAGTCAACTACTACAAAAGTAATAGATTTGTTAGTTATACAGTCCAATGACCATCAAAATTTGTATATACTATCTTTACACCCAATATACATTTACTCCTCTCGCGCAATCTCTTCTTTCCATTGACGACGCGCCAAATCATACATATCGTTCTCCACAAGCATATCCCAACCAGTCAATGCTAAAGACTTCCCAACAATTAATGCCTCAGCATGAGCTTCATCTGTTCCAGCTGCAGCTGTAAACGTCGGGTGATGTGGAAATGAAGTTGTAGGAGCAGGAATCGCAAACATTGTATGAAGCGTTGGGGTTTCATAGCTAACATTTCCTATTATTGAAGTACACAGGTTAGTTCTGTCAATCGAAATGAATATTATCCCACCCCACATACCAATGTCCGATGATCCTGTTAGGACTTTGTCATGGCGCTTGAGAACATTGCGACTATACCGTCCCATGTGGATATGGTAGCGCTCACAGAGAGTGTCATTCAATCGGACATCGGTATAGAGCTCATCCCTTGAAGCAAACACATTAGTAGCTCATTTCCTCAAGCCATATAACAGGTGGACTGGTGACCATAAATGGATACATACTCATCAATCTTGACTTGACATCCAGTGGCCAAAGCACCAGCCTCAATACAATTGCGCAATTTGCTGACAAGGACATTCAATCCCTTCAAGGTAGGGCTACGCACCTGCCAGAAAGCTTTCGTATAAGCTGGGATTACGTTGGCTACCTTGGGTGTGTCCAAGAAAGCACAATGAACCCGCTGATCCGGAAGAAGCTGCTGTCGAAGAACCGCAACGTTGTTATAAGATGAGACCAAGGCATCAAGCGCGTTGATCCCTTCCCATGGGTTTCCACCGGCATGAGCATTCCTCCCAGTGAATTGGCCTATATTTATATGTTCATCAGTACGTAATAGGAGAAGTTATATTAAGCGACTCACAGTGGATATTCTTGCGCGCATTCATTGGCGTTCCAGCTATGCCATCGGATGGCTCTTGGTCAGGGTAAATCTTTTTTGGGTCCAGGATGACTCCAAATTAGGTCAGCAGTAATCTTTCCTTTCATATGCGATCCAAATCTTACGCCATTAGCGAGATATCGACGTTTTTGTAGGCTCCAGCATCAATCAATTTGGCCTTTCCGCCTCCATTTTCCTCGGCCGGCGTACCTAATAGTTGGACTCTGCCGGGAACATTAAATTTCCTGATAGCGAACGACAGTGCAAGGAATGCAGCCATACTGCTTGTCGTTATTAGATTGTGACCACAAGCATGGCCAATTCCAGGTAATGCGTCATATTCGGCGTTGAAATTGATCAATCGCCCACTAGTACCGCTCACAGCCTCAAAGGATGTATCAAGCCCATAGGCGTGGCGAGTAACGGCGAAACCTTGTCGTTCCAGGAAGTCACAAATTTTGTCGTGGGCGCGATGCTCCTGGTAGGCAAGCTCGGGGTTTGACCAGATCTGATAATCACCACCAAACTTGTTAGCCTTGTAGATAAAAGCTCCGGTCAGGATGATGAATATATATACCTGATGGTTCAATTCCCGCAATTCGTGCTGTAGTGCCGCAAGTGCGGCATCTGTATAGGTCTTCACTTCCTCGATATCGATGGTTGTAAACGTCATACTGTTTCAAATTTCTTTCTCGATTTTAGACGTGTTGAGTTGGAATCACCATTGCCGAAAGAAACGCAAGGAACGTACCTATTTAAATATGAACAACTTTTAAAAGCGAAACCTGATTGGCACTTGATCAGGTACTAGTACGTATCTGCGTGGCGTTTGCCGATGACAGAGTAAGAGGGGAAGGCAACGCGGAAATCTATGCCGAAATTTATCCTATCACCAATGTGAGTCTGTCAATGTGACAATGGAGGTAGAATCATGGAATGACTGTTATATTGGCGAGCTTAGCGAGAGCCGTCGGCAGTCTCCACAGACTAGTGAAATCTGGGGTATGTACGGGGTATCCTTTATTATAATATTAGCATGGCTTACCTTATCTTGTGTCAACACTTATTGAAGATCCAGGAATTCATCCCACCAAGCTCCCGCGGTCGTCTCTGGGATTTTAGGGCTCGTTCTATTTTCTGGTTTTCTTTTCTCGCCCTTTGGAGTCCAATCCTAGCAAACACCATGCGTGGTTTTTCTTTCCTTTTCACCCTTTACTCTCTTTAACTTTTTATCGGGGGGCTGTAAAGAAAGTGGGTTGCCGATGAGCATGAGCATCCAATTTGCCGACATACAATGTGATTCGCTAAACTGCCGATATTGTAACGCCAATATTCTACTCCTCTTGAATTCTATACAAACGGTAGCAGCTGGCTACAATCAAAAGATACATGGATCATATTTCGGTTTCGGCATCTAGAACTTAGTATAATCGTGTCTGATTGCCGTTAACTTTGCCCGTATCTATTGCGAATGATATCCCCCCCCGCCTTTTGTTAAAGTAGAACCAACGCTTATGAGTGCAATATTGACTCAATAACTCAAGGAGATCATTGGTCTTGGTTCCCTATCAACTATTATCGTACCTTGTATATCGCCACCACGTTGGGTTTAATCGGGCTCGGCCTCCCTGTCCTGGAAGCCATATAGCCAGCCTGAGATTCCCGCAAATTGATAGATACATACACAAAGTCGATATCTTTCTACTCCTGATATCACGACTATTCCTCTCTTTTTCCATCCCTTCTTCTCTGCTTATCTCAGACCACTCAGTATGGGGAAACAACAGCTCCCGTCCGAAGATACCAAACCAGATCTTGGAACACTCAAGGTTGAGTCCGGCTCTGCTGCTCGCGATGTAGATTTCGGACAAGTACTTGAGGTTGAAACCACCCCTGCAATGGAGAAGAAGGTTTTAAGAAAGATGGACTTCTTTTTAATACCGCTTATGGGCGGTTGCTACATGTTGCAGTACATTGACAAACTAGCAATTAGCCAGGCGACCCTTTTCAATCTTCGGGAGGACTTGGTATGTCCCTTTTCCAATCAGTCTAAGCTCTCTTGCTGGGTCTAATAACGCTCCTTTTTGCTAGGACCTGAAAGGAAATGAATATAACTGGGCATCGGCCATTTTCTATTTTGGTTATTTCGCATGGAGTTGGCCGAGTTCATATCTGGCTGTGAGGTACGTTTGACAGTTGACCCATAACGGCATGTTCTAATTACTTGGTTCCAGGCTTCCATTGGGAAAATATCTCAGCGGTGCTGTTTGTGTTTGGGGAGGTTGTCTGATGGTTCACGCCGCCTGCACGAACTGGGGTGGCTTAATGGCAGCGAGATTCTTTTTAGGGGTTGGGGGTGGGGACTCCTATACCAATAACCTTTTGACACGGCTAATGAATGCGTTTTGACAGAGGCATCAATTGCTCCTGGCTTTGCCCTGATAACCGGGATGTTTTATACAAGAGCAGAACAACCATCACGCCAGGCAGCATGGTTTCTTGGTAATTCCATTGCTGTTCTTCTCGGTGGGCTGATTGCCTACGGTATTGGCAATATTCAGATCACAACTATTGCCCAATGGCAACTGTTGTTTCTTATCCTAGGCGCCGTCACTTCTGCCTATGGCCTCGTCTTATTCTTTACACTCCCGGATTCACCCGCGAAAGCCGTCTTTCTCAAACCGAACGAACGAGCGGTTGCAGTCCACAGAACATTGAAGAACAAAACTGGAGTTTTGGACACAGGGAAGTTCAAATGGGGCCAGGTTTTAATGGCAATTAAAGACCTCCAAACGTGGTTTTTAGTGCTTTATACACTCTGCGTTAACTTCTGCAACGGTGGCATCACAAGTTTCTCTGCTATCATTATCACCGGATTTGGGTTCCCCAATCTAGAAGCTCTTCTCATTCAGATGCCTATTGGCGGTGCTCAGCTTGTCTTTCTCCTCCTTACTTCGGGGGTTGCCTCCCTTGTCCCAAAGTCTCGCATTATTATGATGATTGTCAATACAGCGGTATCAATGATTGGTATGCTTCTGATTTGGAAGCTGAATGGTGATAATCAGGCAGGGAAGATGACTGGTCTTTGCCTCGGTGGTGTCTTCGCTGCTAATATCCCTTTATCCCTCAGTCTAATCAGCTCCAATGTCGCCGGATTTACCAAGAAGAGCACAGTCAGTGCCCTTATGTTCGCAGCATACTGCGTTGGCAATATTGCTGGGCCCCAGTTCTTCATCCCTTCCGAAGAGCCGTCATATTTAGTCAGTACTTCACTCTCATAACCTATCTCTACCCCTTCAGTGCTAACTCGATAAGACCGGTATCAAAGCGTCCATGGCAGGACTGGCCTTCGGAATATTCTTCTTGGTCTGTCTCTATATGTTTTATGTCTTGGAGAACCGTCGACGGGATACGCTGTATGGGTCTCCTAGGGAGATGACCGAAACTGAAGAACTGGAAGACGAGCTGTCTAACAAGACCGACCACGAGATTGAAAGTTTTCGATATGTTCTTTGAAATATTTCACTTCAACATGAGTTTATACGGGAATATGAAGCCCAGGTCTGCTTTTTTCATGTGTCCATTGCTTTTATTTTTTTGTATCCCCGCCGGGTGACAGGAAAGCGGATATTCTGCAAAAGGAAAGACTCTCAGCAAAGTTATTGAATGCTTCGTACGTAACACAAACTTCGCATGCTACTTCAATGCCAAAATGCATGCTACCCCGTGGTATCATGTACTGATATGACTATGATAACTCTGGAAGTCCCGATCAATCAAATAGCGGGGTTAGAATAGCAGGCTTAGAGGTATTGTTTGCAGATACAAACCCCGAGATCTGGAAATACTTTTTCTTCCGCATTGAAGGTGTTGTATACTAAGGGCAATATTAAAGAAGAGTCGGTGAACAAAGAAATTGTGGTCAACACAAAGAGATGAGTGGAAACGAAAAGCGAAGCGGCTATCATGTATAAATAAATCAGGGGGCCGGGATATGTATATATACACAATCACACAATCACAGGGAGAGCGATAAGAAGATATAAAGGACAACAGTGTTGGAAGCTCACGTGGCTTAGGGTTTTAGGGTTTAACTGTAGAGCTCCTAGTACATTTAGTCCAGCACACACATTTGATAGTTTCTTCTCTCTCCTTGCGCAATATAGGGATTTTACCAGCGTACTCGGTAGGCCTTGGCCTCCTCTATAACACAAAGAGAGACTAACAGGGAGGACCAAAAATCCATATAGGTCAAAGGCACCAGTTTTCAGCTGTTTTGATCCGATCCTTAAAAATAGGTCTGGGGCCAAACTAGGTAAGAGATGTTCAGTCAAGGGTAACGCAAGGCAGAATTATGCTCAGATAATCTTACCATATTATTTTCGATGGTGCTACCTATTGCCCTTTTCTATTTCAAGGATCATAGCTATTTTACTATTATCACAATGTCAGGGATCCAAAGAAAGTTCAATGGAGTTCGTAGACCAGCTGGGACATATACTCTGTAGTTACCCTACATCGGTATATATGTATATATTAGTCCGAATCTATCATGTGCAAGGAACGCATTTACTATCTATATTTGTCGAGGTTAGATGATTCTTGTGCATTTCGTTAGCCAAGGAGTTACCTTGCGAAGTCACCCAAATCTTCGGTCTCCGACAGCAATCATCTGCGCCTTTTGTCTTCATCTCGCATAGAGGCCATGTTACATTGAGAGTCATTCATCCATGTATTGCATTGTGGTTATTCTAAACGTATCCTCTCTGAGCTTAACAAATATCCTGAGCAAATGCTATATAAACGGCAGTTTTCGTGTGAAGTTTAGATTCATGCGTGGTTATATTAAATTTCTCTTTTCTACATTGCTACTCGGAACGATTTTCTACAGACTCAACTCACAGTTTTTCACTATGAATTTCGCTATCGTAATTTTTGGTACTACGCTACTTGCCACTTCTATCATCGCCTCTCCCCTCACTTCCCAGCGACAAGCAGATGGTGAAATACATCGATCTATCCAAGCTCCGCGCCGCACAGTCCGGCCTCATTATCCAGGTACCTCGGAAGTACTGTACCGAAATGAAACGTCCCAAGAGACTTACAGCTCAAATTGGGCTGGGGCTGTACTTATTGGTACCGGATATACTTGGGTGTCCGGGGAGATCACAGTTCCTACACCTCAACTTCCAAGTGGTGCCAATTCCTACACAAATTACTGCGCCTCTGCGTGGGTTGGCATCGACGGTGATACTTGCAGTACAGCCATTCTACAAACTGGGATCGATTTCTGTATTAAAGGAGGCTCCACGTCATATAGCGCATGGTATGAATGGTATCCAGACTACGCCCATGACTTTACCAACATCCTCATCTCGGCTGGAAATGTGATTAAAATGACAGTCAATGCAACTTCGAAGAGCTCCGGCTCTTCTACGATTGAGAATTTATCCACAGGCGAATCTGTGACGCATATATTCCGTAATGGTCTTGGGGGTGATCTCTGCGAATTCAACGCCGAATGGATTGTGGAGGACTTTTCTGTAAACAATGCATTGGTTCCTTTTGCCAACTTTGGGACTGTAGTATTCTCCAATGCAGTTGCCTCGCGCGGTGGGAATACTTACGGACCATCGGGTGCTACCATCATGGACATCTATCAGGATCGGATTCTCACATCTTCTTCTGTCACTGGAAATACTGTCACTATCAGTTACATGTACTAGATCTGACAAATGACCAAGTTCGTTTTTCTAACTCTTTTCCAGAACATTGTGGTGGAACAGTGAGAGTTTAGATAACACAAGTGAGACAGATACCTAGTGTCGCTCCATTACTTCAGGCTCCTGTTCTTTTGACTATATGCCACAGTGAGCCGGAAGTAGAACTTGCTTCATGCTTTCCTTGCCATATTCACATCCAACTTTCGTAACTCTTATTGGATAATTTACGAACATCAAAAGCGGGATCAGATTTCATTGCCAATAGTTACACCATATACGTAGAATCTTTACATTAACCCCACCATAGGTAGGGGAGGACAGCCTTGTTGCAACATTCATCTTACCTTTCTCTTATCGAATGATATTCAAAGTCGGGAGTTACCTATAATAACCAGGGAGAGGGAAATGATGGGCACGCCAAGTAAATGCCATCGTATTACTTGAGTTTTGGGATAGTTGCATTATCGGTGTCCCTCATTCCTCCGCTAATTTGACTAGCTATCAAATTATATAATTAGAGTAGGAACATTATATCATATTAGCACATGTCTGTCCAGGCGAAAGAATCGACGTTCCAGGATCATCCGGCACTTTGATCCCATAGAATCGCCAGAGAGCATCCTGCACCACATTGTAACAAGCCCCGTATCGCACAACCTTCATTGTTCTAAAATCGATCATGGTTGAAGAGGCTCGAGGATAGTGAAACTTTTGCCTCCCATAATCGATAACTATATCCGCCACTTCGAGGATCTCCGGCTCAATGTCCTCTACCACAGTCTTTGTTCCTTTGCCTGTGATATTGGCCGAAGATCCCAAGAGAGCAAGTTCATCTAGGGCAGCAAGTCGAGATAATTCATCTAGCAAACCACCGCCATTCACCAACATTGCTAGAGAGTCACCAACAACGCTCTGTGATAACAGGTTTGGTGGAAGCTTTTGGACAATCGGATGATCAAGGCGATATGGCGCAACAATCCCTAGAGGAAGTTCCAAGTCCACGGTCAAGAGTTTGACGATACCGGCTTCCTGGGGAGGAAGGACATGAATATCTTGATGCAGAACATAGCTGCCAACCATTGCATGTCGCTTGTGTGGTTCTCTCCGTTTTGTGCGAAAAATCCGGTCCAATGCATCTGGATCGATCGCAGTGATTCCGTAGCCAACGTTCATCGGAATAATCGCAATACCGCCCCGTTTCAGAACTTCGAACACCGCTCTGGCATCTTCTTCTGGGCTTGGTACTTTACAGAAAGACATTATTTTTGTCTGAAGGAGTCGATCCTCACTAGGGAACATTTGAGCATCAGGGTTTCATTATATTCATGACAAGAGGGCCTTAATACACAGCGGATTAACCCTTGTTGAACAAATTGTGTGATATCCGGGAAACCCTAACATATGTAGCACAAAACTGCTATCTCCCAGGTCATCATGTGAATAACAGTGGAAATAATTTGGCTTAGTCTCATTCTCGGAAAATGGCACATGAACGAAATCCTCGTAGGCCATCCTTTGATAGCAATCCCGCAGCGTCGAGTTCCCTGACGTGCTGCTTTTTTGTTTCAGGTACCCCAAAGCCATATACCTAGGTCACTCAATGCTCACAGAGGATTCGTTAGAAAGGAAGTCCCCACGACTGGCACCTTCGTTATCCCTGAGTTGGGATGTAGTCACATTGGATAATTCGGTCGGCCACACTGCATGCCAAGTCCCCTGGGCACGGACAGAATATTCATGTCCCTTTTCGAGGCCTAGAATCGGCAAATTGACTGTTACATCAATGGTGTGACGTGCTTGTATCTCAACGAGATCATCCTCAGAGGCAGGTAGCTTGCGTGATACCATAATAGTAGGAACGGGTAGTTTCCGTTGGTCCATTGTGTCACAAATCTCGAAAACACCGAGAACACCAGCTTGAGGGTCCAATGGAGTACCCCATCTCAGGATGGTAACTGGTGAATCTGCGGCATTGTGAACAGAAACTTTGATCGGCAAAGCAAATGCTTCCTGTACCTCTCGGATCAGTGCCTGGGGGGCCAAGGTGACCTGCAAGCTCAAGTTCGACTCCATATTTGTGTTCAAAAGAAGACACTTGAAAAAAAAAAGCGGTCAGTGTGATACACTATTTTATTGAAGGAGGAAACAAAAAAAAATAGAAACAAGAGAGTAGTGTGGGGAAGTTGCTAGTAGTATCGAGTTATCGAAACATGGGGTGTTCAAAGATCAGAGAGAAGCGACCCAGACGGAGAGTCTTATCACGCCTTATATCTGGAAACGCTGATTATCTTGACGATCTCTCATTTGAACCAATCTGTTTTGTTACTTTCACGCCAAGTCGAATGCTCAGGGCACCGTACCGCATTCCTCCGAACCTCCGAGGAACACGTGGGCTTGGCATGATGTTTTCTGCCAGATGGACCATTCATCACAATAGCCAAGCCAGGAATAATCACAAGGCTATACATTACATGACCCCTAATGGCTGACACTAAGCATTGTTTCTGAAGTCAAAACTCCAGCGCCGTCTTGGGTGGTATCTTGGCACTATCTTGGCACCGGAGTCCGGCGACAAATGCATGGCCTAGGGCTTGGCGTGATATGAATGGAGGGAGCTCTCCAGGTTGGTCATTTAGAATGAGATGAAGATATGAGCTGTTACCAGTAGATATGTATATTGATGCTTCTAGAGTACAATGTCTTCATGTCAAACAAATTCTACCAATAGTGGTTCGCGTATCTTTATGTTCCATTTGCCCGCAAATTGAACTTGCATACTTGATTCTATACCTCGGCCAGGCTATACCTCAAACACAAATTTCTGCCCAGGGGCTTGCAGCTTTTAGTGTAGAGTTATTCTTCATCTAGAGCCGATTGTGAGGAGTTACATCGAGTAAGCCCCCGCCTCTTCAAGCATGATATGGGATCAAATGCGGCTTCACAAGCCATGAGGCATATATCCAAGTTAACGCCCATCTTCAGGGACGCGGGTTTCCGTCGGGCCAAGATGGCATCCACGACGATCTTTCTGAAGAGATAGCTATGTCAAGATATCTTCGACCAGTGACAAGATTGCCCGCAGGTCTCCCGTGTTCGTCCTATGCAAGGTTAGCTGGCGTGACCAAGTTGTGTCATATGGAGACGATACTACCCTCTTTCTTCTGTCGTCCTTCTGGGCGACAGGGGGAGTATGGACGGCCCACAGGAGAGAGGAAACCGCGGCATTCAACTTCGAGACTGCAATGAGTGTGCAGTGGACTATAAAGAAGTCGATCTTTTCTCGAGAATTGGAGCTTTTCTTTTATTCAAGCTGCATTCAAGACATCATAATTTCAACATTCTTCTTTTGACAGGATCACCTCCAAGCATCATGCGTTTTGCTGCCCTTTCCACGGTTCTTTTGGCTCTAGCACAGCATGTGCACACTTTGCCAGTCGAGACTGATGAAACTTCTACGCTCGATATCACCTTGAGTCGTCTCACTGACACCCGGATCAAGGCTGTTGTAAAAAACTCTGGCAACGAAGATGTCACGTTTGTGCATCTCAACTTTTTCCGTGACACTGCACCCGTCAAGAAGGTCAATGTCTTCAAGAACGGTATCCAAAATTTCCCCCGATCCCTATCTGGTACAATGCTGACTTCTTATTAGATGCTGAGGTCACCTTTGAGGGAATCAAACGCCGGTTCGTTCTCGATGGTCTTACCTCGGAGTCTCTCACTTCCCTTGCTGCAGGAGAGACCTTCGAAGATGAATTTGACATTGCCACTACCAGTGACTTGTCTAGTGGAGGCCCATTGACTCTTCGTTCGACTGGCCTAGTTCCCCTAGTTACTGATGGTGCGGTCACTGGCTATCTGTCATACCGTTCCAATGATCTCAAGATTGAGGTTGATGGTGTGAAGGCATCCCGTGTGCTGAAAGCTATCAAGCCGCTTGATCGTCGCGCTCTTCAAACCTGCAGTGACTCGAGCAAGAAGTCTGCACTTGCCAAAGCTCTCAAGAACACCGTGACGCTCGCAACCGATGCCGCGGAAGCTGCCCTTTCTGGATCCTCCACCAAGTATGTATATACCACCTGGCTATAAATTAACCATTCTAATAGAATCCAATAGGTTCGAAGAGTACTTCGGGACCACCAGCGCCGCCACACGCAAGGTCGTGGCCGCTCGCCTTAAGGCTGTGGCAAAGGAGGCCGGCTCGAACACTGCCACTAAGTACTACTGTGAAGATACCTTGGGATAGTCAGTGCCCCCTTTCCGTAAATACTTTATGTGCATAAATGGCTGACAAACATAATCCAAATAGCTGCGAGACCAATGTCTTGGCTTACACATTGCCATCTCAAAATGTGATCGCCAACTGTGATCTCTACTACAGCGACCTCCCAGCATTGACTAGCAAATGCCACGGCCAAGATCAAGCAACCACAACCCTCCACGAGTTCACCCACGCTCCAGGAGTATACAGCCCGGGAACTGAAGACAACGGATACGGATATAGCGCTGCAACAGCCCTCTCTACCGCAGATGCTGTGATGAACGCTGACTCGTATGCACTGTATGCCAACGGTTAGTGTTGCAGTTCGAGTTGAGTCCCCCTAGTGAAAATCAACTAACGAGCAAATAGCACTCGCTCTTGGCTGCTAGATAATCAATTCTCCGTACAATTGTTCCAGGAGAGGGGTGAAGTACGAAGCGCTAGGATCAATTTGACTTTGCTAGATATCAAGTTGGATGCAGGTACTGATGAGGCTTGTCAATGACAGACTAGTTGTTGGATGACGGTGATGGTGAATGGGGATTAGTTGAGGTATATTGTGAATGAAAATATCCAGTGATGATGAATGTTCTCTCGCCTTGCTGTAATGCAAATGTAGTCAACTGTTTGGAAGGACCGTATTATTTGATAAGTTATATCTGCATTCTTGGTCTTACTCCATTAATGACCACTCTCCGGGTATTCAGGCCCTCAGCGGCAGACTCGCACTCTCTAGTTATCAGTTGAAAATCAAGATCAGAGAGGGAAAGTATCACCAGGGGTAGTTTAGTTATTTTCTGTCACATGAGAAAGGAGCTATGAATCACTTGGTCCACTGCGCTGAGTTTAGAGAAATTCTACCCAGGGCGAATTCGACATTCTCTCTGAATTTGATTCGCTCGCAGTATAAAAAATGGCAAATTCAAAACGAACTTTCCAATATTTAGTTCGTCCAATATTTAGTTCGTCTGCCTTCCAAAGTTGGTTTGTTTCGACGACATACACTCGTCGACGTGGTTGCAAATTCACAGAATATGGAACACAAAATAGCATCAGGTTGGAAAACTGGTGAATAAATGAACGCAAAGTCCCTTGAAGGATTAGTCCTCTGCGGGCAGTGCACCGTCGGCTTGCATCTCTAACGCCACCTCATCAACTTTTTTCCACACCCTCAATAGGTTACCTCCTACCACGTTGCTTGCATCTTTGTCGCTGACTCCTCGTTTCAGCAGCTCTATGATGAGATGAGGGAACCTGGACACATCCTCCAATCCCCGAGGAACTGTCGGAATGCCATCAAAATCACTACCTATTCCGACATGCTCGAAGCCTATAAGATTACCAATGTACATGATATGATCGGCGACTCGTTCCAGAGTGGCGTGGACAGCGTCCGCATCTGGGATCCCATCTGCACGGTCTGAAGCCGTGCAGGAAATGAAGTCTGGTGAAAAATTAACCATAACCAGGGAGTTCTTCTCACGGACCAACTCCAGGATGTCGTCTGGTACATTGCGCGGGTGAGGACACAGTGCATAGGCTGAGCTATGGCTGTAAATCACTGGAGCGCGGCTCCCTGTCCATTCAGACTTGCCGGCGCCCAGTACATCACGCATTGTCTCTGTACTGACATGGGCCAAATCGACGATCATCCCGAGGCGATTCATCTCAAACACCAGCTTCTGGCCTTCTTCGCTGACGCCATGCCAGAGAGGATCGGCCTTTTTTATTCCACCACCTGGGAGCTCGAGAATGGCGGCGTCGGCATACCGGTTATGACAATTATGCGTCAGAGTTGCGTATGAAACCCCCAGCTCATAGAATATCCGGAGGTGAGCCAGTGAGTTGCCGATCGAATGCAAGCCCTCAATACCAAGCGGTGAGATGATTTTTCCCTCGCGGAAAGCGGACATGGCAGTGGTGCCATTTGGGGGGGTGGAGAAGACCTTGGGATAGGCTTGCTGAACCCTTGACATGATATCCACTTGCTCCATTGTCTCGCGCACGCCTATGGTCCGATGTGAGTATACCGCGGGACAGTCATCGTAAGAATTTCCCTTACTTGCTGCGTAATTCTCATCGGAAAAATTCGTCCCATTCTTGGGACAGGGCACAAAAACACTCCAAAACGTACCACCAACTCTACCTTGTTTCAATCGAGGGATGTCAACGTGACCGGGGAATTTGCCCGCGACAAAAGCCTCAGTGAAGTTGGGATCATTTATGCGGTTGTGGAAGAGTTCCCGGACCAAGATAGGAAAGTCATCATGACCGTCTGTTCTAAGGCATCAGTCATAAATTGTGCTTGAAGAATGATTCTCGTCAATCTCCGTACCGATCAATGGAGTCTGTGACAGGATCTTATCCACCCTTTCCTCGATGCTCAAGGGGGAAATGGATAGCGCGAGCGTGTGAACCAGGCGGTGGCTACAATGATACAGAGAAACAGTGAGAGTAGATTGAAGGGGCGTTTTTTCGGCCTCAAGGTCGGTGCATCCACTTGGCTCTCCAAGAGGAAGGTCTTCTTTTCGTTCATTGTGGACAATTACTTAACTAGGTAGTTAGTTAGTTACTTTGTAGGTAGTTACATGTGTAGAGTGTTGTGAGGTCGAAGCGAGCGGAGATGCTTATCGATAAGATTGATTTCAAGCTCGGGCGGTCTGGACCACCGAGTCTTCATTCTGCCATAGCAAGTTCACAGAGAGTAGAAAATTAATCTCTTGCAGTGGATTTAAATTACAACAACAATATCGATATACGTATATATCACCTAGGCAACCTACCTAGGTAGGCAGGTGATTACTAATGATGTTGGTCATTTATTCCAAGGTCCCGAGGTCCACTTGTTCATGATGATGCTGACTGATCAGCTAGGCGGTGAGAATCCATGTCTAATCCCACCGCCTTCAGCCCCGTACATACCCCCCGATAGATTATCAACTTGGACGTGTGGGTTGGCTAGGTCCCTTTCTTAATCTCCTTTGGGATTTCGATGACTTCGCTTTGGGAAACGGAAACATCGCCTATCAGTTCTTCTCATTGAAAACGCTTCACCATCATGCAGCCCGGAAAGGCCACGGCCGGTCTGCTGCCAATTTCGGCAGCAGCTACGCAAAAGTCGGGTTCTGGAGCGCCCGCAAAGAAAACACCCAAACCACCCGCTCCACGTCTGAAACTTCTCATTCGACGTTTGCCGCCTGGGCTAACACAGGTTGAGCTGGAGAGTGCTCTTGGGAGCGAGTGGAAGGCTGGGGCAGGAAACGTCGACTGGCTTCAGTACAAACCTGGGAAGGTGTCGAAAGAGTAGGATTCACCATTCCCTAATGCAATGTTCTATCGCTTTCGACTAACTGGACTTCTTTAAATAGCCCCAACAAACCATCACGCCCGTCAAGAGCATACATCCACGTTGTGTCCACCGAATGTGTCTCTTCGCTCTCGGACGTCGTGCGCCAGGCTTCTTTCCAGGACGCTCGCAACACTCTACATGATCCTATCCTCCTTGGACCTCCGTCACTGGAGTTTGCCCCTTATGCCAAAACCCCTGGAAGCCGCTCGCGCAAGGATGCTCGTCAAGGCACGATTGATCAAGATTCAGACTTCATCGCTTTCTTGGAAAGTCTCACCCAGCCTATTACCAGGCCGGCCGCTGTGGATTCCACGGCCGATCCTGAGGATAAGAAAAGAGAGACCGTAATGACCACACCGCTGGTACAGTTCATTAAAGACAAGAAAGCCAGCAAGTCAAAGGATGGGGGCGCCTCTAAATCCAAACACACTCGGTCGGACAAGGAATCAAAACAGGAGAAGGTGCAGACGAAAAAGCTTTTGCAAAGGGGTGATAAGGAAACCTCGGCACACTCTTCCGAGAAGAAACCCAAAGTGGAGAAGACAAGCAAGGACTCTGTCAAGGCAACCAAGCAAGGAACCGCCACCAATGCCAAGGGAGGCAAGTCGAGTACTACATCAAACACAACAAAGGATACGACTGCAGCCCCAGAGCGGAAGAGAGAGCGCGGAAATGTCACAGCAGCCACCAAGATCCTTCAGCGTGATCTTGGACTCTCGACATCTGGTGGGCGACGACGTGGTAAAGGTGGTTCGACTGATACTGCATCACCTAAGAACGAGAGCCCTCGAGACTCGGCCATTCCAGCAGCCGATGTGTCCAAGAAGGAGGCAACCCGGCCTCCCAAAACCCCTTCATCCGCAACCAATTCTCCAAAGCCCAAGGACGGCCAGTCATCCTCGCGACCCGATGCACCTGCTGCGCCACCAACAGCCCTACCAGCCAAGTCTACTAAAGGTGGCAAAGCAAAGCCCCCATCAACTGCTAAACAAGCATTCCTCAAGCACGCCAACCCATCCCAGGGTGTGACCGAAGCGCTCCTACAATCTGCATTCACCCCATTCGGAGTAGTGACAAAGGTCGAAATTGACAAAAAGAAGGGATTCGGATACATAGATTTTGCTGAACCGGAAGCACTTCGCAAAGCCATCGCTGCGAGTCCCGTGTCCGTGGCCCAGAGTCAAGTGGTGGTCTTGGAGCGCAAAGAGAACCCCGGAGTTGAAAAGTCTCGCAAAGGCCGCGAGGGTTTCACTGCCAATAAGGCCAAGGCTCCCGCCGAAGCTGCTGGAAGCGCTTCAGGAGCTGGCAGTAATGTTGGAAGTAACGCTGGCTCTTCTCGCGGATCCCGTGGAGGGCGTGGATCGCGGAATAAGGGACCCAAAGGGGCCGCTGGAGCTTCGGAGAAAACTGCAGGCACCGAGGCGGAGTGAGGCCGGACCGACATATTGAGTTCTTCAGCAGTTCACGAAACATGATACCCGAAGACATGACAAGTTTTAATAACTAGTTACATGATGGCCACGGCAAAGGGTTTGATAACGACCGAATCATTAAACAAGGTAGTACGAAGATACCAATGTAGCTAGCTAGGTCAGGACGGCGAGTCTAGAGTTGAAGCACAAAGCTCTGTCCACATGAAAAAAAAGATGAAATACAGGCAGGCCACCAGTGGCTGACCATGGCATAAGACAGTTCATAACCTTAAAAAAAAAATACATACACTCATTTACATCAGCTTACGAGTGAAAATAGAACCGCATTCGAATGACCCATTGGGACGAATATAAATTTCTTTTCACTATCTGTATAACTCTTTCGCAGCGCACTATTCCATCTAACAATTTGGAAGAGGACCTTTCAGACCTCCTCGACACCCACCAGGACCGACCGACCGAAGTCAGACGTCGAGACCAGGTCAAGATCATCACCACTCCCTGGACCGAAACGCAGACACTGCGAACAGCACGCGTGACAGTCGAGACGGGAGTAAAAAGGTTTCACTTTAGGGCATCGAGGACATGTAGTCATCAGCAAGGGTGGAGATTCTGTGGCTCTTTTAAAGAGTTTAGAAAGGGGACGTCTACTCTAAAGTGATTCTTTGAACTGTGGAAATTGTCAGTAAAATGTTCTTCATTACAGTGAAAAGTTGATTTTTCCACTGTAGGGGGTGGGAGGAACATACGTAGAGTCGCTTGAAAAACAGAAGAAGGTCCGGGGGTCTGGGCTTATTTATATTCCTGACGGTCACGCTAGTGCTAAGCGAGACTGTCATATGTTTGTCTGGTTTGCTCTGGTTTGCTCTGGTTTGTTTGGTTTGTTTGGTTTGGCCTTTCTCTGGGCCCACCTCTTTATGGTTTATCCAATCATTGGCCAATCCTTTGGCTCAAAGCGGGTCCTCATATTCTTCTTTTACATTTTTCATTACAACAACATACAACATACAACGTACAAACAACATACAACTAACTGATACCTAACTAGTTAGTTATTGTATGCTGTACAGAGTATACTTGATTTGCTTTGTTACTTTGTATAATTATATGTGTCACATAATTTGGGACTGTGGCGAAAGTGAGGTCACCTTCGGCAAGTGGGCTTACCGGTCTTGTTCACATATAACTACATGTATATAGTGAACTAACTAGTCCCCGCACGATACATTTGAACATGCTATCTAAACATATTATTTAAACATCCTATCTTAACACATTGAAAAAACTAATCATCTGCCAGAAGTACCTCTTCCGAAACCCCGGGCCGCGCACGCTTATCGCTTATCTTTTATCCCCCGTCGAGTGGACTGGTCGAGTGGACGGGTATGCGGGGATCTCATCCAACCCCCAGACCCATGAACTCGCAGACTCTTCAAGCATGCCACGCCCTAAGGTTCATCCAGCGAATCGGCTACGGGCAAACACTGCATGCACTGCCTGTCGTGCATCCAAAAAACGCTGCAGTGGTTATTTCCCATGCAACAACTGCATTCACAAAGGACGTGACCGCTCATGCACTCCATTCAAGTCCTTACCAAATCCAAATGCAGGCCTCCGAAGTCGCCGAGTACCTCCTTCTCAGCCTACAGTTGAGGCACCCCGGACATGGACGGGAATGACAGTCGATTTGCAAACCCCGTTGAGGTCACAGTCTGATGATATTAGTACGCCCCATCCCGAGTTCGATAAGCTGCAGGCGGGATCACACTCGCCTGAAGTTACGCATCGGACGCATCCGCGCATGCTCCGCAATCTGCAAGGGGAACGAGGTATGAAATGTTGCGACTGCCATGCACATCATTCAATTGACACTATCCACTACCCGCAGTGTACGTCGGGAAAGCCGCCTCTCTGTCATTTTTACAATTGCTTCGAGATACAGTGACCCAACATATCGGGCCCTCGCAGTTCTCTCATAATGGGAGAAGTGAAGATATGCTGGAAGCAGAAGCTCATCATGATCTGTTGAATTTTTCCCATGAATGTTGCGCTGTTGACGAGAAGGACCGATTTATCCAGAATTATCACGCAGCGGTAGGACGAATGCCAATCATGAACTGTGGATAAATTACTGACAACACGCAAGACGAGCGGCTTTTTCAATTTGAGCTTTAGTGATAATGTTTCATCTACATTGATGGTCCCAGAGGAGGCCAGAACCGACCGGGAAAGAACTAGGGCGGCCATTATGGACCTTATGGTTGCTATCGGAGCACAATCCTGCCCGAACGATCGAAAAACCCTTCAGGTGGAGCGGTTTTACTTTGCTCGCGGTCAGCATAGGACGTTTGCCAACATGCTAGAAGATCCTAGTGTGGATTTAGTCCGAGTATTTCTACTCATGTCCTTCTATATGCTGGGGGCATGCCGGCGAAACACGGCATTCATGTACCTGGGAGTGGCATCACGAGCAGCGGTGGCACTTGGCTTCCATGCAGACTTTCCAGGGTCAATTAGCCCCGATGAGAGTGATACGAGCAACGAACGGTGAAAGCTTCTCGCAAGATCCACTTGGCCCAGCTAATCCTCAATAGATCACGATTATGGATGAGCTTATGCATTCTCGATTTGATTGTCAGTTCGATCCTCGGAAGACCTTCTGCTATATCACCGCTATTACCCGGGAATCGACAAGAACGTAATGGCGGGCCGACTGATCCTGGCCTAGTGGCTTCATATCAGTTATCCTTGATCCTGGACGAAATAATAAACTGTATTTACAGTGAAAAGGCCGCATCCGCACAGCAGGCAGACCTCCTATTATGCAAATTAAACGGCTGGTGTGAATATCTACCGCGATCATTAAGGACGTCGTCTTTGAGACACAAAGACCAGAGCACTTTCCAAGAGCATACAATTGGAAACATGCACGTTGCGTGTTCATATCATTTTGCCGTGATCTTAGTCACCCGACCTTTCCTCGTCTCGACCTTGAGTGTCCGGCTGTCCCGGTTACACCTGAGCCTCTCGACCGGTAATCCCATTGAGGTACCTGAGGAGGACCCAGCCCATTCCCGCCTCGCGGCAGCATGTGTCGATTCTGCTGTATACATGCTGCAAACATGTCTGGAGGTTCATAGGTCTGGTCTTCTTCTTCGGAATATGTGTATTCTCAAGTTCGTCTCCGCGAATCCCGATCTAGTAACTTCAAGGCTAATATACATCATCAAACAGAGCGTTTATCTTTGCCGCAGCCCTTGTGCTCGGGTTCTCCATGTTCTCTCATTGTGATGTGGATTCTGAGATTGATGATGTATTCCGCGGTGCCCTGACCATCTTGCGCATGCTGGCGTCGCAGTCTGCCCAAGCAGCTCATTACTTGGAGATAATAACGAAGCTAGAGGCCGCTATAAGCAAACAGCGCCAGCAACTCGCTGCCCAGGCCCGACAGCGACGGAGTCAATACGTCACTCGGATCTTTAGTTTGAACGACGGGGACGGAGAACAAGAAGAAGCGATAAATGCGACCCCACCTCTATCTCAGCGTGTCACATCAAACGCGTGGTTACATTCAGAAGATGACACAACTGCTGCTGTCTCACCCCCCATGATTGATGGGACTTTATTTGATTGGGAGTGTATGGATTTGCCTCTGTGGGATAGTTTCCCATTTCTCACCGAATCAACTGCAATGTGAAATACAATCTGTATACTATACCTGATGTAGTTTATTAGCAACTTCAGAAACTATAACTAATGTTAAGAGGGACTACATAGGCATCTAGGCTCCCAAAAAGAAGTACCGCAAGATGTATATTCAATTTCAATCACTTCTAAATAGACGACTTCACGGTCGGAATTAAGAAGCCGGGGGGATAAATATTCGAAGAATCCCAGTAGAGCTGGTAAATATCGTCGACATCCGTGTCCTTCAGACGGAACGAATCGCACAGGCGTCCATTCTCATTTTGCCACATAAGATACCTGCCGTAGAAAAGAGATTGATCTACCTCAGCATCGTCCGGTGTATCGACATCGTTCCCTGTGAAACCCACAGGTAGCACCATGTTGGGTGTGGGACGAATGTAGAAGAACGTGTCAGGGTCAAGGGTGCAATCCTTGTTAGTGGCCGTGGCGATGATTCGGGAGTTGTTGAAGACGACTAAAATATTATTAGCAGTTTGTCCTAGTGAAAAAAAAAAATGGAAATATATGTATAAATGCGAATAAAATAAAAGAGCAATAAGCCCTACATGTAACGTCGGTTGTCACCGATCCAGACACCCACTGGGACGAATCGCCGACATATGCGAGTCCTAAATATCGGGTCAGATGGGGATCAGTCTCATGCGGAACATCATAACAACCGTCAGAATAAAAAATATTGGCTCCCTCAGGGGCGACACCGTAGGCAATAATGGAGAAGGATCCTGTTGGATAGCGCTTTTGCAGGCCTAACTCAGAAAGTGCGGTCATGGCTTGCAAGGCTAAAGCCATGCTGGTCGGTAGGATATTCAATCTCATTATTTCGGAAATAGCTCTAGAGAGAGGAGAGAGAAGATTGAATACTCGGGGTGGGAGTGGCAGTTGGGCAGTTATGTTATTATCCCATTGTCAGACAACAAGTCTGGGTGATGCAGTCAGATCTTACTCCAGGGCTTGGATTAACCTTCCAAGGTTCAATGTGCTGACAGCGTATATCTCAATTTATTCTATTTCAAGCCGGTCATAATTAACTTAATTTTGAAAAGGGCCACTCTAGAGTGTTGTAGAAAGCGATATGATGACGAGTCGCACTTTAGCACTTCCTGAATAATAGGCTCTGGTTTAAACTAGTGGTGTGAGTTGCTTCTTATTGTAGTTATATCGAACAAAAAGTCACTAGGGATGACCCCAGCCTGCCTCGGAGCCAGCTCGACAATGGCAGACAAAGGTATGCTGCACTGTAACCCTTCTTCTTGGTGGTAAATCTAAAAACCAATATGGCTTGCTTCAACTGTGAATCAACACAGCCATTCTTGCTCTCCGCTTCACATTCACAACACACAGAGAGTATAAATTTGATCCTAAACAAATTGGTTGAAATTGCGGGGCTATCCTATCACTATAAATACAACACAGGGGCATTGACATTGTTCACTCACTGTTCCATTTGGTATGTGTCTGGTATACCTGGTTCACCTGGTCTATCTGGTACACAATTAATCTGGAAGACATCACGTGGTTGGTGAAATTCTGACAATAGTCTCGACTTCAACAGATCGGGGACCCCGGAGGGAAGCTCGTCTAGGCGATCATCAAACCCAGCTCCAAGGTAAACGAGAAATTCGACGTTCTATTAGGTTTCAGTAAAATGAGAAATGTCTGTGGGACTGTGGGATGTTGACGTGTTCAATTTGTGGGAAGCAAGACTTCAGATACATTTATACATTTGACGTTGCAGTAACTTCCGACTCGCCCATAAAAACCCACCTGGGCATTCACCTACATATGTACCTAGGTAGGTAGGCGCTGACAAAGCGGACTCTGTAACCTTTAAGTTTAAATTTCAGGTTTAGAGTAAAGGGAATACTACTAGTACACATATTAATTTTAAATAGAATCCGATCGGTAGGAGTTGAGATATAACCGAAAAGGTGAATATTGATGTTTTAGATGTTACATATATATGTAGTTATATATATATCTGGGTTTAGTAGGAAGCACCACCACTTTCTAGTGAACCTCTACAATTCTAGGAATTTACTAACCAACGCTTTTTCTCGTGTCTTTTTACATGATATAGAGATAATACTAGCAGCTGACTCTAAATCATCAAATCTAATGAAATATTACCTTAGGGATTAGGGTAAGAAACGGACGTAAAACAAAGGTAATTTAATTAATCCCAAAAGAGAGGTTCAACTTGTCTTGGCACTCAATTCTCGACATGTTTGTATTGTTTGTATTGTTTGGGCCCATCGATGGGCAAAACACAACGGGTTGGGTTGGGCTTTATGGGCTCTGCAGAGGTCTACTTCCGACACTCTCGTGTCTGACTCGCGAGGTCAATTTTGCATCATTCACTCATTTTCTGTCGGTTGGCTACCTGGCAGCCGACCCTCTCAAGCCTCACAAATAATAGGCCCCTTGGTCAAGAGCAAGAGGCGTCTGCTCCGGCCACAATTTCTGTATGGCAGATCTTGCTGCTGTGATTTGGTTCATGTTTGTGGCAAATTGGACTTGATGTAAAAGATCGATTTGACCAAGAATCCAGTATCTGCATCCCACTCCATCTGCATCAAATTCATACTTGTGACGCCCATTCTCGATGAGCAGATCGTAAATTTGCGAGACTGAAAGGCCAGAAATGTTATCGATGATGCACTCCGCTTGGGCATCATTAGGCACCTTACACATCAACTCTGAAATGATGAAGTTGGCTTTGGAACCCCCTTTTAAAACAGAGCTTGGGGCACTGTAGCTTGGCTGGCAATCAATTTGAACGGATTTCCCAGGAGATACTACAAGGTAGAGACACCAATGGTTTGTTCCCGCATTTTGACTATGCGGCACAGCAATGATCTGTCTCACTGTCAACGCCAAAATTTCGACCTGGCGATTTTTCGGCACAAAATGCACTGGTTGAAAGGTGGCCATTCTGCTATTCAGTAAAAGTCAAATTTTGTTAAAGGTGGGCTCTAGAATGACAAAGAAAGAGGTCGGTAGCTACCTGGGTGATGGTCTACTGATGGATTGCTATGTAGGAATATCCAATACACCAGCCTAGGCCAGCTCTCTTGCCCTGGTCTCTGGTCAAATTCAAACCAGCAGAATTGGGTCCGTGGGCAATCTTGGTATGATCTTGTTGAGGCCACTACAGAGTTGTGGGCCAGAAAGTGGGCGAGGGTATCTAGTTAGTTACCTAGTGAGGGGGTTGATGCCCGAGGCACTAAAATGGCGGCCTGGGGCCACAACAATAACAGATAGTTAGTATTTTGAGGATAGAGTAGCACCGTAGTAATCACTTCTCAGTTTTCATTTTATAATCCTCTCTCCTCTCACACATGCGTAGTCAAACAAAAACAATGAAATTAGGTGCAGCCTAACTCTTATTGGTTAATATTGCCAGATGTCTACCTCCTAGGTAGGTATAGATGCCTCTGATGCCTGAATGCCTCGATTAGTTAACTAACTATTTAATGCCTTAGAAAACGGGCATCAAATGTTGATACCTAACTATACAAATAGTCCCCGCTTTTACTTTCCACTTTTGTCTTTCCCTTTCCCCACCTGTTTGACTCCTTTACCCAATCCACTCCCACCTTCTCGATGAGTACTTCGATTCTTTCCGGTCTCCTTGGCACCAAGGTCACCGTCGACTTATGGCCCCTACCAATTACTGGCCCTGCGTTTGAAACCTGGGAAATTACCGAAAAAATCGACGAAGAAATGTGCGCTATGCATGAAATCGAATCGAATAATGGTACACGACCAGCCTACGTACTTGGCACGTTCCGGTGCCGGTCTACCGATGACAATGACGATGGGAAGAAGCTTGGCATCATGAAAGTTTATAAGCAGATTCCATTCGTTGGCACCGAGCTTTACGACTATGAATATCGCAAGCAACAAGCCGTTGAGCCCTACGAACCAACAGAGCTGATCGCCCTAAAGGCCTTAAAGCGCCGACGCTGCGTGGTTGTTCCGGAATTACTTGGCTATCGTCTTACTAAGCAAGATGCCATGGAGATCGTGCCCAGAGGGTGCCTCATGTACATTGTGTGGAAGCAAGTCCCAGGGAAGCCCCTGACTCAAGAAGCCTTCTGGCAAGCTCCCCTCGCGGAGCGCAATGAGATTCGGTCCCGATTTCGCCACACCTACCAGTATATCTTCAAAGCACTTACTTGACATGTTTACGGCTAACAGGATATAGGCAGCTTGTTGAGTATGAGCCAAGTATCGGTGATATTCGGAAGATTATCTATGACTGGATAACAGGAGAGATGTATGTCGGTACTCAACTCACAACATCCACCGAGCTAATAGTCTCTAGGCATATCTGTGGGTTCTGGGATGCCGAGTTACTAGACGGTTATGCAAAATGGGATGACTACCTCTTTGTGCAGTTTGACCTTGTATCGGGCAGCAAGTCAGATGAACGGTACTTTAATATCACTGCCATTGATACTTATCACGATGAAAAGGGCTGGAGATGGTAGACGAAGGTCTCATAACAAAGTAAGGAATGGGGATACTTTTTGCTAGTTCTAATTATGAAGAATCGCTTGACCAGTCCAACTCTGACTCTCTAATTCAATCAAATCCTCACTGAGTCCTGCATGAATTACTTGAGCTATTCCCGTAAGGTGGGCATTTGTAACAAACTCATGTTTACGAATGGGAACATGTTAGTGACTGAGAGTCACGTGGCTTCTCTCTCTGTTAGTACTCTTCAATGCTTTCTAAATAGCATTGGATATAGACCCGAAGTCCTTGTTAGGAGAGGTCTACTTGGTGGATGTCAAAGTGCATGGTGCAATGTGAGATATTGATTGAGTTGTTGAAGAAGTTAAGTTATAGAGTGTGTGAAATCCAACAGTACTCTTCGGTAAAAGGCCACTTTAATGGATAGACGTCAAATTTCGGCGCTCGGATTGGTGAGGCCAGGCGACGAATATGCCACTGGCACATAACTCTGTCATTGGTTATTACCTACAATAAATAGTCTACTCTATAAAGATTCATCCACCCCCTAAACTAGCGGCTAAGAGATCTACTAATTTTCTTTAAATTCAATTTAGATTCAATTTAGATTTAGTTCAGATTCAGTTCAGATTAATTTACTTTAAAAGTTCCTATACTGATTTTAGAAGGCATTAATTTTATTACACTTATAGTCTAGGTATTCAATTAGTTTTTATAAAAGTGAGAGTAGATCTAAACCACTGCTGGCAATATAAACCAATGAGAGAGTTATGTGCCGGTGGCATACTTAGTCGCCCGTACGTACCCTTCTACGAAAGCCCCTGCCACCGGTGGATGTTGCCCCTTATCACACCACGTCAAGTGCATTGCACGAGGGAAGATTCCTAGATTCCTCGGGACCTTACACGACTGGCCAAACTTCTTCCAAGATGTGAAGCAATTTGAGAATAACCAAGACTGGTCCCCGAGATTGCTAGGATGGAGCCTCCAGAGTAGACTGGTTGATACGGAATTTGTTGCTATTGGCGACGAGCACGGGCTTGAAGGGCGATTCCAGTGATTTGTGGGCCAGGTTGTTGGATCAGTGTTGAATGCTCAAATCATCGCAGTGAAATTTGGAGATTTCAAATCAGCCGATCTTGCTAGTGTCTATCCCGGATATGCCCTCACGCCCGATGTGGCACTTATTTCAACCGACCCGGTCGACATTGACCAGATCAAGGCTATAGGGGAGTTGAAATCCCCCTAGGTGAATGAGCATAAGTTCAAAAAGTACTCGGCAGCCCAGCGCAAAGCCAAATTATTTGCGCAACTCATCGGATATATATGTTGGATCTTCAACTAAGGTACGGTTCCATGTCAAACTATGATGGCACAGTATTTCTAAGACAGGTGTTCAAAAATGGGGAGTGGGCTGTGGAGTATTCTCCAGTCGTGGAAGCGTCGTTTGATGGTTCTGGTACTATGGGGAATGAGCCTCCATCGTTAAGGCAATGTTTCGCGTATCTGAGTAGTCTAGAATCTGTGCAGCCATTCATTGACAATAGCACCCTTCGTGCTAACTGGATCGGCTAATCATGTTTTCGTTCAAGGTTATTCTAGAACAAACATCGAATATGAAACCATACTGCTGTGAATCATATTAAACTTACTGTTGAGTCATGAGACCACGCCTCAAGTCTGATAGAACTAGTGTCATTAGATAGCCCTGTCTCTCGGGTGAGGAATATTCAGGTAGGTGAATATCTGCCCTGGGTGCCCTGAATAGAGCGAGCCGCCCACGCCCGAACCGTGTTAGGTCCACGGTCATACTCATGCTGTTGTATGTTTTTGATTTTTTTGTTATGTTCTTCTCACTTTTAATCATTCACGTAACGAGATAATGCTGATACATCTTTTACCGGATAACGCAGCTTTCACAGGAGAACTACAAAAGCCGAAGATAAGCGCCAGTGCGCGGCCCGCGGTGACCCGAGTGCACCATCCGCCAGCCGATGTAGAAATCCGTGAAGTGTGTATGAAATACGTAGAGATAAAGAATTAATAGTAGGAGGGAATGTGCTATATATTCACCTTGACACTCACAGCTTTCCGCATCGATTCAACCTGTCTTAAAACTCACAAACTTTAGTTGATTTATCTACATATACCATGTCAAGCTGGAGGAGCCTCAATGTCGGCGTTATTGGCGGGGGAATCGGCGGCATGTCGGTTGCAGTTGCCTTACGTCGTGCAGGACACACTGTGACCATCTATGAAAAGTCGGACTTTGTAGGTGAAGTCGGCGCTTCGGTCTCGTGTGCTGCCAACGGAACCCGCTGGCTACATGAATGGAACGTGGATATCGCCAAGGGTGACCCTGTGGTTTTGAAGAAGCTTATCAACCGTGATTGGAAGACGGGTGAACCTGTCAGTGTGTACGACCTCGAAGATTATGAGAAGCGCTGGGGATATGTTTACAACATGTTCCATCGCCAGTACATGCATGCCATGCTAAAGGATTCGGCGCTGGGCGAGGGTGAAGGAATGCCAGCAACCCTCAAAGTGAACTACCGGGTACGTTCGTCGCTGAAAGTTGCTTGGAACCAAGCGTGTGCTAATGTTGCCTGGGATTTAGTGCCGCGATATCGATCTGAAGACGAGTACAGTCGTCTTCGAGAACGGCGAGGTCATAAGCCATGACCTAATCATCGGTGCAGATGGAATCGGATCGGCTGTTCGAGGCATTATTGGAATTACCCCAGAAAAGCGAGCCTCCGAGCAGAGCTGCTTGCACACCAATGTCAAAACCGAGGACGCCATCAGGCTTGGCCTGGTGAACTACTCCGAGAATAGCGCACTGGAATACTGGGGTGGACAGGAAGGCAAATGGGATAAGATTGTTCTGTCGCCCTGTAACGGCGGTGAGCTTCTATCGTACTACTGCTTCTTCCCGCGCGAGAAAGGCGACTATTCAACACAAGCATGGGGAGCCGAAGATCGCCCCGTTGAGGAACTCCTCGCCCCATACCCGGAACTCGACCGACAAGTGTTTGAACATCTGAAGATCGGGGCAGAGATCAAGCCATGGCGTCTCTGGGTCCATGACCCGTACCCGTATATCCAAAGCGGTAACACCTGTCTCCTGGGGGATGCTGCACACCCGATGATGCCTCACCAAAGTCAAGGGGCCTGCATGGCCATCGAAGATGCGGCAGCACTAGGGCTCTTATTTGATAAGCGTTATTTCTCGGGGGATATTGCTCAAGCTCTCGCTGTTTACCAGGAGGTACGTCTGCCTCGTGCCACAAGGGTGCAGGGAGCAGCAGCCAAGGCTGCTTACAATATCAACGAGCGGATTGGTGAGTGGCTTTTGTTTCATAATGTTGCAGTGCATTTCTTTCTGACCACCACCCCATAGGCTTCTCCGTCAACAAAGATATTCCCACATACAGAGTTGAAGATGCGAAGAAGGTTCTTACTATCGAGGAGATGAACGCGTGAGTTTGACAAACGTCAGGTTTTGGGAAATACTGACAATGACTAGCTATGACATGCATAGAGACATTGAAGAGAAACTCGCCGCAAAGCGTGGAACAACCTATACCGACAAATTCCTATGTGGACTTCCCGTTGGACTTGAGCTACCGAATGGGATGACGATCGGCGCAGTTGGCGCATAATTTAACGTGATTTTCTGAAACAGGGAAGCAGCCATTGGCTTTATTTTTGTTATTTAATTTGGCTACATATGTAGTGTTGATTGAGATGTTTGTACATTGCGCTAGTCTACATAGTCATGAAATAATGAATAACTAACTAGTAAATACCAAAGTCGCTAGGGGATACACCTTTCTAGAGCAATACAATAAATACATAACTAATAGTTAACTAGTTAACAATAATCTACATGAATGGTATAATCCCGCCAAGTATCCTGCCGAGCTTAGCCCGGAGTCGACTGTTGCAGTCACCGAGCTTCTCGGGGGGAGATGTACCGACCCCGCGATAGTCTACGGATTTTACCAGGACAATATTAGAATGATAAAACAATATTAATGTGTAGTAATGTATGGTTGTATTATTATATAGACTAAGCTACATATACCTACTGTTTTAAGACTCTTGTCGCATACATAGAAACATAGGCCCTCGTCTGCCCACAAATGAATGTATACACATATGTATTCTACAAGGTAACTAGTTAACTAGCTAGTTAGCATGTACATAGTTATGTATGTATGTAGGTATAGATCAAAAAAGCAGTTGATAGGAACCAAAGTTATTCAATTTGGATCGTATACAAAAAGAAAAATCATATATCATCATTTCATTGGATTGAATCACCCAACCACTAGTAATTTATTGTTGTTTTCTGTTTTTGTTGGGGGTTTTTTTTAGAACAGAGCATCGCCCAGGCGGTAGTGCACAGTCTTGACCTGGGTGTAGTTCTCAAGAGCGTAGGAACCGAGCTCACGGCCAATTCCGGACTCCTTGAAGCCACCGAAAGGAGCCTGGTAAGAGATCATGTTGTAGTTGTTGATCCACACGGTACTATAATAGAGTTAGCTTTGTTACAGCAGTCCTTGATCGGATATAACAATCGGATAAAACATACCCAGCCTTGAGAGCGTTAGAAACGCGGATGGCAGTGTTGATGTTCTTGGTGTGAACGGCAGCAGCGAGACCTGAATACAGTTAGGAAATTCGGAGTTTCACGATGAATGCAAACGATACATACCGTAGTTGGTACTGTTACCAATGCGGATGGCATCGGCCTCATCCTTGAACTTGGTGACGGCGATGACGGGGCCGAAGATCTCCTCCTGGGCGATCTTCATTTCGGGAGTGACGTCGGTGAAAACGGTGGGCTGGATGAAGTAGCCCTCGGTACCGTGGCGCTCACCACCCAGGGCGATAGTGGCACCCTCGTTCTTGCCGTGGTTGATGTACTCCATGATGCGGTCGAACTGGAGCTGCGAAACCTGGGGACCCTGGAAGGTGTCACCCTCGAAGGGGTTGCCGAGCTTGTTCTGAGCGGCACGCTCCTTGAAGCGAGCGACGAACTTGTCGTGGATGCTCTCCTGGACCAGCAGGCGAGAACCGGCGCAGCAACACTGGCCGTGGTTGAAGAAGATACCGAAGTTGGCCCATGAGATGGCGTTGTCGATATCGGCGTCCTCGAAGACGATGTTAGGGGACTTGCCACCCAGCTCGAGAGTGACCTTCTTCAGGTTAGACTTGGCGGCGGCCTGCAGGATCATACGGCCGACAAGGGTGGAACCAGTGAAGGCGACTTTATCAATGTCCATGTGGTTAGAGATGGCGGCACCAGCAACACGACCGAAGCCGGAGATGACGTTGATGACACCGGGGGGAAGCCAGCCTCGACAATAAGCTTAGAGGCGTACAGACCAGACAGAGGGGTCTGCTCAGCTGTCTTAATGATCACGGTGTTACCGGCAGCGATAGCGGGACCAATCTTCCAGGCCCACATGAGAATGGGGAAGTTCCAGGGGATGATCTGGCCACAGACACCAACGGGCTCGTGGCGAGTATAGGAGAGGGTCTCGGAGTTGGTGTCAATGGTCTGGCCAGTGATCTTATCGGCCCAACCACCGTAGTAACGCAGGCAGCCGGCAGCATTGGCAATATCGACCTTGGCCATGGTGACGGCCTTACCATTGTCGAGAGCCTCAATGGAAGCCAGGGTCTCCATATCACGCTCGAAGAGGTCGGCCAGCTTGGTAAGCATACGACCACGGTCCGAGGGGGTCACCTTCTTCCAGGGACCCTCGAAGGCCTCGCGGGCGGCCTTGACAGCGATGTCGACATCCTTCTCGGAAGCCTCGTAGACGGAGGTGATGGGCTTTTCGGTGGAGGGGTTCAGGGTTTCGAATGTCTTGCCTTCAACACCCTTGATGAATTCGTTGTTGATGAACCTGAAACGAGGAACCAATTAGCAATTGTGTTATTGATATTGAGGGAGGGGTAAAAGCGTACAAGCCGAGGGGCTGTTCATAAGTGACATGGGGAGTCTTAATGGTAGTGGAGAGCGACATGGTTGCACAGAGAGGGTAGAAAGAGAAAGCGGAGGAGAGGAGGAATCTTCAAGGGTTTTTATATATGTTGTACTTGGTAACTTGGGTTATACTTGGAGAAAAAAATAACTTCGTCTTTGGTTTTCGTTGACTTTCTTGACTTTCTTCATGCGGGGTCAACGTCACATGAGCCACTTTTTGTAATGTAACGGTATGAATACCTGTTGTATTGTCACTTTCCAAGGTTCCAAGGTGGTTATTATTGACCTCACATTGTTTTAATCATGTAATTATGCAGAATTATGTTTATTAGTTACGTATATATTACTTAAGAATAGGTTGCATTTGTACATAGCACAATCTCTTATAACTACTTAGGTATACCTAGGTATACCTGTACTCCGGATGTACCTAATATGTACAAAGTATTGCAGACTTTCTACGGAGTATATTGCCCCTCTTTTTTTTTTTATAAAAAAAAAAAAAAAAAAAGAAATACAAGGTCCTTGTCTTCGAGGTACATATTAGCTCCATCAAAGAGGGCTTGGCGCAGAAGCATAGACGTAATACAACAGTCTCGGGGTCTCGGGTTAAAGCTGACCTCGGGATGTACCTACATGTACTCCGTAGGTACAGGTGCGTCCTTTACATCTACTTTATGTACGAGTTTATCTCAACTACTCCGTACCATCATGTTTTATCCTTTTTACACAAAATGCCCCTCAACGCCTACTTTTCATTTCGGAAGGGCCAAAAGAGGGGCAAGTGGGCCTAGAATGTGATCATCGTCATGTCTCCGTACGCGGGCTAATATCTCCCCGGTGACACTACCAGTTGGGGTTAAGGTATGTCTTAAATCGGCCGAGAATATATTGTTAAGTCTTTATTTTGGAGTTTATTGTTGAGACTGAACTTCAGGGGAAAGTAATGGTGACATGACTTCTAGATTAGGAGATATTCAATATGTAAAATCCTCTGAAACCCCAGAAAACTGCGGCAATATGTATCCATGCTATTACTTTCGTAATAGTCACGATAACATATAACATGCAGTAGCCGCAGGTTAGCGTCGACCCTTATTCTTGGGAGCGTAAATGAACAATTCAGCCTAGGTCATAAATCGTCGGCACAAAGTCACGACCCGACGCAAAGGTTACTCTTAAGATACACTCCTATGTTATAGAAATTCAACAGATGTGCTGAAAGTCTCACATGCTACCACAACCCCACCCGGAACGTTGAATCATCTCTTATAATTCCACTTGAGACACCGACCATAAATCACCAATAGTCCAGATGTGACCAAAAACTTTCAAAAGTATCAAGAGGGTCGACTGGAATAACTTATCTTTTACAGGCTTAGATTTACCAAATGGATCCATTATTATACCAAGATTCTTCGCTAGTATTTCAAGTATCATTCTCATGTTTTTGTCGGGATCCCAAACCTTGTGATTCTTCTGTAAGATACTAAAGCGAAGAGATATGCCGCGGTTTGGTTATCGTCGCTAGGAACAGCATCGAACCACTTGACCTACACGGGAGCAATCACAGTTACTGGTCAGATCAGAGAGTAGCAAAAATGTTCATCATAATACCCAACCAGCGAAACAACATGAATTCAAAACGACTATGAAAGCTGACAACATGGAGATCTGACAACAATCACCAAAGAGTTATTGTGAAGTACAACTGTACAACTAACCATGGACCTTAGGTTTCCTTCTAAATTTCAATGCTGGAAAAATATGGTATTAGGCATACTGTATATAAGCATACACTAACATCTTACTAGGTTTTCTTTTTTTGGATGCTCTTCTTAGGGTCTTTTTAGTTGTCTTTTTAGTTGTCTTTTTAGTTGTCTTTTTAGTTGTCTTTTTATATAAGGCATTATTGTTGTGGTGGCCTTAGGCCCCACATTTGTGCCTCAGGCATCAACCCTCTCAACTGTAGATATCTAGCAGTTTCCTCCCTTCCATAGCAATCAACTCCCTCTCTACTTCCCAGACTCTATCAACAGTAGTCTGTTCATCAATTATAAGGCATCATCTGGGTTCAATATTACTACTAACTACATAACTAGTTACTGCCAGGCAATATAAACGAGTTATGTGACTGTGATCCCTATAGTCGCCCGTACACGTGATCCAGATGCATGTATCCAGATTGTCCTCCTTGAGGGATTAGTTCAGTTATATTCAGTCATACAATTGGTGTCGTCGTGCCTCATCATGTCGCTAAAAACTGTGGTCGCGACTAAGGCAGAGGTTACGTAATAACATATTGGAAGCCCTAATATTAACCCCAATAGGCAATTCATAGGTCCTCTCTATATAGGGCAGTCTTCGCTTCCGCTCGCTGTGCGCTCAGATCTAGGGTAACATATTCAATACTTGATTCACAGGGCTCGACAGTCGCCGCCATCACCGAATGCGAAGGTGGTGGAGAAGTGGCGCGTTGCGGCACAGCACGGAATAATAAGAATCCAGCTTTGCTATATGAGTAGGCTCCTGCGCTCAAATGAGACCTTGAAAGTGCCGCAAAATCTCATCCATCTCCCACCCTGGGGGACCTTGTCCACTCGAGTTGCCCGCTACAGCTTCCAACTGCATAGGCTGAGCCATACCAGTTGAGCCGAAAGCATTGTATAGGTCTATGAGGTTGTTGCTCATGTCAAAGACGTCGGGGATTGAAGTGCCAAGGTCTGGAGTGAAGGTTGAGTTGTTGTCCATCCAAAGGCTGTCCGGCCCGATAATGGTCTCTCCGGTGGTCCCATGTTGCGGTTGGTCTTGGTCTTGCTCCCATGACTTAGAGCTTAGAGCAGCGGCCTCAGTGATACCACTGGTATCCTTCGCAGAAGCCGCACCTTCTTGACTGCCGAGTGACCCAATGACAGGTAAAAGACCACAAATGCTCTTCCACGGTCTGCGGCTAGCGGAGCTGTTGCGGGAGAAGCCTTTGACAAGCTCAACGGCGGACTCAAAAGAGTCCCGGCATGTCTCTACAAACATACTCGGGGCATGGCAGACAGCGAGAAGCAAGATAGCAAGACCGCTCAGCAGGTAGAAATGATATATAGGTTGTTGGCGAACGTATATATCGCTCGTTCCGTTCAAGTGGACCAACACCTCAATACTGTCTTTGGCGATCTCAACGACTAGACGCATACTTTGCATATCCGCCTTAACGTTGTCGGGATTCAGCACATGGTGTCGATGGATAAAAAGGCGCATATAATTGCCGCGGAGATAACACAAAGTCCGGAGACGGTGCAAAATCCGAGGCTGATTGCTCGGCGCGAGCCCTAGGCGGGGATGTCGAAATTGTAATTTTTGCGGGATCGACAGAAGCCAGTTTTGAGTGACAAAGTCCAAGTAGTCCTCCATCTCTTTTGGTATCCATTGTGACGAGGAACCATATGGCGTCAACGCTTCCCATACTCTAGAGCAAAGTCTGTCTTGCATAACTGACCATGCACTTGAAATACAAAAGTTCGCCGTCGGGTTCAGGCAATTTCGCATCGATGTCGCGATCGTCAAGTGCAAAGGAAAGGCTGGTGCCGAAGCTCCATCGACGGTCAAGCTCGTACACTACCCAGAAGACTTGAACGGCGAATTCGCGAGTGTCTGCGTCTGTGAAGTGATTGACTAGGTAGGCTCTGCTTGCGGTGGAGGCCCATCTCTAAACACTGCCGCGCAGCTCGGCCAATAGCACGCCAAGCGAACAGTTCTTTTTCGACATGGCAGAAGTAGATGCTCTGTAACCAATTAGCAGTTTCTCTTCTCGACAATTTTAAGATCTGCATTTGAGGGCTTTTTTAGACATACTAGTATGGCCATGATTTGTATATCTTTCAGTTCAACTTCAGAAGTACTCGATATGCTCCCAACATCCTGTTCCACAGCGGCGATCAATTTGTCGCAGAGCTCGCTCTTCCCTTGCGGCTCAGTGGTGATCGCTGTTGCAATAACTATTCTCAGTATGTGTATATCCTTGCTTTCAAGTTTCGGTGAGATGACCTCCAGGCGATTAGAATACCTAACCAGCTCTAACATATGTGGAAAGTTAAGCACTAGCAAGTCGGTATCAAGGATCGGGTGGCGCAGCGAGTGAGTCTGACGGGTAGCCTCAATGGTCGGGCCAGCAGTCAAGATACCGTGATTTCCCAGTAGCGCCGCCTTCTTATTCCCAAGGCACTTTACGATACCTTTACCATCTTCAGGTGCTAAGACTAGACCTGCAAAACTAGTGTAGAGTACGTGGTCGTTGTGAAAGACGCAGAAATCTTGAGTCAGCATATCGAGTGTTCGACCGGTTGCGCATATGGCCCGACCATATAAGCTGTGTGAGTGGGCCGCGCAGAGAACATCTAGTCGCGCTTTATGAATTTCGGTGTGGATTGCATACGCGGCTAGCATCCCATTAGTATCTTTCCTTGACCAAGTGAGTCCAATTGGGACACATTGTAGGGAACTCACCATAATTTAACCATCTTATTTTTTCCTCCTTCTACCACTGTACCGTCATGATCCACGCGGATCAAGTCCTGATCCCGAATTAGGCTGAAATGTGTGCCAAATGGATTCACCCAAAAGCTATCGGGGTCAACAGGATCTCTAAGCGTGATATGGCCTGCGACACCTTCAGCTAGCCCAAATTGTGCGAACACTCGGAAGGCGATGGCGAGGCGGTGCTTTAAGTATGCGTGTTCTTCGTAGGGATCCGAGAATTTCGGCGGACTCTCGGCTTCTTCATCAACGTAGGGAGGTGATGGGTGCCCGGATGTGTATTCAGGCTGCAAATGCTTCTGGGTCGCTAGAGGATTAGACTGTGTGATGGAACAGCCCGACGCGACAGGGTTGTCTTCAAGAAAAACAGGCAGTGACATGATAGTGTTGTGTGCTTGAGAGAAGGGTGTCAAAGAAGATTCGCAATAAAAGACTTTGAAAATGTTTCATCTAACAAAGTTGATAACAAAGTTGATATCAACGACAGTATTTCCGAGCACGTGCGCGGAACCGAAACCCCAGCAAGGTCTCGGTAGTTCTTACTTGCACCTTTTACCCTGCCCGGATGATTTCCAAGTGCGGAAGCGGAGCGTGGTCTCGATCGCGGGGTTGCAAGGTTCCCCGCACGATGTCTCCATGCCCCATGGGGTCATTCAACCAAGGGAAATCGCATGGTAATCGGCAGATGGGTGGTGTTCGAAGTGCATATGTACCCGGACTGCGCCTGAAATGATCAACCCTACAGCTATACTCGAGTTCCCATGTTCAATTTTATCGATTCCCAGCCAGGATGGACTCCAAGAACTCTTCTGAGTTTATTGAGAAGCTAGACACTCAATCCCAAGGCCGTAGTGCAGATTGGAATGAGGCCACACGTCGAGCTGAGAGGAAGTTACGCACCAAGATCGACCTTTATATCGTGCCAACAGTCGCCTTGCTCTATCTTATGTGCTTTATTGATCGGGCGAATATTGGTGAGCGAGTGCGAGATGATCAACCACAAAGGTTCCTCCTAATGATGGTGCAGGTAACGCGCGTCTTGCAGGCTTTGAACAAGACCTAGACCTTCATGGGTATGACTACAACACAGTGTTATCAATCTTCTACATCTCTTATATTCTCTTCGAGATCCCAGCAACGGTTTGCTGCAAGCTGCTAGGTATGGCTTCGGAACCTTGGTATATAGACCATCTACGCTGACGACATGATTCAGGCCCCGGTTGGTTTCTACCATTAACAACCCTCGGCTTCGGCGTCGTCTCTGTCGCGACTGCTTTTGTGCGTACGCGCGCTCAGGCATGTGCAGTCCGATTTCTCCTGGGCATATTCGAAGCAGGCATAATGCCAGGCATTGCGTACTACCTCTCGCGCTGGTATCGCCGAGCTGAACTTGCATTCCGCCTTGGCTTATACATGACCATGGCACCGCTGTCCGGTGCCTTTGGTGGCCTTTTTAGCTTCCGGCATTCTAAAGTTGTCACATTTCGGATCTCTGCACGGATGGGAAATGTACGTTGTTGAAACTTCGGGCACTTCCTTAGATTCTCATCTCGCTGACAACGATCTAGGATTTTTGCCGTCGAAGGCATCATAACTATTATTCTCTCACTCATCGCCCTTTTTACCTTGACCGACCGGCCTGACTCCGCCCGCTGGCTTTCTGAAGACGAGAAGGAACTTGCTACTAATCGCGTCAAGTCTGAGCGCATAGCCCAGGTCGTTCTGCTTGATAAGATCGATAGAATGAAGCTGAAGCGCGGCTTTACAAACCCCATCACAATTGCTACAGCATGCATATTCATGCTCAACAACATCACAGTACTCTCAATCTCTTTCTTCCTCCCGACCATCGTCAAGAGTATCTACCCAGGCCGCACAGCCGTGCAACAACAACTCCTCACTGTGCCCCCATATATTGTTGGTGGCTTCTTCGCTCTCTTGATACCGGCACTAAGTTGGCGCTTCGATCACCGGCAATGGTTCCTCGCAATTGCCGGTCCCGCGGCTATGGCAGGATTCACGATCCTCCTGGCTACACTTGATGCGAACGTGCGGTACGGAGCCATCTTTCTAACGGCGAGTACGGCATTTACGCTTGGTGCGATGTGTAATGCACAGGTCAGTGCAAACGTGTTGAGTGACTCGGCGAGGAGCATTGCAATCGGGACGAACGGTTCGTATTTCACCAGAGGATGTTAGACGGGATACTGACCGTTGTCGTAGTCATGTTCGGCAACATTGGTGGCCTCGTTGCAACCTGGACATACCTCCCTGGGGATGCACCAATGTACCGCATTGGTAATGGTGTGAACCTCGCGTGCGCCATTCTTTGGACGAGCATTGCTATAATGACTTTCTTCTGGATGAGGTACGACAATAAGAAGCGTGAGAAATGTGAGGCTGGCACGCACGAGCAGCTTGCGGGGTTGGGTCAGAAGGAAGTTCATGATTTGGAGTGGAAGCACCCTGATTGGCGGTGGAGACCGTGATGAGGCATTCTGAAAAGTAGTATGTATTGATGTTTTGAACACTTCTGTAAATACGTCTGTATGTAGCGCGAGAATTGGCCCTAGAGCAATGACGAAATGTTGAGGTCGGGTTGTGCTGAGGTGTTGCTTGGTGCCAATATAAGTTGAACCCCTCTTTTAGGATTAATTGAATTACCTTTGTTTTACGGCCGTTTCTTGCCCTGATCCCTGATGTAATATTTTATTAGTTGAGATGATTTCGAATCAGTTACTAGTATACTCTGTATGTCACGTAAAAAGACACGAGAAAACGCGTTGATTGAGAAATTCCCAAAATTACAGAGGTTCACTAGAAAGTGGTAGTTAGTTAGTGCTTCCCTACTGAAAGATAGTATATATCCAATATCAAAACATCAACATTCACCTTTTCGGTTATATCTCACCCCCCACCGATCAGATTCTATTCAATACTAACATGCGCACTCATAGTATTCCACTTATTCCAAATCTAAAATTTGAACTTCATGTGATCGGTAGAAGATCGTAATACAACGATCACAGAGTCCGCTTTGTCAGCGCCTGCATGGGTTTTTATGCCTCCACCGAGTAATTGTTTATCAAAATCCTACTCGTGTATGGAGTACATGATTAACTATTAATGTCTAATAAGTCAGCGTATCATGAAACAAGTATCGAGAATACTATCTCTATATGTTGTGATTTTGCATTCCGGAAAAGTATTTTACTAGAACACCATGAAATGTCTCCCAACCGACCCATACAAGAGTGCAACTTCTCTAGATCTGGGAGCACAAAGGGGCAGAACAGGGTATTATAAGTATCTCATTTGTCTTGCTCGCACTTCGTCCCCTCCATGTAGTGACTAAGACACTATCATCATGGTCCATCTCAGCATAATCATGCCTAGCATAGTCCACATCACCATCGTTATCATCATAATCATCGCGGTCGTTGCCAAAAGTATTGCCAGCATCATTATCATCATAATCGTGAGGACGACCATGTTTACCCCCATCATCATCTTGATCATATCATCTGCATCGTGTTGGTCATAAGCACCGTTATACATTCTCTCGCCATTATACATTCTCTCGTCGTCCTCAGAATAATTATACGTTCGTCCCTCGTCCTCTTGATCAACATCCACGGTAGAGGTTGTTGAAGAATAACCACTCCTAGCAGCGGTTCCAAAAAAAGCAATATGGCTAGCAATGCTCTTCGTTTGTGTGTTGGAGGAAAAGGAAAGTTCGCTAGCAGGCGAAGACCTGCGGCCAACGTCCTTCGGCAAACATGTCGACTCAACAGACCGTTCTCTCTTGCTGGGGTTTGTTGCTCCATACCGGATGAGTAAGTCTCTCAGGTGGTCATCTCTGGTTTGCAGTGAGAGTTCAATGGGTGTATTTCCGTCCTTCGTTTTGGCATTGATGTTGGCTCCGTTGTTGAGCAAGATAGTAACCGTTTCGCTGTTTCCTTCAGAAACTGCAAGGTGCAGTGCTGTTTTGCCCGAGTAATCCTGTAGATTCGGTGGTGCGCCTTGCTCCATGAGCAGATACACCACTTTTCTACGGCCCGTCGCCGCAGCAGAGTGCAACGCTGACCAACCGCGGTTGTCCACAGCAAGCATGTCGGCCCCAGATGTTAGAAGCAAGCGGGCCACATCATCATGATCTGATGCTGCGGCTAGGTGGAGAGCCGTACATGCGTCATGAGCGCGACAAAGGATATTACTGCCATTTTCGATCAGAAACCGCACCGTGGAACATTGACCATTCGAGGCGGCGATGAACAAAGCGGTCTGGCCGTTTTCATCTTGCACCTCTGGATGGATCTGCTTAGAAATCAGGTATTTGATGATATCAATACGTCCGTTCTGTGACGCTAAATGCAGTGACCGCTGCTTCATGACTGCAGAGTTGGTAAACGATCTGGTCGATGAAGCGAAAAGGCACTCGAAGATCTCGCGATCACCCATTAGTGCCGCAAGAAGCACAGGACTATGGCCTTCAGAGTCTATCGCTTCAAGATCGGCTCCATTTTTGGTCAGACAAGTAATTACATCGAGATGTTTGTAGTATGCCGCGCGGTGCAGGGGGGTTTGCCCGAGCGAATCGATATCGTTGACGTCGGCACCAGCCTCTATTAGCATCGCCACGATCTTCGCATTTCCATTCATTGCAGCTGCTTGGAGTGCAGTGCCATATAAACCACTTTGCCTCCGTGTCGGTTTTGCTCCGAACCTCTTCTTGATTGTCTCATACGGGTGCCAAATTTCGGCTGAAGATCCTGTTGTCTTTCGCTTTATAATATTGGGCCCTCCCAAATATTTAGGTAACCCCCCTTGGCAGAGAAGGTTGGCCCCGGCACTGATGAGCAGTCGGACTATGGTTTCGTGGCCCCCTGCGGCTGCGGCCTGCACTGCGGTGCCATAATGGCCCCCTTCCGTATTTACGTCGACGCCACGATCCAGAAGGAGGATTACCGAGTCTTCTGCACCATTATATGCGGCAGTTTGGAGAGCTTTCCAAGGATCCTCCTGACCGATATCGACATTTCCCTTGGTATCAAGAGGGGTGTGCACAATGTCTTCGTGCTCGTCGGCTACTGTCATACTCGGAGTGACGTGCGTCAGACCCGGGTCGGCCAGGTCAGACTGCCTGAGGGAATTGGATTGGATAGTAGGACTCGCGCCACAGTGAAGCAGCTTGTTGACAATCGCCAAATCCTCGCAAGATACTGCATTCTGTAGAGCTTCTTCCAGATCCGTGGGGACAAAATGTTTGCTTTGGATGGCCAGCGGTAGTAGTAGCTCCACGAGCCCAAGCCTTTTGTGGAGAGCCGCCTCGGAAAGTGCACCTATGCCGTTCCTGTATCTCTCCTGCTCCGAAGTAAGTGGGTCCTGCATTTCTAGCAAGGTGATCACCACACTTGGATTTGACACGCAACATGCGTGTTTAACAGTCGCGAGATCAACTAGTGCACCACGACCCAACAGCAGATTTACTACTGCCTCTTGGCTTGTCTCCAGTGCCATGCACAGTGCACTACACAGGGCAGATTTGACACGAGACCTGGCGCGGCCCGACTTACCGGAGCGGCCATCATGATCGCTACTCGTGTGGACTCTGGGCGGTAGCGCATCTAGCAAAAGGGCGACAACCTGACTGTGGCCTCCTGCTGCCGCAAGTACTATGGGATATGTGGGATACCCCCAGTTGGTAGGTTGGTACCGAGTTCCTCGAGTTCCTCGGCGACGTCCATATCGAGGCGATCATTTTTCTTCCAGGGATCTGCTCCCTGCCCGAGAAAGATGCCAACGAGCTCCGCCTCCCCAGCCAGCGCTGCATGTTGGAGGCTTGTGGCCCTTATCCCTCTGGAAGCAGTAGCTTTCGCCCCCTTCTCAAGGAGCCATCGCGCGAGGGAGTGATGACGCCCCGCCATGGCTGCTTGTAGCGGTGTGTCCAGCCTATTCGAAGAGGCATTCGGGTCTGATCCACGGGCTAGGAGAATTTCAGCCACTGCCTGGTGACCACCTAGACATGCCAACTGCAGACAATCTTCAACTTCGGCCTTTGCCTCGCACAGCATCTCCACGACCCGCGGGTAGCCGCCCGCCGCGGCAGCCCCGAGCGCACTCCCAAAGGCTCCGCCCTGGACATTGGTATCAGCACCGTGCTGGAGCAAACTATGCACTATAAGATCGTATCCGTCTCGAGAAGCAGCTTGTAAAGCTGTGCAATAATCGCCTCCGGTTAATTGGACATCGGCCCCCGAGTCCAACAAGCGCTGAACTAGAAGATGATTGCCGCTACGGCATGCTGCGTGAAGGGCAGTACCATAGACGCCCGCCTGCACGTTTACTGCAGCGCCTGACTGCAACAGAAGCTCTGCTAGCCCGAGATTTGCCTGCCGGCAAGCTGCTATCAGCGCCGTACCATGCTTTCCTGCTTGCATGTTAGGGTCGGCTTTAGCAGTAAGAAGTTGCCGGACGATGCTGGTGCGCCCGGCTGCGGCGGCACCCTGCAGCGCAGTGCCATATTCGCCACCTTCACAGTTAGGTGATACCCTAGGATGGCTTAGCAGTATCTTGACGACCGCGTCATGGCCCGCTCGAGCTGCAATATGCAATGGTGGACCAAAGCCCTCCGCTAAGGTGTTAACATCTACATGTCGATCTAGTGATAACTGGAATATCTGCTCTTCCAGCAAGTAGCGCGATACAGGTGGCTTCTGACCTCCAGGGACACGTTGATTTTCCAGTATATACTGGGCAGCAACCTGGAAACTGGCGTCCACTGTAGGCTCAGCAGTAGTCTTATCTTGTGCATTGTTTTTCGCCCCGCCTGGTGCGTTCACATCCGCCCCGGAGTTGAGAAGCCAGTTGACTACCATAACGTGACCGCGGAGACAGGCTGCATGTAGGGCTGTGCTGAACTGGCCACCGGTGATATTGATACCCGCGCCATGACTGAGAAGAATCTTAACCACATCTACATGGCCATGGAGAGCGGCACCGTGTAGCGCTGTCCCATACCGCTGGCCCTGAGCTTGTATGTTGGAGCCCTCCTTTAGCAACATCAAGACCAGGGATTCGTAGCCGCCCGCGGCAGCCCGAATCAGAGGGGTCTCACCGTCGGTATCAGTGAGATTTACATCAGCGCCTGCCTCGCAGAGGACCTTGGCAATCTCCTCGTGGCCATATTCAGCGGCGAGGTGCAGGCCCGTAGCACCCATGTCATTTACCTGGCAAATTAAATCTCCGTTGGACTGGATGCAGTGGCGAACAACCTTGGTGAATCCAAACGCACAGGCAGTGAAAAATGATGTGGCTGGTGAGCTAAGAGCTTGCATGATCTTGTCTTTATGAGGATCATCCCATCCAAGAACGAGCAAAGAAGCAGGCTTAATCTCGGGAAGCCAGGATTGAAACCACGGCCGCTCCAGGCATAGGTCATCCAATGCATCATGTATGGTCTGGATTTGATGTTGTTGGCCTGCCTGCGCTACATGTGAGGCCCAATATAGCACTACATAGTAGTGAAACTTGTCGCGGGGCAAGGAGGCCGTCGGTGGTTCTGACGCCAGGTTCTGCACTGTGGCTAAACAGAGATTGGCCACCGCTGCATGTTGATCTGCAGGCTGCATACCGTCTTTGAGCTTGAGAAAATCACCCACTGATGTGTGGACGAAGCGGATTTCGTTGCTGTCTTGATCGACTACCACCAGATCTTGACAGCTCTCAAGTACCATGGGAACAGTGACATTTGAACCTTGTATATTGTAGCCAATCCTGTCTTTTCCTATAAAGATTGTGAGAGCCCGAATGAGGTCCTCTGCCGGGACAGGGGCCCGTGCGCACAATAGCCACCGGAACAGAGTCAAGACAGCTTGGCGTGTTATCGATCCTTGTGGACTATTGGTGATAATTCCGTTGTAGATAGTTTCAAACAGCTGGAGCAGAGCTTTGGGCAGATCCGTGGATGGCTCCAGGTCCAAATCAGGCCCAAATATGGTACTGTCTGACTGGAGGAGTAGCATGTTGGCACGTAGCTTGACCCAGAGAAACCTGCTTTCGTAAGCTTGGCAAATTTAATACAAAGATGGAGAGGAGTTTGTAAACTTACATGCCCTGGGAGTCCTCAACCAGCTGCTGTATTGACCTTTCCTCCCAATTATCCGGAACAGAGTGAGCACGTTGCCCCATCCTTTTGACACATTCCGCGGCTCTATGCCGAGCATAGGCCCGAAGGTCGGTGCAGTCCTTGCCCACATCAATGCCATTAGATGGCCACGAGTGGAATCGATCCAGAATGTTCAACCATGGGCGACTGGAAATGAGGATTTTGACTCGCCCCCCACCTACTCTAGTCAATAGACGATCAATCAACTCAAGGAAATCACCACGGAGATCTTCGGCGCACTCGTCAATTGCATCAATGCAGATCGTGGTAGTGCCCTGATCTATGAGTTCAAAGAGAAGTCTTATTGCATCGTTCCATGCAGGACGTGCTCCTTCTGCAATTGCAATATCGCCCCCCTCCTGTACCATGTTCTCATAGGCGCGAATGACTTTTCCGCGCAATGGGGCCGAGGGTCTTGGGCGAGCGAGCTGTGCTATTAGGCAGCACACGAGGGTCCCGGGATCTTGCCATCGTCGATCGGAATCGTTGCGCGAGAAGAACGCATAGGCAAGAGGGCTACTTGGCGCATGCGCGTGTTTGGTCTGGAGGCTATCAATGATCGTGGACCTGGATTAGAATTAATATTGGCTTGTTATTGTCACGAGAAGAGTTAAGAGAGAAGTCAGACGTACATCAGTGTGCTCTTGCCCGTGGCCGCTGGGAATCAGGTTAGTACTTTGTTTTCTCGAGGATGAATGGTACAGAGCTTACGGAGTCCATGGAGCCATAACAGATCTGATTTGCTGGAGACACGCCATTGCTTGTAGTTCGCTTCCTCGAATATCCAGTGCCCCGAGTCGGGCAAACGAGCCTCTAGCTTCCGTTTATGAACCTCATCCAGGGGGAGGCGAGCCAGCCACTTGAGGATCCGGCGCTCTTGCTCGTTTTTTTCATGCTCTGTACATTGCGATAAATGGTCAGCTCAAAACCAGGAGCTATAACGAAGTTCAACTTACCTGTCCAGCTGTTCGTTAGGTTGACCAAACCATCTCGGATGAATTGGATAGGCTCGCGGAAATACTGCAAGCCTTCTCTCAGAGCATCTTGCTCTCGCTTGATCGAGTTGAGTTTGGTATCCGAGTCTCTGTTAGCTGCGAGCGAAGTCAGCCTATAGCTGGCGAGTCAAAGTCCGTGCAAGATTGTTTACCTTGGGCGTCAATCAATCGCGCCGACTCGTCTGCAATTCGCTGTTGCTCTTTGATCTCATCCATCCATCCGTCGAACTCATCATAGGCAAGAAAGAGGCCCTTGGGGATTCTCTCTATTTGATTTAGGAGAAGGGTAAGTAATCCTGGCAGTCAACCTTGGAGGCGTTCTTTCCAGAGGAAGGGAAAGACATACTGATCCATTTGGCGGTAAGGTATTCTTCCGCCTTCAGGAGGTACTTCAGCGCTGTAGCATATAGCTTGACCAATGCCTTTTCCAATATATCTTGAAGAGGGAACGTGGGATGCAAATACAAACACTCAAACAAAGCATATCGTGGAACCAAGCCGGAGAAAATCTCAATTCCTTCACATACAGTCTGATTACTTTCAAAATCCTTCACCGAAATCTAGCGTGCGCCACCAGGTTAGCCTTTTTTCAACCGTAGAACATCCGAAAGAATCCAAGCACAAACCTGAAGAACCAACTTGATTACTGCCCAGGGGACTGCCAGGTGGGTGGGGTCGATCGTAGCCACAGAATCACCGATGTCCTTGAACTTCGAAAGTCGTTGCACCACCCGGCCAAGCACTTGATATAATTTGGATCCTGTCTCATTTTCCCTGTTATGACACTCTTCTTTCTTGCTTTCGGCACTGGACAATACACTTTCGAGGTTCACCAATTCTTGGTTGCGAGATCGAATTTTATTTTGAAGTTCGTCGTCGAGTTTCTCGATAGCTTCTTCCCAAAGGTCTGCCGTGAAAGAGTCAGACAATAAATATATTAAGAATATACAACCATACATATTCTTCTTACTTCTTTTTGTCATCTTGGGTGTCTACGATGCAATTCCTTTGACATCTACTGACGTGTCAGTTGACTAGGATGCTGACAGACATAATAATAAATTCATACCTACATGATTTAACGATTTAACCAATGAACAATGACCACGTATTTTAGAATGCGCCACAATGACAGCGCAAGAGTAGGGTATTGGCGTTGTGCCCTACGATATCTCCTTGAAGTTGTCGGTATGATTCCGACACTCCCACTTCGAGAATCATTGTCGGATTCTTCATTCCTCCGCCTTTTGAATCCAGCGTCATTCGTACTCCCCGGAAGGAGGGCTCATATTCTTTCAGTTGCCTCACGGTGCTGCAGCAAGGTTGAGTACATATATATATATAATCAGGATTCGGGGTTGAAGTAGGTAGTTCGGAGTTTAAGATGGATTGGATGGCCTCGTTAATTCGTTCAAATTGATGGAGGATAACGTGGAGTCGGTAGAATCTGACAAAAGAATCACAACGCCGTGCTTGTATGGTAAAAATTCGAGCGGTATGTATCACGTGGTTTAGGAGACTCACGTGGTATATATTTTGATCACGTGCTTCATAAGGTCTAGTCATATGACTAACCCTAGTTACCATAATCACGTTACAAGTAATCCTCTCGACCAATCAGAGGCCAGATCTCAAATCTAAGATCCAGTACCTATTGAAATTGAAAATCTATCATTTGCGGGGGCGAAGCGAAACAAAATTATTGTCTTTCAGCACCAGTCATGTTCGTGTCTACAGATGGGACGTAGATAAGATCCAGTCTCACTTTACAAAAACTAATGTTGTACGGAGTAGTTAGTTATTAATTGAAGCCTACCGATGCTGGTTAATAAAATCAATGCCTTCTAAAATGGGCATAGGGACTTTTAAAGTAAACTGAATTTGGATTGAATGAATTGAGTCTGAAGTGAATCTGAAGTGAATCTGAAGTGAATCTGAAGTGAATACATAGGCAGATCTCTTGGTTGCTAGTTTAGCGGTGAATCTTTATAGTAACCCTTTTGAAGGTTCAGTAACGTCGAACCCAGCCGGGTGATCATAGTCAACTACTGGATTTTACTAGGACATTTCCGATTGAAAGTGACCCACAGCCCAGTTCTTTCTTTCTGTAGAATAGGAAGGTATAGACGTAGTTACGACGTAGTTGGTACAGATTAAGCAGGCACGATGTTGTGTAGAGGGTATATATATCATGTTTTCCCCCAGGAGCGTAACTTTGTCTTCACAACATCCCGGGATTTGCAGCCATTGCAAGCAACACCACGAATATAAACATCGTTGTTAATCTACAGCCATGGCCAACAATATCACAAACATCATCAGCATCGTCGTCAATGTGGCCCCCGCCCCGCCTCCACCCACATCCGCCCCTCCCAACCCTCCTCATCTCATTCTGCCCCCGGAACCTCTCAGTCCACAGGTGAACAGTTGGTAGAGTCCCCAGGCTTTTGGGCCCGTCTTTGCATCGCGGCTGGGCTCATTGCCGGGGCCAGTTATCTTGTTTGGAGGAGGGCAACCTCCAAACAAGGGGACCCGGAGAATACCCGGTAAGTGGTAAACCATGATTCTCATGGAAGCTATATAGGCGGATCTTTACCTATGTACATGCACAGAGGCTAATGTATCGTAAAATAGCTCCGAAGGTGTTATTGTGGGCTTACAGCCCGAGACCCGCGTGCAGCCCGAGGAGACCCGCCAGGAGACCCCCGCGCCTCCCAAGACCCCCGCGCCCTCCACAACGCCTGAGAAGACGAGGGTGGACGCCTCCAAAGTTGCCAGCTGGACTACCGTGGTGCGCAACACCGCCCATGGGATGAAAGAGGGCTTGACAGTGCAGCCGGCGGTATGCTGAGGTGATACCGAGGCGACGGCGTTCCTCTGTTGTTTTCTCTCCGAGAACCTTAGCGAGGCGAGATGAATGAAAACGGAGCTTTTTATCAAGCCAGGGGTGGAGGAGGAGTTGTTTTTGGAGGTGAATGAAAACGGAGCTTTTATCAAACCGGGGTAGAGGAGGAGTTGTTTTTGGTGGCGTTCCTCTATTGTTTTATCCTTTTCTTCTCTCCGAGAACCTCAGTGAGGTGACATAAAGGAAGAAAACGAGTCTTTTGTCTCAACCTTTTGTTGTTTTTATTTTTCTTTGGTTGAGGTGACCATATCTAAATACATCCTGCCGCTGGGTAGTTTCATCTTGGGAATGCATTTTGCTGTTCAATGTAGACACCTTCGTAGACTTGGATCTTTTGGTGGACCCCGATTGATCTAACACGAGACCTTGTAGAGGCTAGGTTAAAATTATACAAAATTTTTCTCTCAGTCATCCTTAGTTATCTCTTAGATGTCTCTTGCCTTTGGCTCCCATTATTTTATGATCATCTTTTTCTAATACTGCAACTTCCAGGATAGCTAAGAACCATAAAAGAAATATTTCCGCTATAGCATCTAAGGGCAATCACTAGAAGTAAACATATTGAATGAATCAACTACATCTTGCTATATAAACCCAAGCATGTAGGTGGTAAAATTTCGAAAAAATAGGGCTCTAGTGCCTGATTTATATGTAGCTTCATACACGGGGCGAGAGAAGTGCTTTCACCTGGACAGCATTAGGAGTTTTATCAAGCATATCCTCTTCACGCCGAGATCCTTTTTCGAGGACAGCGTGACGTAGGAGAGCGATACCGAAATGCGTGTCGGGAAAGACGATTAACAGGAGACTGGTATTTGATGCCTTGAATGCTGGGAATCCTCTTTTGTATTCTGTGAATAGATCGTAGTCCTTTACTTCTACTTGTTACAACTCGGTGGACGAGGACACATTTAGCGCGGGTTTCAGCGCGAAAGGTAGTCCCACGAAGACAGAGACATTGCCCAAGATATCGGCATCATTAATGGGAACTAGACCCACTGCCATTCGTAGCTGCTGGTCTCCTCGGACCCGCGCCAAAGGATCGATATCACCAGATCAATTAAGCATTTAACCGAACCCTGGGCATAATTTCAGCACGGGAGGAATTCGTACGGAGAAAACTGTGTAATGGGATTCTCTTTCCCCACCACCCTTTCATTTGGGAGAGTGAGCTGACTATCTCTGAGTTCTATCCCATTGATGCCTCAGACAGTAAACATGCTTGTCTAAAAGATCAGCCATCCAACGAACATAGGTGTTGTCTATCTCTAAAACAAAAGAAGTGGAATATAAAACAAAAGAAGTGAAATATAAAACAAAAGAACTGGAATGTGGAGATATGTTGTACCCGATTTAAAATGATCTCCTTTTGATCTGTGCAGGAACGCCTTGTATCGGAGCCGCTATCGAGTATCCCTTGAAATGAAACTCACACTTCTTCCCTGTACGGTTACTCGCACAGCATGGTGCCTCAGGTGCGAGCATCATGTCGTACAGGAAAACGCTCCTCGCAAGTACCACGTTGAGTTCCATCCATGCCAATTTCCATCCGACGCATGACCTGGGGCCAACGCTGAATGGACAAAATGCTCGCTTCGCCATGCTCACACTCTCCTCATCAGTACCAAACTCAGGATCAATAATCCACCTTCGTGGTTGGAACTCATCTGGATTTTCAAAGTATTCGTTCTTGCGGAAAAGGACGTAGAGTGATGAAGAGACAGTCACACCTTCGGGAATATGCTGACCACCAACCGTGAGACCACCAGGGAGAACACGGCGTGGGGACCCATTCGCTACGGCTGGAAGGAGTCTCATAGTCTCATCCACACAAGCATGCAGAAAATGGCATGAGTTTAACTTGGGACCGGCAATGATTTCATCCTCGTTATCGAATGCGGCACGAATCTCGGCGGTGACGCGGGAGAGGGCATCTGGATCGTGGAGGATATAGAAGAACAATGCACTCATGGTCGAAGATGTGGTATCGGTACCTATAAAAAGTGAGCGTCCGGATTCTTCAAATGCGTTTGTAGTATAAGCTCACCTGCCCCTAATAGCAACATAGATTCCGTCCAAATATCTTTTAGACTGTACTCCCAGTTCTTCTTCTGATCTTTAGCAGTAGACATTCTCCAGAAAACGTCCTTTTCTTCAACCTTATCTCCCATGTCCACGCGATCCTTGACGCGGTTATACACCCAGGTACCCGCAGACAAGATATCTTTGTACAGCGGGGCCAGGAATATTTTGTCTAAGTTGTACTTATAGACCTTAGGTTGCATGAGACACTGCATCTTCCTGATTAGATACCGATGATAAGGGGCTGTAGGTTGATAGCGGGGAAGATATCGTACCATCATGCCTCGATGAGACATTTTTGTATACACCGGAGGAACCCATCGTTTATTCGGTGAGTCGAGCATACCAAAGCTTCGCCCGTATGTAATATCACCAATTAGGTCGAAGGCTAGCCAGTCGCACACAGTTGCCACATTTATTGGTGATGGCCAACCATTGGGTTCCTCCGAGGATTCAGCAGACTTGGGGCATAGAAATGTGGTAAACTTTTGGATGTGGTTAAGGATTTGTCCCTCTATGTCTTTTAGTCCTCGGTCAGAGAACGCGGATGCCATTGTCCGCCGCTTAAAAGCATGGACATTTTTGTCAACCACACTCAAAATATTCGGACTGCGACGGCTTGCACTGTAGACGGCCCACGCGTCAACTTTACAGTCATTGGCTCCTGCGTTGTAGATATCGGCCATCATGGAGCGCGAGTTGAACCATAGGGTGTTTGGCCCAGATCTGACGATGTCACCTGGGAGAACTAGTCAGAAACAATAGTTACTGAGTGCCAGGTGATATGCTTATAATCCCACCATATTTTTCATGCCAGGCTCGGTTTTGGAGATGAAGATCCCCTCTCCATGCAAAGAAAGCAGTATACCAATTTGTGACAGCCGCCAATTTTGGTCCAGGATATTGGGACAGAGGGTGAAAGTAGAGGCGGTATAGCGGTATCAAGCAGAACTAAGCGCTCGAGATCTTGTTAGGGTAGTAGTCTATTTGGAGAGGTTTGACGGTCACGTACGTAGAATGCCACAACAGTGGCCGCTACTCCGATAAGAAGGTAGCCCATATTGAAGATCGCCCAATAATTTAGGACAATTTTCAGAGGAAGATCACAATAAAATATTGGAAAAGGATGATAAAGTAAATTATTGCATGATTGGGCATACACGGCTTTTAAGGGCAATGATCCGCATGGAAGAAAATGCCTTCTGTTGAAGACAGGAGTTCAGCTTGTGCCGTCCTCTATTTCGCTACATATGTGGTAGTGGTTCCACACTTGTGGACACGTCTGAAACTTCGAGACATACGGAAGCATAACCATGCAGGCCGTCATTGTGGTTAGCCTATGAATGATATATAGCCATTCTTTTATCGGATACGAACTTGTTTGCTTGTCATATCGGAACCTGTTTGTGGTGTGTAAGGACCGGTGCTTTTCTGGCGGCAAAAGTCAGGAAGGATTGGATATAGTTAACTATCGGAATTGTTAAACGTGATTGATTCTATTGGTTGGTAGCTAAAATCTATTTCCCTGCATCAAGCAATTACCGATGACGATCTCGATCGGACCTGCCCTACATTAGCGTACCAAGTTACATCGTATGAACGGGTGGAGGCCGATCTGATCTTTTCGATCGATGTGGATCCTAGCCGAGTCGGAAATACCTACCTAGGTATTTGCTAGATCCTCAAGCTCCTTTTAAAGTCAGTAGAGTTACATTGCGTTCTTTGAGGCGTTTACGGTTTCACAGAGCGGCTTCGTGAACTGAAACGGCAGCGTTAAGAAGAGCTAGTTAGTTAGTACTGAGAAAGTGATCATCAAATGCATTTGTCCCGCTCTTTCCGATCGCGGTGAGATCTCCATAGGGTTTCCCATAGGGCAGTACTGACAGGGGTGGGGAATGGGAGGAAAGAGTGACACCTACGGAGTATTCCGTACACCTCACTAACTAGTTACTGTTTGCAAATTTCATGATTCGACTGAAAGTTTGAAGTGCACCAACCCTGGGTACTTGTACCTAGGTAACTAGTGGGCTTGGCAAAATTACCCGAAACAAGGGCCGAAACAAGGGCCGACGTGTAGGGATCTCGCCAGTGCGCCGTATCGGATTTTGCCAGTAATAATTTCAGCAAAATCAGTAATTTATATGTATGAATACTATACTTTCGTACAAAACTGTAATTCAATATCATCCATGGATGGTACTCCCGTATTGAAAATAATTACGTTACTCAAAGCTAGGGATGAGATCTTAGTTTAACCACCTACTCCGTACTATGCCACCAATTCGTCCTCCATATTCTTGAAATTCGTTAGAGAGAGGGCAGGATCTTATTAGCTATCTAGGCTTTTAAGAATCAAGAGATCAGCACAGTTCGCGAATTACCCGAATCAATTCTCTGCTACAAGGGCGAAAGCGGCAACTGATCAGCGGTACTATTGATGTAACTATCTATGTTGTATATTATCATTTATTGAGATCAGTATCACATGACCCTGTTTGACAGGACTGCTAGTTAGATACTCCCCTCTCCCTCTTCTTCTTCTTTTCCCCTTCATCATCCGTGATCATCATCATCGATCATCAGAAGCAATTAGCACTTCCGAATACAGTTGCATTGCTCTATCTCTTCTCCTGGCTTCCTATCATCATTTCATCAATTCATCAATTTTTATTACTAAGATTGGCATGAACTTACCTAAAGCTACATATGTACACCATGGCCAACCCGATATTCACTGTGACGGAACATCTCATTGATGCCCAGTACATCCGAGAATACCCGCGAGCTACTACTACGCAAGATGCACCCTTGAAACTGTCTGTTAAGAAATATACGCCCACGAACAATCAGAACCCTACGGAGGGTGATATTACCCTAATAGGAATGCAGGGGACCGGATTTCCGAAGGTGAGAACCCAAAGACTAACATCATTCCTGTAAGGGCAACTGATTAATAGGCACTGTATTTATTAGGAAATCTATGAACCGTTGTGGGAAGACCTTCTTGCAAGATGCGAAACTGATGGGTTCCGGATCCGCGCTATTTGGATCGCAGATGCTGTCAACCAAGGGGCAAGCGGCATTCAAAATGAGAGCTACATGGGCAATGATCGTGAGTGATAACTTTGAAGGGTATTAGACAATTCTTCTGAAATCTGACATTGAAACAATCAGCGTCTTGGTACGATAACAGCCGGGACGTGTTACACATGATTAACCATTTCCGGGCGGAAATGCCCCGGCCAATAATGGGTGTTGGGCACAGCATCGGTGCAGTTCAGCAGTGAGTGCTTTACGTACCTCGTCAACACTGCATAAAAGTCTGCTTTCGTTAATTGTGCTATTTAGGATTTTCTTATCTCTGATCCATCCCCGTCTGTTTACATCACTCATTCTCATCGAACCGTACATCCACGACGTGGAAAATGGTGGTGGCGGAGGCTGGGTCGGGAAGGCGGCAAAAAGAAAGGATGTATGGCCTTCACGATCTGTAGTAGCCAAAGGTTCCCAAAAGGCCTTGGGAAACTGGGATTCCCGAGCTATCAGCCGATGGGTTGAGTACGGGTATCGCGAGCTTCCAACAATGCTTCATCCCTTGCCAGAGGCAGCCAATAGCGACCGCCCGGTTACTCTGGCCACCACCAAGACCCAGGAGATATCTATGTATATCCGGCCTAATTTCAAGAGCCATAAACAGCTGGGCCAACCTGATGAGGATGGCCATGAGGGTGATGGGCCCAGCCCACCCCATGACCCCCTTTTGGTTCCGGACATGATCGGTAGACTATTCAACAAGCAAAGGTTCTACCGCCCTGAGCCACTTCTTGCCTGGCGGCTGCTGCCTCATGTTCGACCATCAGCCTTATATGTCAGCGGAGCCAAAAGTGAACTGTCGTTGTCTGGACACCAGGCCAGAGCAGCCAAAATGACCGGAACTGGATTTGGAGGCAGTGGTGGCCAGGAATATAGTCGTGTGAAGCACATTGTCATTCAAAAATCCGGCCACACACTGCCCATGGAACGTGTTGTGGAAACTGCTGGTGCTATTGGACCGTGGATAGGCGAGGAGGTGCGAAAATGGAGAGAGGACGAACAACGGATCGCAGATGGATGGAACGAACTATCAACAAGAGAGAAAGGATCCTTTTCTGACGAGTGGTGGGAAATGCTGGATTTTACAGCGCCTGCGCTCCCTAAGGAGAAAGCTTCTAAGTTATAAGGATACATACATTGAGTGCGTTAACAATGGACATAAAAATAACTCACGGTTGCATCAAAAGCTCTTTGCATCCTGGTAATGCGTACATTTTATACACATACATAATATCGAGATCATTCCATAGATGTCTCAGTGATAGGCAGACTCAGCCTTTTGTTTGCTTGTTTCCTTTCTAGGCGTTCTATAAAAAGGCCACTTCATCACAGTTCGGATGCAGCAGATTTCTCTTCCTGGATTTTCCTAGCCACTGGTTTTGTAGCCTCAACACATGACTAGGGATATGACCAGAAAACAAAGTGTATTTATTATAGAAAGTATGGCAGAGTGTTGTTGTTGAATACCCTAGAAGCGTACATTTCCCTAACACTGCTACGACGGGTCCCCCGTGGGGTGTAAGGAGTAACTCGTGTATTCAAAGTGTCTCAATGGGACGGTCGATTCTGTCTGACTGCTTTTAAAGGGTCATTTATATGAGCCGCCAGCACGGAGTACTCCGACTGTAACATTAGAGTTCCTCTTATGAGGACGACTTACCCCCTTGCATAAGATATCTGTCAATGTATCTCGCTGACCTGTCCAATGTAATATTCCCCTTGTTTTCATACCAACCGAGTGCTGTATTTTATAAAATTATCAATTACAGGCTCATATAAATGGTATAGCAATACGCCCCACTCGCAAAGCATTAGCCTATTCTGGAACCACATTGGCACATTCTTACGTGGGGTGATAGCTATATACATAGTCATCTATCTACGGAGTAATCCGTACTCCGTACGAGGAACTAGTATTTCGGCACAGGAATGATCGTCGTCTTACACGGTAGTTTCCAAAATAAGATAATTTCTTTTCACCTCCCTGTGAGCCTCACCGCAACACTTTAAAGATGGATTCGACGGTGATATGTATAGTGGATTTCGGATATTTGCTGTATTCTATCTGTACTAGAAAGAGCGAAAGTAAAGTTGCAAACCGCAACATATTTTCGGTCTATGGTCCCATAATTGTCCATTAGACATGGTCGGTGGAGATGTATCTGACACATGGAAGCTATCTGACACATGGAAGCAGGACACACACGGACACACACGGACACGGACGCCTCGCCTTTCCAGAAATTTTGCGAAAAGTGGGCCCGGTTCGAGCTGTTTCGCGGCATAAAACACGAATTTCGGCCAAGCTTCCTAAGGCCTTCCAAGGTTGCTAGCGTGAATGATCGTGGAAGTGGAGCACAGGATTGCATCCACTGTGTACGGCAGCCTATTTGGACCATTTTTGACAACGCTTATTAATACATATACAGTAAAACCTGTTTATAACGAACCTGGTTATAACGAATACCTGGATATAACGAAGTAATACCGGCCCACCAATTAATTCGCCATAGTAATAACGAAATTACCTCCTTACTACGAACTTCGTTAATTCACCATTCCTCTCCATACAAAATTCGTTATATCGAGGTTTTATCTCCACTTTTTCAAGCATTCCCAACCAATCAAAATGCCTCGCCGATCGATCCCAACCTCCCAGAAAGCGGCACTACGAGAGCAGCGCCGAATCAACCCTTTACTCTCTAGTAAAGAGCTCGCTCAGTGGTTTTATGAAGCCTATAACCATCGTCCCTCGCCCTCTACGATCTCCGAAATCCTTTCCTCCTGATACCTTTATATATGAAGAGCAGCAGGAGCAGGGAGAAACCTAGTTAGTTAGTGCGCTTTATAGGCATGAAAGGTTACTGGAAGCGAGGAAATTGGAAGGGAAGAAGTAGAGAGATATTAGGGCTTTTTTTAGAGCATAAATTTGTATGTAAACTAGAAATATATATATTTTATATGGCACCTGGATATAACGAATACCTGGATATAACGAATATTTCATCGTGTTTCAATTAATTCGTTATAAACAGGTTTTACTGTATAAGATTCACCGCTAGAGTTTCCGCCTTTTGTACCGTACAATATAATACATTCCGCCTATTCTAAACCCACATTTCTTTCTATTTTTGATTTAATTCTAGTTTATATAGTGAAAAATACTATGTTTTGATCAGAAAAATCGTATATTTCTACCTAATTACTACTATGATACTCTATATACTAATAATTATGCTTCTTAGATATATATGACTTGATTTTATTAGTAGTTTATCTATAAATTATAGGTACCTACCGTCTTTATGAAATCGTAAAGGCGGTATAGAGAGCTATAGGCAGAATTAAGTACTAACCTTAGAATCTAGTATCGTACGTACCAAATCGGGAAGGCGGTATAGAGAGGGTAGGCATAATTAGGCACTACGTAACCTTAGAATCTAGTATCGTACTAGATCAGGAAGGCGGTATAAAGAGCGGTAGGTTGAATTAGGCACTAACCTTAGAATCTAGTATTATACTCGATCGGGAAGGCGGTGACCGGTTTTTAGTTAGGGGGTTATTTTAACAATGTCCTAACTTAATGCCTTAGGCCGCTATATTTATTCCTTAGGCATCAACCCCTCGCCTTCCACTTAACTCTCTCCCTCCCTACTTTTTAGCCTATAACTCTATAGGGGCCTTAACAAAACCGTCTAAAAATATAACATACTACCATTTATATATAGATAAAAAGCTTCATTTACTACTTTAATACCCTCCTAGTCCCACGGGGCCGTTTAGGATAGACCAAGCAAGCCGAATAACTAAAGTTGATAGAAATTGTACTATGTAATTTTCTAGTATTGTATTGTTCCATTAGCGCCAATTACTGATTTTCTGCATGGCAGAAAGCCCGTTGTCAAAAATGGTCCAAATAGGCTGCCGTACACTGTGGAGAGCTGTGTAGCTGAGCGTGGGTCCCTCAGAGCCGAGCCTTTCCTATCTTGAATGAAGAGAGATCTTGCAGTCCTCGTATTTATGTACCTTTTGTATGTAGTTGCCATATAAAAGATACTTAATTTGGAAATTTTGTTATCCGCTGAAAATTTGTAATCGGATGTGGCCCACCAACACCTGGTAGGTGGTGGTAGGCAGCACCAACTCCATTGTCACCACCTCCGCTACAAAAATGACCGACACTAGAACACTTCCTATAGATGAGCCTGATTTTGGCGACTTTGTGAAGAATGAAGAAGAGGAACTCGACCTCGAGGAGCTTGTTGAGCCATGGTACAGATACAAAACAGAGGGCGAAGAAAATTTCCTCTATCCTATTTTCCTCGGAGAGATGCTCAACGGAAGGTATTTGGTTGAGCATAAACTTGGCTTTGGGGGTGGATCGACTGTCTGGATGGCCTTTGACATTCAAGACAAGAAGAATGTTGCCCTCAAAGTCATGCGTCCTGGGGAGTGGGGAGTGAACGAAATTCGGATTCAGGACGAAATCAAGAAAATCCAAGACCCTTCTCATCTTGTGATATACATAGCGACTTTCGTTCTTCCCCGCGACCATAGGGTCTTGGTGTTCCCTTTAATGGGCCCATGCATTGATCCCATTGACCTGAAAACGATCCCTATGGCCACTCGCATGTCTGCCGCTCATCAGTTACTCAAAACTCTGGTAAATTTACATGAGGCTGGGATTATACACCGCGGTAAGTAGACTTTTTTTTGCCTCTCATTTCTCTCTTTGCTACATTCTAAGAAAAAAAATATTATATAGATCTAAACGAGAGGAATTGTATGTGGGGAATGGCTTTTCTTGATGGTTTTAGCAGAAGTGCTAAATATAAAGCACTTGGTCGGCCATTAAAGCAAAAGATACCGTCTATCGTCGATCTCTGGAAACGGGGCGAGCTTGTGAGCCCTATAAAGGTCCCATGGGAACTATGCACTGAGGAATTCTATCTCGGCGACTTTGGGCTATCAAAAAGAATCAGCGATCCAATCACTCCACACGGCTACCCACCTATACAATATTGTTCCCCTGACCGGCTTCATAATCAAGAACCAAGTTTCGCCTGCGATATATGGAGCTATATGGTTGTTTTCTCCATGCTCTACCTTACTTTTGGGCCATTCTCTACGTTTCATGAAGGGGGGCCTGTGACTGGGTTGGTCGAATCTCTAGGCCCTTTGCCGGAGGAGTGGGAAGGCCTCTATATCTACCAGGGCAGTGGGCTAGACTCCTGGTACGACCAGTCTCGAAATCCCAACCCTGAGTACTCCCTTGCGTCAAGAATTGCACGTTTCCGTCCCGACGTCGATCCAATCGAGCGGCAGCATGTGGAATCTATCATGTTAAAGGTCTTTACTTTTCACCCCGAGAAACGACCGAGTGCAAAGGAGCTCCTTTGCGACCCTTCATTCAGAGCCCTTATGGACAGATATGGGTGCTGAAATTTGGAGGGACGTATTGAATGAAAATTCAAGTTGCTTCGTTTCTTCTTCACGCTGAGCATCTATTTAGAGGCACGTATCTAAGATTGACTGTTATCATGCGGAATATCGGAGGCCTACAATAACCTGTATAGAGGCTGGAAAGTGTGGCTGTTGGAAGTAAATGATTGGTGTGAAAATCTGAAAGGCGACAGCGAGGAATGTTGATATTGCGGGCGGGTGACATCGTGGATATCTTGTTGGATGTCAAGCAATGGAAGCTTTGTACTGAGCTTTTTATGTATATATTTGTTATTCTGCTTGTCATGATGAGAGTGCCTACCTAGGTCCCTACCTAGGTACGCAACAAATTCCAATAATGAAGAATAAGCGCTTTGCCTCTTCTAAATTTAGAATATGGAAGAAGAGGAAGATAGAGCCAAAGTACAGGTTCCCATTAATTTCACTCACAGGGGATGTAAGCGCACGAAGAGACCTCAGGGTGTTGGCAACTCCGGGGTACTCGTGGCATTCATTCCCCATACCGCCCTCAAGTGGGAATCTTGATAGAGAGAGAAAAAGAGAGAGAGAGAGAGAGAGAGAAAAGAAAGGTTGCCCAAGTGATTGCTAGAGATCTGCAGAGAGAGCTACATATGTGGGGTAACAGCCTAATAATTCTGCCTGGTCTATCAGGTGTCTACAACACATCTGCGAAAATATTTCCCCACTCACCAACCTAGCAAGCGTCTCTTTCATTTCGTTAGCAATCAACGTGAGAATTCAGTTTTTGGTCCTATAAAATACCAATTCATTCGATCCATACATTCAGCTACTTAGACGCCGCTATGCAGCCCTCTAATATCGCTACAGCGGATGAAGAATGGCTGATCGACCTTTGCCACGAGGCAGAAAACGAGGGCGGGTTGATCGGGGGGTGAAAAGTACGGCGACAAAGTCATTAAGATTTCCGATCCTATCGCAGTGAAGTACGGTGGCGTGTAAGCATCTGAAGCAACAACACAAGAATTTGCATTCAATCATGAAGTACTACATATCATCACAGCTTCGGGGAATTAGATATAGAGACAAAGTGCTTTTAGCTACTGGCATAGTATTATAACCAATCTTTACAATAATTTGAATCAATCTCGTAGCATTTGAATAGAAGATACTATCAATGGAGTCCTCCAACCCGACCTCGGTATTAATGATTTGGGAAAAAGAATTGCATACATACGTAGTCCTAAATGCCAAAATGAACGTAAGGGACCCAATTTAGTGGCATATCCTCATATAATTCAGCGGTTCTCAAATCTCCCGTCCCATTTTCGCATGAAATTCCTTGCTCCGTCATCGTTGAAGCATTTCTACTAGTATCTTGTAAAAGTGCCTTCCGATTAGCCGCTCTGGTTATGCTACCCGAAATCCATAGCTCACGAAGTTTCATGCTTGCGCGATGAAGACCTTCACTGACGGATTCGTCACTCATGCTTTTTTCATGCAAGCACTTATATAATGTCGTTGCAGCTTCCACACATGATCTATCGTTCACCTCCCATAAAGTTCCAACGACATGTCGGAAGCCAGCAATCTGGTATGCGGCGATGAGATGAAGTGCCTCGTCAATGAGCACATCATTCTTGACTTGTCCGGTTCCGCATGCTGATAAGTAGGCGAGGAATGGCCTGCGATCAAGGAGGTTGGTCTCGAAGAGATCTGCTACTACTAATGGCTCCCTGTGCAGAACCAAAGAGCTTTGTGACGGATCTGTGGGGTCACTCTCACCGTGACCGGCAAAATGGAATAAATCGCAGTCATTCAAAGCAGAAAGAATATCTTCTCGATAAGGTTGAGGCTTGGATACCTTTAGCTTCAAGGAGCCACACAGGTGTTCCACCCTTTCCATCTCCAGTGGCACAAAGGAAAGGTCTTTGAGACCAGGTGTTTTCCCCATACCAACCAGAACGGCTTTTCCTAAAGCTTTTTCCATAACAGGAGTCGCATGTCGATGGCGAATTCGAAAGAGTGCACTGATAGAAGAGCTATAGGACGAAATGACCCGATCTATGACAGTGTTGAGGCCGTGAAAATGATACCCTGCTGCGTGGATAGGAAATTGGGCCAGAGGCCCAGTTGGAATCCACCATATCCGAGGCAGGTGCTTGCCAGGCGCCTGGGTAAGTCCCAGCGCGTCAAGAATAGGCTTTGCAATCATGTCCCAGAGCCACTCCAGTAAACGTACATCCGGCGCACCCAGATTCCTTAGATCCGCTGCTCGAGCTTGAACATCACTGTGCTCAAGACCGGGCAGTAGTAAAGCCTTGAGCTCGTTCTTGTCAACTATTAGTGCATCACACCGATGAATGCTGATGTTTATGATAACAATTGGTCCTGAACTGGCGGCTGCCTTGATTTCTTCCTCAGAAGGGGCCATAAGAAATCTCTGAAAGCCAGGTAAGCGCCGTATGGCCTGAATTGTGTTCTCCAGTTTTTCGTTAGCATCATGACGTTGATTAACATGATGGCCTATCGCTATCGACATATCAGTCTGATCAACTAGGCGAGTTGGCGCATTGAGTTGATTCCGAAGCTGGATGAATTCTTCCGCTAGCTGAGAATGTTGCTGTAGAAGGTCGGAAATGTCGAGCCGCATTTCATTTATGGAACCAATGATGACCCCACGGCCAAGCTCAAGCAATCGCAAGGCCTCATATGGAGTTTTCCCTACCATTAAGGCTATTGCGGCTGCATCTGAAGCCAAACCACTAACTTGAATGAGCAAGTGTTGCTTATCTGAAATATCGAGAAAGCGAGGGGTGAGCTGAGAAATGAGAGACATTGCAGTAAATGCGGTTTCATATGCCGATGGCCAGTCTTCGGCTTCAAGTTGTAGTTCAATTAGATTGGTGATATAATCTATGCGAACAGAGGCGATAGATGAAGGATGATGAAGTGCTGTTGTAAAGTGTTGAATAGATAGCTCCAGATCTGTCTTGGATTCTGTTCTTCGGTATCTATCACCATATCCGCGGCCAAGATCCTGGAGCAGACCTGCCCGCTCTGGGTGGTTTTTTGGTGTCGCCTCAAGGGCCTCCTGATATTGTTGAATTGCTAGCTCTAGATCTGTTTCGATGCCCACTAGATCTTTTTCGATTTCCATTGCTAGGTATCTGTCATGGTATCCGCGGCCAAGATATTGGAGCTGACTCGCCCGCTCTGGGTGGTCCTTTGGTGTGGATTTAAGGGCCTCCTGATATTGTTGAATAGCTAGCTCCAGATCTGCTTTAGCCTTTGTTCTCAAGTATCTTTCACGGTATACAGTTCCAAGGTTCTGGAGGCAAACTGCCCGCCCTGGGTGGTCTTTTGGCGTAGCCTCAAGGGCATCTTGATATTGTTGAATAGCCAGATCTAGGTCGATCTCAGCTCCGTTTCTTAGATATCTATCATGGTATCCATTACCATGATTCTGTAAACGACCTGCCCGATCTGGGTGATCCTTTGGTGTGGCATTAACGGCAGCCTGATTTTGTTGAATGGCCAGTTCTAGATCCATCTTAGACCCTGTTCTCCGGTATCTCTCACGGTATGCACTTCCAAGATTCTGGAGCTGACCTGCCCGCTCTGAGTGGTTGCTTGGTGTAACCTCGAGGACCTCTAGCCAGTTTTTGATGGCTAGCTCTAGATCTTTCCCATGTCCTGTTCTCTGGTATCTTTCAAGATATCCGCTCCCAAGACTCTGTAGTTCATGTCGCTTCTCTGGGTGACCCTTTGGTGTAGCATCAAGAGCATCTTGATAATTCTGAATCGCCAGCTCCAGATCTATCTCAGCTCCTCTTCTTATATAACTATCAAGGTAATTGTTACCAAGATTATGGAGCCGACGATGCCAATCTGGGTGGTCCTTTGGTGTAGCTTGAAGGGCGTCTTGATAATTCTGGATAGCCAGCTCTAGATCGGTCTCAGCTCCTGTTTTCTGGTATCTCTCACGGTATGCAGTCCCAAGATCCCCAAGGCGACTTCCCCGCTCTGGGTGTTTCTTTGGTGTAGCTTCAAGGGATTTTTGAAGTTGATCAATAGCTGACACTATATCACTCTCAGCCCCTGTGCTAAGGTATTTCTCCAAATAACCTTTGCCGAGACCATGGTGCCGACTTGCCTGCTCTGGGTGGTTTTTTGGTGTAACCTCGAGGGCGCCTTGATATCGTTGAATAGCCAGCTCTAGGTCTGTCTTGGCTCCTGTTTGGAGGTATCTATTATGATATCCACCTCCAAGAGTATGAAGCCGATTTGCCCAGCCATGGTCTGGGTGGTTTCTTGGTGTAGCCTCAAGGGCCTCTTCGTATTTTTGAATAGCCACCTCTATATCTGTATAGACTCCACTTCTTAGATATCGACCATGATATCGATTACCAAGAGTTTGGAGCTGATCTGACCAGTTTGGGTGGCTATCTGACATAGCATCAAGTTTATCTTGCTCTTTTTGAATTAGAATGGTCAGCTCTAGGTCATCATCATCTTCGGCTTGTTGGTGTCTTTCATGGTATCCACCTCCAAGACATTCAAGCCGAGATGCCCATTTTGGGTCATCCTCTGGCGTAGCTTCAAGCGCCCTCAGGAATTGTTCCATGGCAAGATCTAGGTCTGTCTCAGTTCCTGTTCTCTCGGATTTCTTGAAGTATGCAACCCCAAGGTTCTGAAGCCGATCTGCCCGCTGTGGGTCGTTATGTGGTGTAGCCTCTACTCCCTCTTGGAGGTGTTGAATAGCTAACTCCAGATCTGCCAGTTTCTCGGCTCCTGATCTTTCGTATCGATCGCAATAGCCAATCCCAAGATTTTGAAGCCGACTTGCCCGCTTTCGGTGGTCCTTTGGAGTAGCTTCGAGGGTCTCCTGAAATTTTTGAATGGCCAAATCTAGGTCCAGTTCGGCTCCAGTTATTAGGTATTTCTCATGAATTGAATTTGCGAGATCATGGAGCCGATCTGCCCACTCGGGGTGGTCCTTCGGCGTAGCCTCGAGGGCCTCTTGGTGTTGTTGAATCACCAGCTGAAGATCATGATGATCCATGCCTGCCAGTGGGTAGTTCAAGTTCCAGAGGTCAAGTTGTGGGTGGGTAAGGTAATATAGATTTGGGTAGCAACTCTCCCTAATTCATCGATTAAGACAATCACTTTAAGGGAAACTGATAATGGGTAGTACCTACCTAAGAACTAGGTTCCAAGGTTTATATACCTTCCGAGGTCTCCCACCCGGGCGCCAGCTCTGGAGTCACGGTGGTGACCACTGCCAGTGTCCTCCGCCGGCGCCTTGCGACATGCCCAACTGCCAGTGGGCATGTTATCAGCCAATCAATCATTTTTACCCCGCTCAATGCCCAGCTGTTCTTGGATCCGTCACGGTGCGCTGCGCCACATTGGTTAATTCCATCTCATGAACCAATAATACTCCTACTAGTAGGTAGAATCTTATAAAGTAATCTCACGTACATATGCAGGCTGTACGGTGTCAGAGCCCTGGAGTTGGCGACGTAACGTGTACATTGCCTTCTGCTCCATATTTTTAACTCAAGGCCGTTGTCATCTGCGAGGAACTCACTGGAATTCCTCTAACTGGTGCCTTTCAGCCGCTCAGTTTTAGAGGCGGTGATCTTTCGCTCAGCTATTGCTGCTAAAAAGTGGGGGCTGACCCGAACGCTTTCTTTATTGGGGGGAGGTAAATGCCAACATGGAACGCCAAAGCGCAGTTCACCCGGGTGCCACTACCGTGCGAAACGTGGGGCGTTCTGAAGTTCGCCGGGACTAGTTGGAAAAAGGGGCCTGCGGGAAAGGAGGAACCACTACGTCACCCAGCCATTCAGCCTGGGGCAGGCTCCTAGGAGCCAACCGGCTAGGATGGGCCGGCAGAACTACGTGTTATATGACCAAAGGAACAGGTGAATTGGACAGGACATTGTTTGGGAACGGCGATTGCCAAGAACAGCATAACCCTTTGAGGAACTGCCAGTGACCGGTTAGATGTGCCAGTGCTTAACATAACATGAACAACAATTCCTCCTTGAATAAATCTCCACAAACCAGAATCTCATGTCTTGATAGATTTTCCGCGCCAGCCTGGCGGCTATAGATTACTGAACGCGACTGCTTGCGCTCTACTACAATAGTAATATGTATATTAGCCTGAGCTGTTCCCGGACACAAATCCTATCTGAACAGTAGCATATCTAGTAGAAGCATTGCCGAGTCAGATATCATACTTCATTTGGAATGAAAGCGCAACTTACGTCGCTCCTAAAAGGATCAATTCGATCGTTCTCGATCTTGTTAAAAGGGAGAAAATCAGGAGGAAAACCATCGTAGATGCCATAACGGTGACGACCCGCCACGAAGTGCTGCTAACAAGGTTGCATATCACAACTGGACCTAGTAGTAGGAGTATTATCAAGAGTAATAATATTGCTTTGGCGGTGTCCCGAATATGCATGCCACGATATATATAAACATTAGGATCCCTCGAAATGTTGTGAGAACGGCTCTTTATAACCAATAGTCAGCTTGATCCAGTGGTTCACTGTCAGTGCAGTCCTTACTTTTTGGAAACTCGGAAAAAGTCGAATAAACCTGTCCTCGACCCATGTCTCGAGCTGCATCATCGCACTGTCTCCAGCAGGAGCTAGGGATATCAGCTCATGAGAGCGCGCAAGATACGCAGTTTCCTCTCGGGCCAGAGAGCCAGTCCTTTCCAACCAGTTATTCAGACTCTCAATATCTCTTGGACATGCAGGGCCGAAATTATGTATGCGGCTTGTTCTCTCTATGAACTGGTCTATTTTTTTGTTAGCAGTTTGTGATATTTTGTAGACACCTACGTACCGTAATCAGCAACAGATGCATCAATCTCTGATAGAAGAGATATCCTTTCCGTGTTCCTATCACTTCGGCTTTTCCCGAGGTAAAGAGGTGCGACCTCTAGACGATCTACTTGTTCAAGTTTCTCCTCAAGGAGAGACAGCTTATCTTGCTTCTGCAAAAGCAGTCGAGCTCGAAGCCAGTCGAACCTTCTGCATAAAAAGTACGCGTTATGTGCTGAAAGGAGCGCAGAATAACGGGGGGTATCCGGGCCTGTAATCCTCGACTAGGCATGTTAGAATGGCCCCCTAAGAGAAGGGAGAAATAATGCACACTCTTTCTGATTGATGGCTCATCTGGTGTAGCAGATTTCGACTCGGAGGTTTCCCAGATAGGAAGATCGGATTGTGGGGGCCCCATGTTTGATGAGATGTATGAGTTAGCAATTAAAATCAAATATAACTTGAAGGTCATATTTTTCCAGGGGTTTATGCGGCTAAGGCGGCTTAATTATAATGATGCCTGTAGGCTTATTCATTCATGACACACATGTGCAATAGGCACGAGTGCCCGATGATGATATGCATGCACCCTGAGAGTAGAGTTTGTTTTGCCACCGCGACTACAAGGCGGATCCTTGGGCTAGGCTGACTGCCATATATAGTCCATGCAACTTCTAGGAATAATTTAGCTATGTACTTATCTGGGCCAGCAAAATTCCCATGTAAGCGTCGCAACGTCCCTTGGGAACCATCCTTTCAACAGTTTTAGGCTAGCAATCGATATGTCTTCTGAAGCGTATGTATACTAGCCTTTCATTGTCTATATAGTATACTGACTGAGCTAGGGAAACACAAAGCAATTTCGTCTTTTCGGATGAAGAAGACCGCCCATATATTGCTAGCTCTGATCTGGTGTGTCACCTTAGTCAACAGGTTAGTATTTACTCACTAATCAAGCTCGTACTATAGAATCCAAGGTTTCGCGTGGGAGATAAAGTCTATCTGCTAGGCTCCGATGGATCTCGTGACGGTCCTTACCTCGTGGCATCGGTAATTTCTCCTCACGAGTGTATTCTTAGCCTCGAGAACGGGCAGACTGCCAAGGACAGCGAGATAATAAAAATGGCGAAACTTGAGGCTGTATGAGGAAAGTGGGGCTTTCACCTTCCCCTCAGAAGGCAATCAGAGAAGGCCCAAGCGCCCTATTAATAGCAAAATATGGCTAAGGGGCTTTCACAGCCCCCATCAGCTTTCTGCCCAACAGAAGTACAAATACCAGTATGCCAGATTTAAGCCGCAGTTGATTGTATTGCCAATATCATATGGGTTTATTCTTGAGCCTAGTAGTGTTAAGTAATAAAATAATCTTATATCAACGTTTCAAGATCAAGTACGGACGATATTTGAACCCCTCCCACTCCTCTCACTGCTTAGTTGACCAATATACAGCATACAGGACCTGCTTTCGATCCTTGTAACTTGTGCTAGTGCCATTCGCTATCATGGACAGCCAGCATGAAGTAGCAAGGCATTATGCCATCCTTATCGGTATTGATGCTTATCCTTGCGGGTCCTTGAGCAGTTGCGTACGAGATGTAACAAAGATCAAGCAATGCCTCGAAGATAAACTGAGTTCGGTTCATGTCCGAACATTGACAGCAAGCAAGAGTCTTGATCCGCGGACACTGGCAGTTATTCCACTGGAAACCCCAGAGAACTGGCCAACATATCGCAATGTGACCTCGGCTTTTGAAGAAATTACATCTCAGGCAGAGCCAGGAGATTTCGTTTACATTCATTACTCAGGACACGGCACCAGACTGACTCCGTGCTTTGACTTCTCGAACCAGTCCACCGGAGATTTGGCACTGGTTCTTCTCAAAGGAGATCAAAGTCCTGAGATTTATCTTCGCGGACCGCGACTGGCCCGCTTCGTCAAAGACATGGTTGATAAGAAATTGATAGTCACTCTTGTTCTGGACTGCTGTTTCTCTGCGACCGTATACCGCAATGGTGGAACCAGTCTCCGATATCTCCCATACGACCTCGCGACAGCCTCAGCATTTTCCGAGTCACCAGATCACGAGATTAGCTTCACGGGTAGAGATACTTGTTCTGAGAAGCGCAACATATCTATGCGCGATAACTGGTTGCTTGAACCAGATCGCTATGCCATTCTCGCCGCTTGTGGGCCTGACGAGAAAGCCAAGGGGGTTCCGAAAAAGGGTTAACATACGGGGCCTTGTCCTATTTCTTATCCCGAGCGCTCTCTGATCACGGGCTCGGGAGGAGACACGAGGAGATATATCGACACATACGAGCTATGTTCTGGGAGTCCTCCATGAGGCAACATCCCGTCCTGTATGGAAACGGGGACCAGGTATAAAGCTATAAGATAATACCGTTGTCTACGCGTAAACATCTATTTCCTCGATCTAAACCTATCTATCGTGCGGTCGATTCTAGAGATCCATACCCTCCCGGCTCGTATCATTAAGGCGCTTTGTGGCCGAAATCCTCGTTGGTTTCACGACCGGTTGGTATAGAAGAAGAGATAGAAGGATAAGGAATAGGTCATGCGGACTGGAGATGGAAGGGGCGTGTGCCTCCTTATTAGTCCAGTCTTGCGTGTTTCGCCTTCTGTCTTGAGATATGGGACGACTGGCAAGCAGAGCTTAATCAAATAAGTGGTGATGACATTGGGCGTTGACGATGCGTAGACATTTAGTTCTCTAGGAAGTACCGCATTTTTCTGGTATGATTATCGGATCGTGTGGATGAGCAGACTTATCATTTATGTGGTATCCCCCTGCTCTGTGCGTCGGATATGGAGACGATTGGCAAGTGCGCATCGTTTAAAAGTGATCCTGCCGGAGCTTTTGCCGTCTGAGGTTGAGTCTTGGACGAAGTAGTCCGCCTAAGTGTATTAGTCACCGCTGTCGCTGGCTGGGCGCGTCGGTCGCGGAGTGATTTCAGTTTCTCTGCTGAGCTGTTAGCAAATGATAAGATGTAAAAGGACATGTTGTGTATGGTATGAACGGCGGTGACTGTGGAATGACTGATATACCGTGGTATGAAATCGAAAGATCGTAGCGTTGTCGTATAGGGCCTGGTGCTAGTATCGACACTACCCGTATTTTGGAATTCATGAGAGGACCTCCAGGATAAAGAGCAATCTCTCCCGCTAACGCATATGAACGATTATAATGTCGCGCTGTCTGCCCCGCTCTTGCAACTACTATCGTATCTGGCGGATGAGAAGGTCCTATCAACTATTAAAGCCCCATATTGCCTATTGTTGGGTGCCTGGGTACCTGAGGCCCAGGGCCCCACTTGGGACAGATCCTCTTTGTGCAGTAGATAGTCTCTCTTTCTCTCCTCTCCTTCTCCTCTCCGTCCAACTCGATTACTACGAATCCATCTGCTTGGTTTTCTCATACAATCATCAGTAAGATTCTACATTACCTATTAACGCAGTTCAATTCATGTAGATGCCACCCTGCCGCTCCTCAGTTTTGGGCAAAGGCCTATAATGTCCCACCACTTCTGTATCAAGTGTAAAGATTTCGCATTTTGTCGCACGATGATGATATGACAAACATAGGACGCCCTTGTCCCTGTAGTCTGATCTGGCGGACATTGTTGAACAGCTGTCCCTTAAAGTTATCAGCACGGGCGTCTTTAATTCAGAAGTCACCTCTGCTACCATCGGCTAATGGTCGCTAGTCGTTTTTACAATGCTTGACGCTTCAGAATTTAGCGCCCTGTTTTCTTGATAAGCAATATAATGGAGAAAATTGGGCGCTACTCTCCATGGAACAGGATGATTTGCATCTGGCCATCCTGATGCAAATAGTCTGAATTATTCACTGTAAGGGATGAAATTACTATAAAGAATACAGATTCTGTAGACCTTTCTGATTAAACGAGCATAAAACTACGAGTTAAGCTCGTCAAATCAGATAAGCGTAACACAAATTGAGGCTCACCAGTTAGAGGTGTTAGAAGGCTACAGGCAAGTGGGCGTGATCATACAGATACAATATGGGTTGTATTGTAGTAATAGAGGAGAGGGAGAGAGAGAGAAGCTAATCTAGAGGTAGTATTGTTTTCCTGAGCAACTGGCAAATTACCGGAGTTATAGAATAAACAAACCATCACCATCGCTCTCATTCAGACTAATGTACGGATAGGGAAGTTCAATGCCACCCAGTCCTCTGGGATGCGGCTATTAGAATTCCTCATCCTCGCCCCAGCAATCGTATCCCCTAGCCCATGAAGATTGGGCAACTCTAGCAAGTCAAATGATGTCGGCTGGGAAGTTACGAAGACTTTAATGATGTCCTCACATGAACCATACTCCTTCATCATTGGAGGAACGGTCATCTTGATCTTCTTTGAAACTCTTCCCAGATATGGTAAGTCGCCGTTACACGTATCCTTTCGTGGAGGAATAGTCTCGTAAGTTGCAAACAGCATTCCTTTGACTCTCCAACAAGAGTCTAGATTGTACATGTGTGCATATAGAGCTATATCCCCCTTGTTGATTATGGACACTTCCATGATACTGTTGTGCCGCACTTCAATCTGTTCTTCTGGTCTGAAAACTGCTCTGTCGGAAACTATTTGAATATCGAATGATACTCGGAATGCAGCGTTGGGCACCTGATTATTCAATTCCTTGACCATTTTGAACCGGGTTAAATGCTCTAGCACATCCAAGATGTGACTATTATTCACTTGTTCGCGGGGCATGGCTGGTAGATTGACGAACTTCCGACCCAAGTTATCCAGGATTTCATATTCGTCAATGTTGTTTAGCACGACCTGGAGGGCCGAAATTTGGTGAGGGTCGGTGCCAGTACTAAGTGAACGTGTCTTCAGCGCTGCTAGCCATTCATCACGCTGGGGAAGGTTGGGTGCCAGGTGGATAGGAAAACTCGCGAGGCGTGCCCAAGTGAGTGGCTCCGCGATCCACCCTGTTCGAAGGTTGCACTGGGGCCCTATCAACTCCAACTGAGATGTAAGAGCCTTAGCACAGATGACCTTGTCGAAGGTCGTTTTAGAGTCTCGATATAACCGCTATATACTATTACAATCATTATTAAATTATTAAAAAAAACTATCTCTATATTAGTCGTATAAAATTGCGCTAATAAGCAAGTACCGGCTAGTTAACGCGAATCGTAGCCGAGTTAGTCTAATCAATTAATTAACTAAGTCGAGTAATCTAATCCTAGTTATCTCCGGTTCCGAAACGAGGCTAACGCCCTTAGCTAAGGTTGATAAGACTCTAACGCGGTAAAGTCTACCCCGGGCTATATATATAACCCGCTATATACAACATAGGGACGACTATCCTAAAAGAGAAGGGAGAATGCGCCTATATATATAAAGGTTAACGATAGAGCGGCAAATTAAGTGCTACGGACTAGAGGAAAAGGTATCGTTTCGAGCGTAATGGTCGGAGCTAAGGGGGAAAGTAGGGCCGGACGAGGGAGGCTAGCGTAGATTGCAATTGCGGGATCGTAGAATAGTCGACGAGTCATACGGGAAAGGGGGTGGCGGAGTTCAGGAGCTCGAATCAATAACTAGTAAAGATACCTTACCTGCAAGACCTAGGGATAACCGGGAGAAAAGAAAAATGACCTGGATTGTTGGGTGGTGGGGTGGGAACAGGGGACTATAGATCCAGCATAGGAACACAACGGACAAAGAGAGCTAACCCTAATGTAGTCAATACCGTGAGTTTTCTCTATCCAATATCCGATATGGTGTAGTGGCTAACATCGCCGTCTCTCACACGGCAGCCGGGGGTTCGATTCCCCCTATCGGAGTATATATTTTTCTTCTTTTTTCCTTCTTTTTTCCTTTCACTAACTAATTTCAATTTTACATCTTAAATTTGTATGTCTTTGACCTTTTGCAGGTAATGCGAAGGGAAGGTCATTGGTAGCTCCTGGTGGAATCCATGAGTCACCGTGGCCAGGCCACAATTGCATTCTGAGTCATTGCCATCTAAGCCTATGTATGTATGTATGTATCACTCGAATTCATACGACACCCACTCCATTTATGACTATATGTGAATCATTCCAATGTTTCATCCCCAGGCGCATGAGGCTGAGTCGTAAACGCGAAATTGATATGGAAAAAAAAAGTGCCTGGCCTGGACACCATTCTGGTGATATATAAATCACTCCAGTTTCCATGTTAGGTAGTGAAACACAACTCGAAGATCCCGGGATTCTTGAATCACTAAAGCATGGCTTCAAATAACCCGAACGAAACATATGCCAATATGACAACGAGACTAGAGGCATCCCAATTCCCACCAGAGTCAACTATCTCATCATCACGAAAGCGAGAGAAGCGAAGTGTTTCGCCTGAGTATGACCCCAAGGCTGGCGAAAACAGACTGCGCCCGGCTGGAGGTAGGTAGCTAGGTTGAAAAATGTATCCATCGCCAAGTTTGACAATCTGACAACTTACAGATATCATCAATCGCATTACTTGGGATTCGGGGTTTGAACGCAGCAACTATATCATTGGCTTCGTGGACCGATTTGAAGGACAATTAGAAATCACCATGGGTAGTTGGAAGAAGGAGACTACCGACGAGGAATTCATTCCACAGCATCGGGTGTTGTATATCAGACACACCAACGGGGAGATTGTTTGGGACCGAAGGAGACGTATTGACAAAATTTGTTTGAGTGGAAACTCGGCCTTCAGCGAATTGGCCTTTCTTGCGTGAAGTTGCACCTTTGTATATTTGATTTGTGTCTTCGTACCTTCCATCATCTCTTTTGTTTACTTTTCTGTCTCGTGCCTTCCTTGAAAGGTCCCAAGAGTCCATGACTCCATGGGTTCTTCTCTCTCTGTCATCTTATAACATTTCAACTTTCATCACCTCATTTCATTACTCGAACCCCCCAAATTGTCACATAAAATGGACCATTCCAAGAAGAAACCGTCTTTGCCTCGCTTGACCACCAACATTCCCCTACTACAGAAACCCCCTAATGCATCGTGTAATGCTGTACCAAACCCTGTCGATGCCAACGCACCCCCGATCATCATGCCCGAGAGGCCAGCGAGAACTTCATCAATGTTCAAGGAGGAAAAACACGATAAGGAGAACATCGCGCCTGCCACACGTTTTGCGTCAGAGAGCATGCCCATCTATCTTTCCCAGAAAAGCGTGGACGATTCGCCGTTAACAAAGGTGAAAAAGTTGTACTACGAAGACGCATTTACGGCCCGTGGATCGCACAATTCCCCCAAAGACCGCGTAACACATGAATCGGTTGTTGTCGTTGAGCTCAAGACCAACACTCAAGTTTGTGACCTGCTGATATCTGCTCGGTGATCGCTCCCTGCTAATCCACCAACTAGGGAAAGGATGATACACCCAAGTTACTGTCGGATTTCGCCCACTTCCTTGCCCAGGTCTATCAGCGTCCGGAAACATCAATGCTAGTCACCATCGACCAGAACGCTGACCTGATTTTCGGAAATACGTCCGGGTCGGCGTACCTGTTGAAGATCACGGCTCTCTCGAGTCTGATCGGACCGCTGACCAACCTCCGCAACACCGGCCTAATTCAGTCATCCATTCAAGAAATGTTTGGCATCGCCCCCGACAAAGGGGTGGTGATCTACACTCCAGCGAGCGAAGACAATCTTGCAACTAATGGGATGACCGCCAGGAGTGAGATCGACCGCCTCGAACAAATTGATTCTAGCAATAGTCCCTCGATCCTCAAGTCTATCTCGCGATCCATGAGTCGTCGCATAAAATCGAGCAGCGGCAGCAGTGCTCCGATCTCTCTCACTTCAGTCATGAGCCCTGACGTCACAAGCCCTACTTCAACTTCGCCCGTTGCCTTTACTTCAGGTCATGTCTCTCCACCGAAGCCACACCAGACAGACGAAAAAGAGCCGATGGAGTCACCAAAGAGGGAATCAATCAGGCAGGTCTCATCCAAGGATGAGAGATGCGAACAAACCTTGAAGAAAAGAGAGAGCTTGAAAAGTTTTGTTAACCGTCGTTTGGGCGAATTGGGCGAGCTGACCACAAAGAAGCCCTTCGCAGCCACAAAGGGAAAGAAGGATTGAATTGCAAGGTTCTGTTTGAAAATCGCAAAGTGCAATGGGTAATGTATTTGATTGCGTTGGGGTATCTTCTTGATAGGGATTCGGCATGTGGCTTCGCTGTATCAAACTATCCATGGATTCATTCTATATGATTATACCATGCATCCTTGGCCATAGTGCATCGAGTCTTCCTCTTAGAACAAAATCGAATTAGATGACCGCTTGTCAATGTAGTGTGTATTTTCCCCTTTTGTATCCTTCCTTTCCAAGGGTTCTATATGCGTATATGCGTATATGTATTTCTAACTCCGAAAGCGTTTGGAGTAGGTGCCTCGAAGGTGCCCTCAACAAATGAGAGTTTTCAAGAAGTAAGATGAGTTTGTCGCGCTCATAACACATGTACGGCTCTCTACCTAGCCGCAGCATCAGATCATAATAATGTGGCCCGCCTACTTGTAACATCTAGGGCCGATATGCATGCTTGCTGTGGACAACCGCGGTTGGTTAGCGTTGTACTGTGCTGCGGGATAGGCCGTAGTAAAGTGGTATCTACTTATAGAGTAAGGCGTACCACCGAATCTACGGGATTACTCGGGCAAAATAGTACTATACCTTATTTTGCTTCGCTTCGCTCAGCAAATTATACAGGCAATATGGTAAACAACAGCCTGTTGGCACAGTGGTCTAACCCAATTAAGATAAGCCTTTCTTGGCGGTCATTTTCAGTCTAAGCATCATAATCACGTGATTTAATGGGTGCATTATTATGGGTGCCAAGGCTCGATTAACTCTAACAATTAGCCCTATACAGATCATGTGATTTAATGGAGGCATGATTAGAGGGGCATCATTATGGGAATATAATATGGGGCCGAGTATGGGAAGTACATGGCGATACCATAATAATTAACACTTAGACTGAAAATGACTGCCAAGATAGACTCTACTCATAAGCGCCAAGACGGGATTTATGTATAGAAATGGTCTTTGTTGGGGGCCCATAGCCCACTGCTGGTTGATTTATGGGGTCTAAGGTCCTGGGCCCATTGCGGAGGTCTAGGCCTGAATGTGTGCGAAATTGTGGAACGAAAACCCAGTGCGGCTACATGAAACCTTCAAAGCTTAAACAAAACCTTAGCCCTAAAGGTGAGAGGGACTCGGATTATTCTCGGATTAGTCCCAAGGTTTGGGAGGGATCCATTCCTTATTAGGCGGCGGCAAGGAGTATACGATGCCCAGGTAGATATATCTTTCTACTATTTCAAACCTCGATCCCAAATTACCATACGAGAATCGTTTCATTATTTCTAAAAAAAAATGTCCAAACTACTTGGAAGCCAAGAATTGAAGCCAGTCTCTGACTATCACCCTTCTTCACAATGCCACTTATGCGAGCCGAGCCCAGATGTACTCACCTCTGTCATCGAGAACGAGCGTACTCGCCGGTTAGCACTGGAACAGATGACGAAGTTAGAGACAGAGCTTGGGAACTTATCAGAGAACCACCCTATGCACGACGATGACGATGCCCCGCTGCTAATAATAGACTTCCTTGAAAAGTTTTTTCTGTTATTGGAAGAGGAGATTCAGTTGGTTAGAAAGTTCTCAAATGTTCTAAAAGAACGCCTTGAAAACCCCGAAATCTATATCGCTATGGAAAGACTCTCCGACAGCGAGTTCGATCGAGTTTATGCTTCTTCAAAGCAGAATCCAAACCGCCAGATGCAAAGAAAGCTAGCCCAGAACTCTCAGGATCGCAATGACTACTTTTTCTCTTCTGGGCGGTTACTTGAGTCCTCAAAGGTGGATAATATGAATGACAAACTTGGCCAAAGCCCTCCATCCTATGATATGGCCGCTAGTGTTCGGAAATCGAGTGATGGTGCTCCCGCAAAGCCGGCTCGGAGTTTTTGGAAGAAATTTTGTAAAAGTTTAGCTCGGCTTTAATGGTAAGGAGGAATTGGGTCTCACTAGGAGTGATCGTCATTGGGCGAGATTACTGTAAATTTGTTTATCTTGCTTTAAAGCGTCGTGAATTATCGATATGAATGGATTTGCTTGATGAAACTCCTAATTCTGTTCAGGTGAAAGCACTTCTCTCACCCCATGTATGAAACTATATTTAAATCAGGCACTAGAGACCTATTGTCTCGAAATTTTACCACCTAGGTGCTTGGGTTTCTATAGCAAGATGTAGAAAATCTTTATATAAAGGGAATTTTAGCACCTGGCCTCCACAAGGTCTCGTGTTGGATCAATCAGGGTCTACCATAAGTTCCAAGTCTGCGAAGGTGTCTACATTGAATAGCAAAATGCATTCCCAAGATGAAACTGCCTGGTGGCAGTATGTATTTAGAAATGGTCACCTCTCAAGAGGGCCAACCAAAGAAAAATAAAATAAAAATAAAAACAACAAAACAACAAAACAACAAAAAAAAAGAGGAAAAAGACCAAAAAGCCCGGAGGAACGCCACCAAAAACACCACCACCACCTCCTGCTCCTCCTCCTCCAACCCCAGTTTGTTAAAAAGCTCCGTTTTCATTCATCTCGCCTCGCTAAGGTTCTCGGAGAGAAGAAAAGGACAAAACAACAGAGGAACGCCGTCGCCTCGGCATCGCCTCAAAATACCGCCGGCTCCATTGTCAGGCCCTCCTTCGCCACGTGTAAGACGTTGCGCGTCGTACTAGAGAGACTGGAAGCTTTTGCGGAGTCCAGCTTCTTCTCCTTTTTCTTAGGAGTGGTGGAGGGCGTGACGGAGGGCGTGGCGGAGGGCGTAGTAATCACATAAGGCGGGCGGGCTTGGACATAATCCCCTTCGGGGATCTCCTCGGTCTGCACGCCCACAGAGACACCTTCGGCGCTATTTTACGATACATTAGCCTCTATGCATACATAGGCAAAGATCCGCCAATATAGTTTCCATAAGAGTCATGGTTTACCACTTACGGGGTATTTTCCGGGTCCCCTTGTTTAGAGGTTACCTTCCTCCAAACAAGATAACCAGCCCCGGCAACAAGTCCAGCCGCGAGGCAAAGAAGGGCCCAAAAGCCCGGGGACGCGACTAACTGTTCACTTGTGGACCGAGAGGTCCCGGAGTTAGAACGAGATGAGGAGGGTTGGGGGGCGGAGGTGGGTGGAGGGGGAGCGGGGGCCAGATTAATCACGATGCTGATGATGTTTGTGTTATTGTTCGCCATGGCTGCGATGTTGTGAATACAAATTTACGCTGCTGGGGGAAAACACGATATACCCTCTACGCAACATCGTGCCTGCTTAATCTGTACCAACTACGTCGTAACTACGTCTATAGCTTCCTATTCTACAGAAAGAAAGAAAAAAAGCTTCTGCAGCTGAGAACTTTTTTTTTCTTCTTTTTTCGAAAAAAGGTAAAGATAGTATGTTGTCTTGCGAGCTTCACGTGGGAGCGTGACAGTTCAGACGGTAGAGCACCCAACTCTTGCTCCATTATACACTCTCTTAAACCATTCCCCTTAATACTATCCTCACTTCCCTCAACTCTTCTTAGGGACCATGAGAAAATTCTAGTTGCTTCGTTTGCTTTCTCCGTCTACCACACAATATCATGTCTGACACAGGTGATAATCAGGCTGCAACGATTGATCGCACTGACAGCGATGAGTCGTTGGTCTTGATGACATCGTCTTTGCCTGATGTCAGCTTTGTCCAGGAGACCCCTGGCGATCTGTTCGATGCCCCCAATGGCGCTGCTCTAATCCGTGGGAACCCCCTCATTTAGCGACTGTTCATTTTTCAAAACTCCCCACTAACCTAGCAAATGTAGATGCGTGCAACTGCCAGGGTGTCTGGGGTTCAGGCATTGCCCGTGCATTTCGTGAGCGGGTTAGTCGATCAATAACTCACCCACTTGATGTGACAATCTAGAGCTAATAAGACGATTTTGTTCAGTATCCCGCCGCCTACGAGATCTATCACAATCACTGTCGCACTTATCACGACCACCCAGTCACCAACACCATCACCGACCTACGTGACGAGGACCCGCAGCCCTCTCTCGTTGTGAACCGCCCCCTCGGTACCGCACTGATGATTCCACCACAACAAAGTGACTTCCTCCTACATCGTCGTCGCCATTGGGTAATTTGCCTCTTTACCTCGGAGTATTATGGCAGCCGTGTGGATTCGGAGGACATGATTGTCAACAGCACTTTTGCTGCCCTACAGGACCTGAATAGACAGCTACAAGTTCTTACCCAGCAGGCTTCCGAGACCGGTAATCAGCGTCCCCAGAGACTCTACTCCAGCCGCTTCTGCTCCGGCTTGTTCAAAGTTCCCTGGGAGCGCATTTGTAAGTTGATTGACACGGTCGGTCTTCGTATCAATGTGTACCATCCCTTTGAGGCTAGCAACCGCCGCGCTCGCCCCATTCGCATGGCACGTCCCAGAGAGACTGAACAGGACTGAGAGAACCAAGACATCTACTTCCTGTCCGTCGGCAAGGGCTTTGACTTGTGGGTTTCTACCTGGTGTGTTGTGGAGGAGCGAGGGTTTAACGCATCACTCTTCATTTTAATGATACTTGAGACTAGTAACAATGGAAAGCATGTGCATAGGGTTGATAAACGAAAAGCACCAAAAAAAAAAAAAAAGAAAAAGAACATTAAACCTATCGCAACCAGAAAAGTAGGGCCTCCCCTCATCACCTGACAGCGCGTACTGTAGATCGCGCCCGCGTTGGAGTGTTCCCCAATTTCCCCGATATCCCCAATCACCCTCACCATTACTACTTGCGATTCCCCATCTCACCCATCGCATACCCGGCGCAATTACTTAAGATACCAAGATGCCCGGCGAACCTAAACCAGCTCAAAAGCGCCCACGTCTTCCCTTCAAACCTCCCAGTCGCACGACTAGCGCGGGACCATCCAGCTCCGCGCTGGAGGCCAAAGGAAAAGCGAAGCAAACCAGCACAAAAGCTGCTGCGTCCACAACCTTGCCCAGAACAACAAAAAGCAAACCCACGACTCAAAGCAAGTCTGCGACCCAGAGCAAATCGACAAGTATCGGGAAACGCCCCCGACCCGATTCTCCGGTAGCCAATGCCGCCTCCGAATCCGAATCCGAGTCCGACTCCAATGGATCGAGCCGCAGCCGCTCGCGCTCGGTCTCTAAAGAGCCGGACTATATCCTTGCTGAAATCACAACTGCAAACCAAGCAGAGGATGTGACTTGCAGCGACCCGAAAATACCTTCTAAACTGCTCACACGCCTGCTGCACCAGCATTTCCAGAATGAGAAGACCAAGGTCGCGAAAGATGCCAATAACGTTGTTGCCAAGTATATTGATGTTTTTGTGAGGGAAGCCATCGCCCGAGCTGCCTATGAGAGGGCCGAGTCGGATGGAAATACTGGAGGCAGAAGTCTCGGGGACGGGTTCCTCGAGGTAAGTCTTCATTGTTTTATCCTCCAATTAGTCTATACTAGGTCTTCTGATTGGTTTTATAGGTTGAAGATCTTGAGAAAATGGCCCCACAGCTCGCGATGGATTTCTAGCCCATGCATCTCTTCCACAAAGGGTCACGGCGTTGATTCAAATTCATCATGTATTAGGACTTATAGTTCATTGTTCAAGATACCAGTTGACCACAGAATCAGCAGAACGCATGCAACACTTTTAATCCAAACATCTTCAAATCTTCAAACGCAAGAGGCCTGCAAGAGTGAAATATCCCTCGGGTTCATATACTCAGGTGGCTTTCCCACGGTATGATCCTCCACAAAGGGTGGCACAGCCCCGAAGCCATTCGCATTGTGAAACAGAGCGATATCTCTGTTTACCCTCTTCGACAACCACACATTCGCCTCATAGGCCGTGTTCCTTTTGCTAAGATGAACAACAGCAACGGGGAGCTTATTCTGCTCGGGCAGATGGCCGAGATTGGCGTCGTAGGCCGTGTGGCAGATGTCGAAGACGAAGAATACTCGCGTTCGCCACTTCTGAGCTGCCACTAACTTTGTTGCTGGGCGAGCTTCTTGTGGGAGGTACAGGTGGCATGATTTGAGGAGGCGGATGGCTTTTGGTAGGAGGGCTTCTGGGTTGTTTTGGGCTTTGGTTATCTGAGAACTCCGGTGCGAGACGATGACTAGGACTCGAAGGGGATTTCCTTGGGACATTGTGGACTGGAGATGTGAGGAGTAATCCTTGAGAGGCCTGGATGAGTTCTTACCGAGGTAGACAAGACTGAATGTTTGGATTGTCTCTACGCCCTTTCAGCAGTTTCTAGAGAAAACACACTACTACATATAGAGATATCTCAGGATCCTCAAGCAGAGTTTAAATATATTTTGTTCTTTACAACTAGGAGACACGGGCAAAGTCGGTGTCTTACCCGGACTAGATCATAACCTCCCAATGGCCCGACAGTCCGGTCGTTCAAATCAGAACATTTTCCAGGGGATGGTCATCTGTCACATTGTATAGAGTATGCTGACAGCTAAATACAAGGGTCTTGCTTCAGCTGGATATCAACGCTGCCGGGTACCTGGTGACTGGGTTGAGAAGTCGGGATGAGACTCGTGTCAGTCTGACATCAAATAATGTACAACGTACCAAGCCTGCAGTATGCATCGGAGATGATAAAATAGAAGCCGGAGAGAAAAAAAGATAAAGAATTCAGTTTGATTTGAATGAAAAGCTGGATGTCACCAAGAATGTTGTTGATAGTCGACGGAAGGCGGTGGCTAGTGGAATTTCCCCCGCGCGTATTTTGTTCCTTCAACGCGTCAAGCCCAGCCCGAGAAGACCAATCTTTTTCGCGATGGACGATGCGACGACCTCCTTGCTCACTGAGCACTTCAGTTACACACCCTTGGTACGTCAACCGAGACTAATATGCATTGACTCGTGCTGCACGCGCAACCTGCGACCTGCGGCTCGCCCTTACAACTAGGAATATCGCTGACAAGTTCCCTAGTCTCTCATAGATGACATTATCAACTCGATCAACAACCTAATCTATCAAGCGATCTCTAGCTTAGAGTCCGGACTCCTAAATACACCGCCTGAACGACTCGGTTTCTCCCATGACAGCAGTGGACCTAGCATCGCGGAAACAGACGAGGATGGCAATGTGGTTTATCCCGAGGCAAAGCTAGAGATTGAGAATGGACTGCATCAGCTAGAGACGCTGCTAGAGGCCAATGTTGATAAGGCCTTCGACAAATTTGAGATCTATGTGCTGCGCAACATTCTCACGGTGCCCGGGGACTTGCTCTCTTGGGTACGGCTGAAGCATTACGAGGTATGTGGAGTCATTCATGGATTTCTAGACCAGTTTTGGAAAAGGAGATATACTAATGTCATTATGCTAGGGTCTCTCTTTCGAATCTTCGCCGGATACGCCGACTCCAGAAACCATACACGCGCAACGCAAGAAGTTGTTCGAGACGAAGAAACTGAACCGGTCCCTAAAAGAAGAACGCGCTCGAAATGACGCCGTCATCTCACAACTACAATCTATTCTGTCCACAGTCGAAACAGCCAAGGCAGACGGTGTGCCCAAGACGGCCAAAAACAAACCAGTGGATTTGTCCTTCTTGAGCTCTACCCCGGCTGCACGTCAACTTCGTGTTGGTGTGGATGCTGGGCCGAATGCTAAACCCACGCCTCTTACAACCAACACTACTTTCATTCTCTCGCAGCTGCCCGCGTTACAGGCGACACTTGAGCAGCTCCGGCCGAAATTGGCAGCCCTGCCCAATGCAACAGTGCCAATGGAAACCAAGTCCAAGAGAGACGAGAGAAAGGAATACATTGAGAGCAGAATTCGACTCCATCTCGAGCGAGCTGGACAGCTTGCTATGGGTGACGATGGAAATCCAGTGGTCGCAGGTCGCAGAATCGACATCAGAGAGGCTCACGCCCTTGAAAGCGTGGCAAACATGCTTACGCAAGACAGGTCTGTGTAACAGGATGTGCATGTGAAAAAAATATGTTTTGTTCTACGACTCTATTATTGAATATTTACTGGTCGGGTTACTAAGACCAAGTGATGCTCCATGTCTCTTGGGTCTTCCTGAATGGGACCACGTCAATCTTGTCTGACTGGAGGATCTCCAAGATCTTCTCGCCCTTTCTCTCGATGGTGATGAATTCCTTCTGCTCCTCCGGGAGGCCATAGAAGGCCCGTCCGAACTTGCTCATGAAACCCTCGACAATCTCTGGCGTGATCACATCCTCCTTGAGGACACCGTTATCGCAGGCCTGCTCAAAGGCATCAATCACAGCCTGAGTGGTGTATGGTTGGGTGAAGACGCCGGCAGCGATCTTCTCGCCACCACGCTTGGATGCCGCAGGGTGTGGGGCGCTGTCGGAGCCGAAGAAGAACTTCGGGTTTCCTGAAACAGCAGCACGGAGAAGGGCATCCCGGTCGGCTGGAGTCTTGGCAACGGGCTTGCAGAAGCAGAATGGGTCGCCGGCCCATGAGTCGATAATAATGGATAGGTGATGAGCAGTGATGGTACCAGAAACCGTGGGACCGCACTTCTCCACAGCCTCCACAGCCGCAGCAGTGGTACAGTGCTCCAAAATGATGCGCAGCTTGGGGAACTTAGAGTGTAGCTCAAAGAGCTTAGGAAGGAATCGCTCCTCCGCAGACAACACTGTCACATCACCTCCAGAGGGACTTTCTCCGTGCAGGTTCAAAATCATATTTTGTCGCTCCATCTCCTCGAATACGGGGTAGAATTGCGTGTAGTCGACCACGCCGGAAGAGGAGTTGGTGGTCACACCGGCTGGGTAACTCTTGACACCAACAATGCCGCTCTTCTTGGCTTCAATGATGGTCTCCGGAGTCACGGTCTCGTGGAGGTACAGCGACATAAGGAACTTGACATTCGGTTCGAGGGCTTGGAGGCGCTTCTGGTAGTCCAGAGCACGGTCGACGGTCGTGATGGGTGGTACAAGGTTGGGCTATTGAATGTATTAGACATAGCTCCAAAGACAGAATTTGGTTTTCCCTAATAAAGATATTCTCCCCTTACCATAACGAAAACGGTGTTCACACCACCCTGTCGGATAGTGGGAGTCACCAAATCCATCATTGGACCCTCACGAAGATGGACTATCTTTTGGTCAGCTTGCATCTATTAATATTCCTCGGAATTGCTTAGTACCATGGAAGTCGGCCGAGGCGGGGAGCTTTACTCCCTGCAGCTTAGAGAGAGGCATGATGAATTCTAAAATCAAAAACCAAGCTCTAATTGCAATTATATCTCTTTCTCTCTGATATGATATGCAGATGTTTTCAAAAGAAAAAGTTGGATCTTCACTTTTGCCCCGCCATTTTTGAAAAAGTTCTGCCGATGGCGGTGGCGACCCCACAAGCCAGTTATTAGTTACATGTCTTCGACTCTTCGACTCTTTGACTCTTTGACACTTCAAAATCATTGGAAATGAGAAATCTTACAATGACTCAGAGAGAGGCAAGATTTGTGATATGTGTGTGTAAGAAGCTAGGCTGATTTGAAAATAGAAATACATGTATTCCAATCTTACCTGCGCCATTCTCCTCGCATGGACTACTTTCGATGCACTTACTATGTACAGTGGCACGACTGGCGTAGTACTCCGAGAGAAACATTGATATACAAAGAGACCAAAGCCTAGATCCATTCAGGGAATACAAGGATGTGGTGTTCCTGAATCACCCTTGCCGCTGGTGGCCCCCGAGGCACAATGCTCGGCGCTTCGCCATCACCTATCACAGGTCACCATGACCATCCTTGGGGAAAATTAGATTTTCCAAAAGACGAATGAGATCTGTTCTTCAACAAGTTCGATGCAAACCCCGCTCAGACTCTATCTTTGGCTCTACTAGGCGCTTCGTTGGTGCTTGTTCCCCGATGCGTCTGCCAAGGCTGCATGCTAGCGCCCAAGCAATTATGCTCCGGGGATGTACAGGTCCCAGTTGCAAGGCCACTGTTTACAATTCTAGACAGTCCTGCAAATTTAACCCAGAGCCCCAGACGAATCAGCGCGGTCGGTTTCCCATCGAGGCGCTCCGCATGGCTATATGCAGTGATATGGGCTGAGTATCGTCTTCGGGATACGCGCCCACTCGGTGGTTACTTCTGTGATAGCAACATCGCTTGCTAAACTAGTCACTGGATCTATGTCAGGGCTATGTTCCCTCGAGAATACATATCAGAGCTGGTATCCCTTAGTTATCATTTGAGAGGGAGTCGTTTGAACATAATACCTGCCTTTTCTTTTTTAACTGTTTTTCTCTTTTTTTTTCTTCTTATTATTGCCCCTGAGGGGTTCCTCGTTCTTTTGATATCCATTCCAAGGACTATTCTTGCCGGCAAGGTCATCAACAGCTACACACAACTCTCCTTCAACCCCTCTCTCTGCCATACCACGCAAGCCCAACGACACTCCATGATGACCTCAAACTCGTCCCTCACCGGATCAGGCGGTGCTTATTCTTCAGACATGGAAGAATCGAACTTTTTGAAACGCAATCGTGTCATTCATTTTGCACGACTTGGTCTATCTTCTTTGATTTTCGGCGTTGCTATTGCCATCGTCGCGTGCGAAGCCCCACCCTTGCGGCATTATAAGAACACCTCACAGTGGGCGAGTGCTGGTCTCGCACTGTGGCCTTTGAACTTTGACCTCCGTCCAACAATCGCCGCTATTTCCTGTGGCTGTATAGTGACCATCTTGAACTTGGTATACATCGCCGTTGCGCTTCTACCATCTGTGAGTCTTACACCCATCCCATTGTGTGACTACCCTTGATATCGTGTACTTACGCCCATCTAGCCACATTCCCGTATCAAGTCGCTTAATATCTATGCCTCAGTCTCAGCCATCGCAGGCTTTTCAACCGCCCTGGTAGGAATCCTATTCATAATCTACCTACCATCCTCGGATTACCCAGCAGGGTTCAGCAAGAACGAAACCCTCCACAGCTGGACCTGCAAGTGGAAAACTGGAACAAGTAACACGAACACACCCCGTCACTTTGATCGTGACTGCGTCAATACTCGTGCTGGATTTGTGTTGCTGTGTGTACTTCTTGGAATGGAGGTGTTAATGGGAATCGCTGCTGCCGTTGGCACGTGGTTCCAGCGCGGTGTTTCTCGTCGTCGGGCAGAGCAGTTCCAACTTGAGAAGTTAGAGATTGCTACTAAGCAGGTGTTTCGCAATTGAGTAAATAGTTTTGGGAGGATTTAGGTGCTGTGTAGGCGTGGCGTTGGGTTGTTGATCTGTGTATATGAATGTATGGTCACCGTGTTGGATGAAAGGGATGTATTCTGGTTATTTATGTTGGGAATTGATTTGCTGTATTTATCGTCGTTATAATTATTACCATTGCAGAGCGAATATTCCCAAGTTAATGTCGTTCTAGATGTTCATTTATGTATATAGCCCAATAACCATGTAAACTCTCTTAAGACTGGTAATTGCTGCCTCCGGGGGCCAACCGTCTCAAAATGTCGCCCCTATCCCTAAAACCACAAGAGCCATCCAGCTACCGGCGTCATTCACAACTGCAGCTCCCTCTGATGGACTCGTCGACTTCTCATTCCCAATCAAGGCTTTGGTCGGCCCGGCAGTAGTAGACGAGCTGTCACCGGTGGTTAGACTGGCATATATGTCGGTTGGCTGTGCGGCATTCGACCCGGGCAGAGTCCATGAGGGTGCGACGGTAGTCTCTCCTATGTCGTATGCATTCGCGGTAGCGCAATCATTTACGCTGAGTTGTTTGGCCGCGGACGAATCCGGGTCATCATCAGAACAGTCTACGTAACAGCTGTTCAATTATGTTAGTACTGCGGGGTTGTAGGTATAGATACCTCCTTGGGAAATTGCAAGAGCTAGATAGATGGTCATACTCACTTGGCAATGTTTGCAGCGCCCGAGCACTTACAGTCCCAATCACCTGAGGCACACTTTGCGAGTCCGCGCTTCATGATCGCGACACAATAATCTACAACTCTATTGATTATGAGAAATGAATCATAAATGGCAAATTGTTGGTACTTAGAGGCTTATAGGCTTACTTTTGGGAAGCGCAGTTTGAGTTGCCGTTTGTGCTTGCGGATGTGGGTGTTGCATCTTGAGCGGCGATGAGGGTAGCTGATGCACCAAGTAGGAGGGAGAGATGAGTAGTAAAGAAATGCATCTTGATATTGAAGAAGCCTGTATTGAAGAACAAAGGGACTCAAAATATGAATAATATGCGTCCTGATAGGTATACTCTTAGAGTAGATGAGATTTAAAGTTCAAACAGATATTCACTCAAGACTGGAGACCTTATATTAGGGGGTGAAAACTTGGATTTTGGACGTTACATTCATCCTAAAGACAATGAAACCGTTGAGCCCTCTTTCAAGGCCGTGTCTATTCCCGGCACGTTGACAGGAGGGGAGTCTGAAGAAACCTCCCACGTGGAAACGTGTTGCAGGGTCCACATTCTTAGCCAGGCAGCATATATTCTTCTTATTTATGCCCAAGAAAGTTGGACGTATTGAATGAGAGAAAATATTGAGTAATCCATCTATAAGATGTATATGTATTGTTCCTTGCGTTGTTGCCAACTTAGTATATAAACCTATACAGCAAGTTTGGCTTAGGGTTCAATCGAACCAGAAGAAGACAATTTGGCCCAAAGCGGTATTCCTCTAGGTCAAACAAGCTTGTGAGTTGCGATGGAAGGTGATAATGAGGTGTTTTTTTGACATCATGACTGCCTCTGATGTCGCATTCCAGAGGTCGGGGTTACATTCTTCGAAACTCCTTGGCCAATGGTGTGGACCGTGAGGGACCAGAGCCGCATTAGGAATGTCCAAGTCTCCACTTCATTATAACTACTAGTTATAGTTAGTTAACTATGGAACTGGCTAGTTACATGTATGTTGTACGTACAAAGTTCCTATGAGTATAGATAGTATAATGTCAGTTCTGCAATAGAAAGCCCCATCAATATCTTCTCCATTTCCAGACTTGGAAATCCCTTCTTGTCTTTATATGTTGTATGCGGATGTCGATGTCTACTGTAGTAGGAATATAGTATAAATCCAACTACTTATCTCGCACCTTTCCGGGGGCTAGAGCGCCCGAAGCCACATGTAATCCCTTAGGAACTAGCAGCCTAAGTTGACCCTTGATTACAGGGTGGCGAGCGACGGGGTGAGGGAGCAAAGCCAATCTATACATACATACGTATCAGGAAGATAGTTACCTAGGTACCAATTTATGATCATCATGCTGTATACCCACCCAACGTGCCGTTCTATCATGCCGTTCTATTGTTATCACGAGGTTGATGTACGTACATCGCACTGCCATAAGCTATAGAATAGTAATTCCATACTCAAAACCTCACTTCTACAGCATCTAAAACTTGCCAATCTATTGATGTTTTAGATCTATGAGTGTAAAAGACATGTATAATCACATGCATTCAGAGATTGTTTATTGTGTATTGTGTATTGTGTATCGCTTATTCTTCTATCTTCTATCTGCTTCGGCACGTGGCTCGGATGGATGGTAATGAGAAGCTAGGAGAAGAGAGAGAGAGCAATTGTATTGGTTGCTACTGCTGAGAGAAAAGGGGAAAAGAAGAAGATGGAGAGGAGACTGTAGTCCTGTCCATGTGCACCCTCCACATAGGGTCAGGTGACACCACCATAACAGATGGTCTATCGGATTAGGGTTTATCCGGCGGTTCAATGTCCATCCGGCATCCCGTGACTTCATTTCATCTCATCTATCCTCCCGAGGTCATTCATCCCGACCGTACATATCCAACCAAATCCGACCGTATAAATTAATCATGGGAGAGGACGAATACATCCTACTTATCCCTACTGTCCTCCTCGTCACCGTAAAGTCCAAAGCATTAAACCACAACTAAATAGCTGTATACTTCAAGCCATCATCAACAAACCCTTTCAAAGTCCGTGTTCCCGCTTTATATCCTGGGCTAGTATAATAACCTTGGCTTCCGTTGGAGATATGGCTGCCTTTCCTGTTTATGGTTTGCTTCTGGCTCTTTCTTCTGGCTAGAGATATCTATAGGAAATGAGATTTCTCTTGATGATATCGCTATCAACATCCTTCGGCGCTTTCGGTCAGAATGTAGATAGCCCGGGAGAGTGATGGGGAAGTAGATAACAAGAGGTTGGATAACCTGGCACCAGATAATGCACATGTAGAACAAACCGGAAAGACAGCGGAAAGACGGCGGCGCCGGGGAAGGGGGGGGCTTGTAAACTTTCTGTTCCACCCAGGCCGACAACTCTCCCTCGTCGTCGCCTTTCACTGCTGTGAGTTCCGCAGTGTTTCATTTTTCATTCATCCTTTCATCCCTTCATTCTTTCTTTTGCATCTTTGTCAAGAGATGTTTGAAGAGCTTCCTCCTTCTGGCCCTGGCCGCGGCAGACACGACGGCGGCAGCACTGTTCGGAGCCGTGACGACGGAGTCTGGCGCTCTATGCACCGCGTAAGTCTATTGGACACACCATTGACCATTGACAATGTCTGCAGAGCAATACTGACGTGACTCATAGAACGATGCGTCTCAAGCTGTTGTCCAAGTCGTCAACCAAGGCGCTGGCCAAGCTTTTCGCGACACTCGCGGCGCTCGCGGCGCCACGATGATCATGCAGGGCATCCAGCCCCTCGATGTAAGTTGTGACTCTGATTTTCATCCAGCCAGATATTTGGAAGCTCTATACTGATACCACTTATAGCGTGACAGCCTTCAGCCTTCTGCCACTCGTGGTACCCGTGTTGCCGAGCTTACTGCTCGTGAAATGGATGTGGACTTGAGAGAGGTAAGAACTACCCCTATTTCCCCGTTTTCCAGACCAGACCTTCTTTCAGGATGGCGGCAGTGGTCATGATATCTGACGCGCATGGCCTACATAGCAGAATTTCGGACGTCGTGGCTCAGTCCGTGGGGGACGCTCCTGGGGCCGAGGCCAATCGCGTGGTAGCATGCGGGGACCCCGTGGTGGCATGCGGGGACAACGTGGTAACATGCGGGGCGGCAGCCGTGGCCGTGGTGTCTCTCGAGAAGATGGCCGTGTTGGCTATAGGGGCGGTCGCAGTCGCGGTGCTGACGCCCGTAACCGCGGTGCCATTCGCCGAGGTGGACGTCGTGGAAACGCTCAGATGGACGGCCGCGGTCGTGGTGCTAGTAACGCTGGAGTGGCCAATGCCTCCTGGCGAAACCCCTCTCGCCGAGACGCCCCCTGGGGAAACAACCCCTCCAGTCGCCGAACCCCCTCTCGCCGAGACGCCCCCTGGGGAAACAACCCCTCCAGTCGCCGAACCCCCCCTGGCGCCGAACCCCCCCTGGCGAAACCACTCGAGCCGCCGAACCCCTACCCAGCAATACCCCGACCATGGAGTCGCCCGCGGGGCCGCTCGCGCGGCCGCCCCACGTGAAACCTGGTCGTGGGCTGAACACCAAGCTCGTGTCGAGGAGATGGCAGGTAAGAAAAAATTGATTTTCTCCTTCTCAGTGGCGTTGATGGTCATGCATCCATGTCTTGATCGAATACGATACTGAATTATACTAACCGTCATGTGCTATAGATGCCGATGCCCCGTAAGGGGATGACTCGATGGATGTGGTCTGCTGTTCCGCAGCCGTGAGGCTGTTCTTGTTCTTCTTCTTTGTCTCTGAGTGCTCCTGCGCTCATTAGTAACAATTGAATCACTTACAATTCTCTCATAACTCATTCACATATCCACATAAGTCTCCTACCCGTATTTTGAGATGCCAATCTTTGGCGATGCTATTATTGCTGGTCCCGTCGTCGACCCTCTACCACGTTATCATAGACATAGAACGATGGACGTCTAGGGCTGTACCCATTTTGACATTCGGACTGCCAATAATGTAAAAGATTTTGTGGGTTCTTCAGAAGTGTCACCTGTACTAGGAGTACAGGGTGGTGGTTGGTCGAGACATACGCATATCAGGGAGTTGTGTGTTGCTTATTCTTCTATCTACAAAGTGTGAAGGGGCTTGCTTCGTCACGTGGTGATTCGGATTATATTAGGCGCCGGCGGTAGATGTTATATCCGAGATTGACGTTGAAATAGGTGCAATATTTAGCCGTCGATGCAACTTCAAGGTTTTGCCAGTCGGCTAAATGTCCATCCGACGACCCGTGACGTTGTAGACGGAGGAGGAAAACCCCGTTACGAACCCCTCGGATATAGCGCCGGATATAACGAACGAAACCAATGCTTCAATTAATCCGCCATGCAAAATTCTAAGGTTAACTATATCCAGGGCACCTGGGCACCTGGGCAGATTTCACCAATAAAAATGTCTCGCTAATCCATTCCAACCTCCAATTAACAATTAAGAACTGTTTCTAAAAAGGGCTCCTAATATCGCTTGATATTCTAGATCTAGATACTCGTAACTACTACTATTAGTAACTAAGATAGATACCTTCGGATATGCATATTATACAGAGTTGGGTGCTAAATCCAATGGATATTCAGAACTATGTCAACCCGGTTGATCTGAAGACCCAGTCCTGCTGCACTGCATAGTGCAAGACGTGATAGTTGATGAGCTTATTTTGAAACCATTGATGGCATTGTACTCAGTGAGTTCCTTAGAGAGGTTGATAAGGATGAGATGGTGGTTGAATTGCCCCGGGTTTTATACTATGAGGCTCTTTAGGCTTTAAATATGAAGAACAGCAGGAAGAGGGTGAAACTTAGTTAACTGGTGACCTTTATAAACATAGGAGGTTAATTGAAGCAAGGAAAATATGAGGGTAGAAGCAGAGTGACATTAGGGGCTTTTTTGGAGCCTACATTTGTATGTGAACCAGAAATATATACACATGTAGCTATTTAATATAACTAACTAACTAACTAGTTATGGCACCTTCAATTGATTCGTTGTAAGGGGGTTTTACTGTACATCACCGCGACACCGCCTTCGGTAGAAATCCATCCAACGTTGTTGTTGCGACTTGCTTTGGATCTCTCTTGATAAACCTCAGCAACACAGAATATTTTGATATGTCAAACACTACTCTGCCAGAAAATCAGGGTCTCGATGAGGAGGCCTATAACTCCGCCGAGGATGAAGATTTCGAGTTAGACGCGGCACCGGACGACTCCGACCTATCTTCCGATGCCGACGAGGCCACAGAACCCGCCAAGAAGAAGCGAAAGACAGTCACTCAATCTCAGCCCCCGAAGGATGCAGAACTTGACTCTGGAGATGAGGCTACAATTAGAAAAGCGAGGGAAAAGAAAGAGAAGAAGACCAAGGGAAAGAAGATCAAGGGCAAACGCGCGCGATAGTGACGAGGACGATGGCGACATTGACATGGATGACGATGAAGGAGGAGCAGGTGGATTCGTGCGTACACGCGCAATGAAACAGCAAATGTGAGATTTTTGTTCTAGCCAGTATTTCTTGACTTATTATCAGGTTTTAACACGCGTTTCCCGAGCAGACAAGAAGAACAGCGCAAACCGCTGGCCAGGATCGATGGGGCGACCGTGGACGTGAACGCCCTATGGGAACAGATGAATGCGCCCCAAGGACAAACCGGCTTGCAGCCACCTCAGACCCAGCAGATACCCGAATCCGCCGCCCCCGAACCCGAACCAACGAAAGTACCGGACCCGGGTGCCAGGGACGTGGAACACAAACTAGGCCATGCCGCGCACGCTGACCAGATGATCAAGATCAAGCGCACCTACAAGTTTGCCGGAGAATGGATCACCGAGGAGAAAGTTGTTCCCAAACACTCGGCGGAGGCTAAAGCGTTTTTGTCGAGTGGGGAGAATGTTGAATACGCGGATGCCGCAGCCGCAGCCGCAAACACCGCTCGTAACCTTCGGCGACCGCTTCGCAAGATTTCGCGATTCGACCCTAACCCGACCGGCACGATTAAGAAGAGCTGGGAGAAGCAACTTGCTACCGACGACAAGGACGCCCGCGGACCCAAAATCAACACCGTGGAGAAGTCACGACTCGACTGGGCTTCATACGTCGACTCGGCGGGTATCAAGGACGAGCTGCGTACGCATAGCAAAGCCAAGGAGGGTTATATCGGCCGCATGGATTTCTTGGGTCGTATGGAAGACAAAAGGGAAGACGAACGGCGGGCTGCACGGCTCAAGGGCATATGAAAACAGTTCTCGTGCGTTGTCTGCGCGAATTTCCTTCTGGTGTCAGAAGAAACACTCTTCCTGCCGCGTTCTACAACAAGGACGTACCTCTACACAGCGTCGTGTTATTGCGGCACTCTCTACAACTCTCGCATCAGCCTACTTTGAGAAACGGCTCACTCGACTCGACTCGCCGAGAAGAGTGAGCTCTCGACCTCCAAACGCCACCCGCCTCGCCAGTGCCCGGAATTTACGGTGCGCTTTATGTCCATCCAGTACAGGGCGATGATGCATTCGCGAGGATGCATTCGCGAGAATGGCTGACACACTTGCCTCTAAACTTCGGGGCTGAACATGACCATGTGCTCAACGACCCTACAGTATCACCGCCGGTCTACATTTATAACCAGTGAAAGGTTAATGGTCAATAAACGATCATCATCATATCAGATTAACGAGAATCTGAATCTGTATCAACATACACTATAGCCTAATCCAAATATACCATTTCAGCACAAATTGTGTAAATCAACAAGACATATCAATCCCTGTTCCCTATTTACTTGGGCAAATACTTGATGCCAGTCTTTGGGCAGCCAGAAGTAGTGACTAAAAAGGACGAAGAGGTCAGCGAAGAACCCACTAAAAAGCAACCGATAAAACTCACGCGTATCAACAGCCTTGTATGTTCCATCAATGGCATTACCCTTAACGTTGTAGAAGTACCAAACCTGGTTCAACTTGCCACTAGAGCAGCCAAGGTAAACCGACGCGCCATGCATGGTAGTAAGAGCCTTCTGGATCGCGCTGAGGGTGTAGGTCTTGGAAGTACTCGGGGTAATGCCAGCAGCGGCGAGAGCCTGAAACCCAGTCAGAAAACGGACAGCACATATTATGAAAGGCAGAGAGGGGGGCATACCTTGTGCGTATTCAAACTCTTGAACAAATCAACTGTCTTCTGGAAGAAATCACCCACTTCCTCTTGTGCCTTGTAGCGGGAATAGCAGCTGGGATCGATGGTATTGATGCAAGTACCATGCTTGCTCCACTCGTGCGACCAGAAGCTCTCGTTCTCACCGTTGATATCAACCCAATACTCATCCATGTAGTCGACCAGGTCACCGAGGTCCTGGTCCTGCAGGATGGCTGTGATGTTGGAGTAAGCGCGCTTCGAGTCACAGCTCGACTCGTATGTGCCGTCGCAGTTGTCGGGCCTGGAGGGAGTTAGTCTATTACTCCGGATATTTATAAAGGGATCTAGATCCGATTGAGATATTAATGTTACATACCACAATCCGTGGATGGTCCATGAATCGTCGGGACCGGTTGATGGGCTGGTATCCCAGAATTGAGTCTGGAGGAGGGCACCACCTGGGTAGTTGAAGCAACAGGTTGGCTCTGTAGAGGAGCTTGCGCAGCTGAAGGCAGTGCTGCTAGCACAGGTTTCAAGGCTGGCAGTTGTGCTGGTGATGAGGCCCATGGCTGCTAGGGCGAGCATGCCCTTTGGAGATTGGGATTGGAACATTTTTCTTTTCTTTCAAGATCGAATTGAGAAGTAATTGTAGAGCTGAATGAAGAGATGTAAGGGGATCATCGGACCGTTTTATGTTTTAGTCCAGAAATCATCGGCGTAAAATATCGTCAGGTACAAAGAGCCAATGTAGCACATGCACCGATAACAAGACGCTGATTTGTTCTCGGATGTCGCCGCTACACCTATCATCTCGGAGAGGAAGTACTATAAACGAGAGGAGTGCTAGTCGAAGTAGGCGACGATCATCCAGCGGGGCAAGTTGAGTGGTGGACCTTTCTCCCTTTTCTCTCTTTTCTCTCTTTTCTCTCCAATGACAAGATAGAAAGGCACAACGCACTCCGGCGCTAAATCATGGCCCGACGGTTTTCGTCTGAAAAAGACTGACGAAACGCCATTTGAGGTTGCATCGACCGGGCTACTCCTTCGGATTTCCGACTGTTGATTCAAATTGATTCGACCCCAATTGATTCGAACCCGCCAGATTAAACCCGCTGACCACCCAACCCCGACGAACCAGAGTGCTTAACCCTGCGATTTGAACTGTTTTATCTGAAAGCTGGTATTACTTCGCTCAGAAGACAATGACTGTTGTGGATATCTCTATGGATGGGATTACTGCTACGTCTACGCCATATCTGCAGGCTGACAATGCCTTCTCCACATGAAGGAACCCGTGCCAGTTTGCTTGGATGTCATGAGATTGACCGAAGAATTATAAGAAATTAAGATAATAAAGGGTCCTGTTCCTCCTCATCATTGGATCGCGGAGACGGTCCAAGTCGAACATGCCAAACGGCGGCGACAGCAACAGCGAAAAAGAGAGAGGCTTGGAAGAATGGCAGTCCCATCCAGACAGTTCCAAGTTGCATACCTAACCGGAAGAGGTTGGCAAATAAGGGACCGGAAATGAGTGTTCCGACGCCCTGTGCAATGGCAATTGCCGAATACAAAGTGCCAGCATGGTCAATTTGTACGAGTGAAGTAGCCAGACTGCGTGTGGTGATAATGAATGCTGAGCCCATTGACAAGATGACTTGACCACCGATTAAGATCGCAGGGGTTGGAGCTATGGAGATAATGGCGAAACCAATGATTGAAAGCACGCCGCTGCCTTTGCTCATAAAATGGTCGCTACGTTTGCCACGGAGGTTTAGGTGTTTGGTGACTAAGAAGGACAGGATTGGCATTATGACCAAATATGTCACGAGAGAAAATATCCCGCGCAGCGAGATTAAGAGACTGGCCTATATTATGGTTAATTTTCTTTCTTTTTTCTTTATTGGAGACAGGGCACATACGCGACTGATACTCCAGTCAAACTTCTTCGACACATATTGCAGAAGCAGGTTTGTGGATTGTCGAGTCATCATAGTGACAAACATCACAAAGACCATTAAACAGATATTAGTATCGGTCCAAATGAAGCGTGTCGACCGTGCGAACTCGCGGACTTGTCGGGTGACCTCCTGCAGCACTGTTTGCTTCCTCGGAGGCTGGGACTGCTCGCTTTCGCTGTCCTGTTCTGATGCCTCTTGGTTGACTCGCGTTTGCTTTGGGTGTGTGAGAGTCTCCGGTAGGAACAAAGCTGGAATACTTCCTAAAATAATGATGCCTATTGATAGGGTATAGGGAACCATTGGACCGAAAGTCATCAGATAGGCACTGAGTGGAGTAGCCAGAATCTCTGCGATTTGGACGCAAGACTGTAAACGGAAGAGCGCAGTCGCTCTGTATACATGTCAGATGGATCACTGAGAAAGATTAAGTCATGAAATTACCTCTCATCTTCGTTGAAGACATCAGCCACTATGACCATGGCAATAGCCATGAGGACTTGGTCGCCACCGCCGATGATTTTGAACACAGCTGACAACCAGACCATCCGGAGGGGAATGACGGTTGACCATAGACCTAGGATGATCAGTAATCTACATCGACCGAAGAGTTCAATGGCCAACTTACAAACTATCCTAACCCAGATCTCGCCGAGGAGAATTCCCAGTAGGCTAAGATACAAGAGAGGCCTTCGCCCCCAGCGATCCGACATCACGCCATATGGCAGCGAGAGTATAAGACCTGTATTTCCCCAAAGAATCAGCATTGTTATATCATTATATCATAGAGCCCTGGAGGACACATACCAGGCAGCACGTCAAATGTATTCTGGTACCCGATCACGAGTGCCAGTTCTCCTTGTACAGCGTCTGATTTACATGGATTGACCTCCGGAGGAATCAGAGTGGCCTGGTAGTCTCGACAGATGATCTCTTCATACACAGCCATTTGCGGCGCGGTGGACATGAAGAATCCGAAGTCGGCCGACAGCAGGAATATAACACACACAATGGAGATCAGTAGTTTCTTTGGGTGCTGGGATGGTTTGATCGTGTATGAGCCCAGCAGTGGCGCTGTCTCGTCTGTTATTGAGTCGGTCATTGTAAGTGGTGTGTCTTACAAGTCAAGAAAAGGGTACCCCTGGGATATCAAAGGGGATGTCAAGAAGGGAGATACTTATTGACGCCATCCCCTTTAAAATTGCTGCCTCGGTGCTTATGCGTTGGGAGTCCAATGATAGACGACCGTTTAGATATGGCGTTGGCATCCCGCTCTCTCCGTGATAGGAGACAGGGGACAAATACGACTCATTGGACCCCTCTTTTTCTTTCTTTGTCTAAACGTTGATTTTTTGACATTTAACTTGACATTTAACTTGATATGAACTTGATATTAATCTTAGTATTGTTCTAAATTCAAGCCCTCACTCTTTTGGCTCATGAAATTCCGACCTACTTTGTCTTTATGAGAACATCGGGGTTATCTCGAAATTCGGAGCTCGGAGTTCGGGGCTCATGTATGCCCAAATGTTTCAAAAGTCCCAAAGATAAGCTCCACGTTTTTGGTGGCATCGATCGTATAACGCTTAAATTGAAAATGACGATTTGGCGTTAAACGGCACATGTCATAGTGGCCCTGAATTCATCTACCACTCCGGGGCTCCAGAGCCTTCTCTGTGAAACCAAATTTACCAGCATGAACGCTTCCGGGATGACCAAAAGAAACGTGGCCCTGGATAGTGCCGTGTAGTTGTGCGATCTGTCTCTTTGCTCACGATCTTGATGCAGTCGAACAAGCATCTTCCCAACAGGAATACACCCAACCCCCACTTTCATGTCGGTCTAGCCCATCGATGTGGCCCATCGATTTGGCCCAACCGGTCTGGCCCCCAAAGTATGAGCCAGTACTTTAACACACCGATAGTCGAGGTTTGCGGCAAATCACCCCAGGGTCATCACAAAGCAGGAAGACCTCCGGCTGTACCGAAGTCTCGATGATATGCAGTGATCTCTCACAAAGATGAAATTGCTGACCGCATTCTTTTCAAGGAATTAACCGCGCAAACCTGCAAGTTCCCGTCCGCGAGTCTCACCTTTGTCTTTTGCATGCGCCCGAAGCTGCACCTTGAGATTTCGAATCTGACCGCCACCTAAACTGCATGATTGTGGAGATCTTGAAATTCCCGAGACCGGGGGATTTTCTCGGAGGATTAAGCGAATGTTTGCCTTTTGCTTTTTTCTGTTCTTCTGTTTGGGTCTGCGGCTTTCCGTTGCACGACACGAGCGGGAGTCGGGTGGCGCCCACGTCGTAAAGTGTGAAATGTTCGGTTTTGGGCTTGCACCTGTCGGAGATGAGATTTGTATCTGTCCCGGTGACTTGTCTACATTATTGGTTCTTGGGTTCTTCATGCGTCGGCTGTCTGTTCAGGGATTGGTAATACCTGTTCGTCCCGGCCGGTTATCTTTGGTACCACGACTTGAATTTGGGCAATGTACGGAGTCCTTATTCGAATGATTTAGACTTAGACCAAGCGGGGACCAAGCGGCCAGCTACTTGCTTACAGTATGCAGATAGGTTGGCCATTTAGCCATTCCAAATTCTCGCGTGGTTTCAGCCAGGTCTGGCTGTTGGACTGCTATTCACGCTACAAATTACAATATTGATGCCGGAATCTTGGACTTGTCTGTCATATTAAAATCAGTTCAAGGACAGTGTCCAGGATTCACCTAAAGGATACATGTAAGTTGTAGCATAGTTAATGAAATAACAGATACCGCACCTTCCCTACTTAACCCTCACGTAAACAAAAGGGCCTTTCCCCATTTGCTCCTCCTCCTAAATTTGTTATCACGTTGATATTACCAGATTAGAAAGCCACTCAAGTCGTTTCAAGGGATATCCTCTTCTTTAACCCCAAAAATGTGTCAACTACGCATCAGCACGCTGAATAGTACGTTAAATCAGACCTAGTTAAGCTTTGTATACTGACCAACTTTCACAATCAATGGCTTATACCACAAGAGAATCACGAGGTGTTCTTGCCAATCACCAGTTTCCATACTAACGATATCCAATACCTAAACATAGGGTGATGATGCCTTACCACCAGCGGGCCTTTGATCGGTAGTTGGCGAAGATCTAAAACAAAAATGAGAACGCAGACCTGAATCGCCGACAACCAGAGCACAATGCTGAAATTTCCTCATCATTCTTGCAAAATATGGGCTTAGTGCAATCAGAGAGAACCTACCCAACAAGGAGGGACCCTTTGGATATATATAACTTAGAGTGTGCTCCTCAAATTGGGGTCTTCTTCACCAAACAGAAACCTAAGAATCACGAAGAAAAATCCTGATGATGATGTTGTTGAGCAAAGTCTATTGTAGGGATTGCTACTATGTGAGAAAAAGCAGAGGAAGAATCATTAATTGATTTAACTAGACATGCAGGGCTTTATATATCCTGTTAAAACCATCTGAACTATGCTCAATCTGTAGCAAACAGGCTGGAAAATAGCAAATAGCAAATAGCAAACAAAGGCACAGTCTGTAGCAAATAACAAACATGCAAATGGCAAACATGCATGCATGGGATGATTGTTCAACAATAACTTACTTTCTACCAAGCGCTCATTTCTTATTTTCACGTTGGATGGAATGACATGGGCCATTTGTAACCGAGTCGACGTTATCTCTGAAAGACAATTCAAGATTAGCATAAAATATTTTAGGTCAACATACGGTGTGCGCTAGTTACTTGTGCTTTGATTCCGTCCTCGGATATAAAGGTTATTCACGTGTCTTTGAAAGGCCAAACAATTGGTCTCTTGCCTATCCTTGATTTAAGTATAGATGTCAGTTTGTGATGCCGTGGGCGCATTGCTAGTCTACTTACAAACTCTAGCAACATCGGGGTTAGCCAAGTTGCCGAAGATTAATGTTTGTAGTTGGAGGGAAAGGAAGAGAAAGGTGGGAGGAGACCAGTGACCGTAGCCATGACATCTGTTCCATCTCCTTAACATTTATGTGTTATTTCTAAATAAATTGAGTTGGTCTATCTTTTATTCGAGTTTGAAACTGCCGGAATATGATATTCTGTCGAGCCCGACGCTGCGAAGTGTAACACATAAATCTCTGGAGAGCAGGTTCATACTATGGACGGTGAATAAAGCATAAGTACTCAATATACATAACAATCAAGGCATCTTATTATAATTTGCAGTGATAAAAACATGCTATAGTTAGGATAGCTTATAAAACACTATACCTATATCTACATCTTCTATACTATCACATAGTTATATATCTACACACGACTACATAATATACAACCAGAAAGTATATCAAGTAAACCAAATAAACCAACCACTATATATCATAGAACTATATAGATACCAATATGTGATATATATTCCTGTTTATACGCAATAATTTTCGGTCAAACTAGTTTCGCTAGTAGAATCTCAATGAATGCTATAGTAACCGCACACTAGGTACACCCCATCACAAAAGCACCAAGTCTCTCAAGGCCCGACTTATCTGAGAACTACTATGTTGTACCAGAGCCTGTATCAAAATCGTTTACGGCATTCTTCTCGGACTGCACGAACCCACGAATGACCCCTTTGAAGGTCAGACTGTTACGAATATTGCCGTGGTTGTCCCGAAACACCTCTCTACTCATCAAGCAAAGCACTATCCCCCTTGACAAATCTGATAGACTTCAAAATAATGCCCATAGAGTTCTGCACTATCTGCCCTCAACCTAACGTAGCATTCCTGCCTAGAAAACCTACACAAAGAGCTTACGACTACCAAGCTCTCTGATATGATCCCATATCGACCGTGCCCCATCCAAGACCGCACAGAGTATGTTAAAAACCAACCAAGTCAGAATTGGCATACAACAACCCTGTTTTATTGAATCCACGTCACAGGAGTTCATCCCAAGTACAAAGTACACACTTAGACCCTAGCAAAGCCAACCTAACACGACACCGCAAAAGCACGATACAGTAAGAATAGAATATTCAGGTACCGGAATTGTGGCCCTAGAGCCAATATGTAGGGAAAATGAAACCGACATCTAATAACAGCATGTAGGTCTCCCAAGTAGGCCAGACAAGCAGCATGCAGGCGTAAGGGCCCCAATAATATGATATCACCGGATTCCTATTGGGGATCATCCGCAATCACACCAATCACACCAATGAGGGCGCGCCGTCGCCGACCGCGCAGGCTAGACATGGTTCGTGCTCTGCAGGGTTCCTGCAAAAGCACCTATGTCTGACATTCTCCAGAGAGTTCGATGTGCAAGGTCGATCCGGTTCTTATTGAGGGCTCGAATCTGGCCCTTTTTTTTTTTTTTTTTTTCGGGCGCATGCTCATCCTACCCAACGTACATCTGTTACTACTTCGGTACTAGTATAGAGCTGGGTTACATAAGATTGTGGCAGCGGGCATGCATGTATGGGCCATTAGAGTGAATAGAGTAGGTCAGTGTGTTTGCACTGGTATGTGATATAGGCGGGATTATTGCAACGCTGCATCTCTGCGACACTGTAAGGTTTTCTTATTGTTTTCTGATTCACAATTCAAGTAATAGGAACCGAACATATTATTGAGTTTAAGATTCAGACGCGAAGTCGCGAATCGTGGTATTAAGTATGATTTAAGTATTGTGGAGGTATGTGTGCTCCGTCACGACTCACGTCGCGCTCCTGGGAGGAGACAGGTATACAGGTATGATGTCCACAGGTACACGAGGATGCACCCTGGGGAATCCCTGAAGGGAAATTAGGCTAAATAGGGGAAACAGGGCAGATCTAGAGCCCTTCCTAGGGAATTAGCACATCGACCTTTTGCCACAATAAAGATGGTTCCTGGAAACCGGGAATAAATCCATGCAAGGCAATGCAATGCAAGTCAACGTGGAGTATTCATTGGAGAGAAAATCGAATTAAAAAAGCAAATCAATTTCTTTTTGAATGCCTTTGTGGGCGAACGAGAGACCGTTATGTGAAGAGAAAAAAGAAAGTCAACAAGTAAGGGGGGAGGGGTTCAGGTACAGGCCCAACTGCAATAAGATGATGTAGTTGGTGA